GATAGAGTTATCAATGGTATTATACCTAGGATTTCGGCTACAAGTTGCTACAGTACTATCAGGAGAGAAGCAGACTGAATTCATGTTATCACTATGACCATCTAATTGATTCAATTCATGGATCTTAATAAGCTTCCATTTACAATTCAACAGAAATGTTCCATACAGATTCATACTGCTTATATTTACATTATTAAATTCAGATCTACTTAAATTGCATTGAACCAAAATTGCTCCTAATAAAGAAGTATTTTTGATCTTTATGTTCTCGAATGATTAGTTCCTAATATCTACCTTCATATCCACTAACAAGTGAAGTGAATATGACCCACTTTAAATGAATAGTTTATCAAAATCTGTAAATTGAATTAAGAATTTTAATAATTAAATAATCTTCACATTATGTGATTCTTTAAGTATTTGATCTAATTTAGTTTTTTCTTTTTTTTCATTTGAATAGCTTTTTTTATTAAAGTCATGTGCTTTAATTTAGAAGTTTATCGCTTATGATCTATTATTTATCAAAAAGTGACATGTTTTTTAGAACTTAAAAAACATATTATTTAAAAAGTGCTTGACTGCTATCTTATGAAAGAAATTTGATGCGATTTACTTACTAAATATTTCAATTATCACATTAAAAATAGATTCATCAGTTAAAATCTAATACAAATCTTTTTTCTGCTCATTCGTCTTTCTTTTTATTTCAGCTTATAAAAAACACCTTTACAATAATATTTTAATGTCATTCTTAAATTCCTCTGGATTATTTATTTTTTAATTAGTAAAATAAATTCATTGATTAATCTTTCAGAACTATTTATGAAGAATTTTTTCTGCTTTTATAAAAATTAATTTTTAATATAATTTTCAAATGAAAACTCTTTTTGAATTACTGATAATAATTAAGATTACTCAAGCTAGGATACTAACTTTAAAAAATAATCGTCCGAGTTTGTTTTTAAGTATTTTCTTGTGGTCTCATTTGATATTGAAAATTTTCTTATTTTTTCATTATATAATTAATTCTAATTTAGTGAAAGGAAGCAATCTTCAGCAGATTTGGTTTAAGATCTTAATTAATCCTGTTGTCTCTGTATTATTTTCTCGCTGTGCTATTCAAAGCCATTAAAAATTATTCTTAACTTATTATATCTTTAGCCATGATAATATATATTTTGGACTTTAAATTCAAATTAAGGAAATAAAATTACTTCCTCTTCAGATGGAATCGCAGAGTTATATTCTTCTAGTTTAAAGTAGGGATGAGGATTTTTTTAACCTAATGAAATTTCAAATAATAATTTGTATTTAAATCTCAAAAAAACAGAAGTACAATCTATTTACATTGTTGTACTAGTTAACTAGTTCCAAAATATGTTTATATTATTTTTTAAGCATTTTTAGTATTCTTCTATGATTTAAAAAGAAATGCTTTTATTTTCTTCCTAAAAACTTATCCCTCTATATTATAATTTATTCTTAAGGCTCTTATGCTCTAAATTTGATTAACCATAACACAATGTCTGTATAATTTATTCCAATTCATCAAACTTTGATTAGTCATGTTTATAATAATAAATTAGTTTCTCAAAATTACTAATTTTATTTTGTTTTTTGGAATTTTTTCGCTTCTTAATATATGACAGATTGTTACAAATAACTAAATGCATGTTATATGTTATGGAAAAAGTCTTCCAATTTCCTAATTCAGCAATTCCTCTTTATCTTAGTAATTTTCTTATAATTATCAGTTTATCAATAAAAATCTGATATTTAATTCATAAAATTAATGATTATATTGAGATTCATTGCTCATTTCTTATTTGAATTATTAGATCAAAGATTCCTGAGCACATAAGAATTCTATATTTCTTTTTACATATTTTTCAAACTTTTGAATACCAGAATCTATAATAACAATGAGATTTGTGGTTTCCAAAAACTAAAAGAAGTAAGTTCTAAAAATTCCACAAAAGACAATTCAATTAATGTTCAACCTCTTTATTAATTTTACACAATTTTTTAAGCATCATCAGTTTAATTAACAAATCTACACTCACTAATTATTTATTCTAATCTTTTCTAATATCTCTAATTCTCAAAATTATTAATATTATTGTCAACCCATACTAAATAATCTACTAATTCTGCTTTTTAATTTATGCGAATAGAATTACACATTCTTTAATTTTGCATTCTGATTAAAAGAATATTTTATTAAAATTATCAACTTTAAGAAAATTTTGAATTAATTTCTATTTACATATATATTCTGCTATTGTTTCTATCTTGATTAATAATTTATGCACTGAATACTATATATAGTGCAACGTAATTCAATAAGAAACAAAACTATAAATTATTTATATAGCTTCAGTATCAAAGGCAGGATGAATCTGAGCAATTACAAAATGGCGTGCTTCCGGAATCAATAATATGATCTTTAATAATCTTTTTTAGTTCTAAACTGAGATCCTTTAAAAAATGAATAAATTTTTGCTTTACTTATTTGCACACAAACTCTTGGTATCTCTAATACTCTTTTCCCTAAATTCATAAAGCAATTATTTATATTCCTCTATCATCATCCCTACATGTTACGATAAAATGACAGAGATTAATACCACATTATCCTAATCCACACTTGATTCGGAGTGAGCTTTAGTAAACTTGAAATTTCTTAAAGCTTTTTACTCTATGTGAGTCTTAATGTTAGTTTACGTAGCAACTTCTGTAGTATACTTTATATGAGGCTTGACAAGAACTATAAAATAATCATTATTTATGATTGTTAATCAAAATCCCTTAATTGTTTTTTGTATTTTATCAATAGTCTGTCATTAGAATTATTAATTTATTGCTATAATTAAAATTCACTTTTCTTTTCCAAATTTTCTATATTAAATTATTTTTTTTCCTTTTTCATTTACAATTATTTTTCACAGTATATACTTAATCAATAGTTTATAAACAATTAGGAAAATTATGAACTCAACTTTCAAAATTTTATGGTTTTATCTGATATCTCTCCCTTAATAGGAGTTATTACTAAATTCTATATTGCTGAGGAGTGACCTACGACCATAGTCATGCATTTGAACGGTGCGATGAAATTTGAGTTATCCAATAAGACAGAACTTTTGAAAAAGAAATTGATAATCTAGTAAAATAAGTTGTTTTTTTATTTTATACATATTGGAATAATAACATGTGGCTGATGCTATGAAAGAACAGTTTAAATTTTTTGAAAATGCAAAAAATTACATTGAATTAAGAAAAGAAAACTACATTCAAATTGGAAATAAATATAGACTGAATTTGTATTTTTATAAGTTTAATAATATATTATATATTAAGTGTTTAGTCAAATTAAGATTGAACTTTCTTATAGCTGAAAATGTAAAGTAATAATATAATTAGAAATGAAATGATAATTTTCTGAAGATGCACAAATTAATAATTCATCATTTTAAACTATCCTTTAAGAAAGTTGGAGAAACCTAAGATAATCTAAAATAAACTAATATACATTAAATCGAATTAAAAGTCTGAAAATATTTCAATTAAAATCCAAATATATAATCTTAAATAATTTTTTCTAAGTAAACATAATTATAAAGTAAGAGGTCATAGTGAAAATTATTGAAAAAAATTGGTATCTTAGATATATGTTGATATTTGTTGATTTGAAAATGAGGGCATCTATTGTAATTAATTAATGATTATAGATCATGAATTAGAAATTAACTTAGCAAAGGCTTTTTTAGATGCTCATTGTAAAAAAAATTCTAAAAGGTTCAATTTAATTTGCAATTAATTTTACTGTGCTATCAAATAGCTAGATAATAATTAATAAAAATAGTAAAAGTTGAATATTTTTACTGATTATCATGGAAAAAAAAAAGAACAACTTTTGTAGTCTTCAATCCAAGTGAATTGTCCTCCAAAGTACTAGCAAATTATTTTAATTATAAAAACTATCCCAACTTTCTCAGGTATCAAAAAATGAAATATGTATAATTTAAAAAAGACCAGGAATTAGTTTTTGTAAAGCAAATTTCGTCATTAATGATTTAGGAGAACTCTAAAGTGTGAGATTAATGATAATCTTTGTAAAAGTATGCTGTAGTATATAAAAAAGAACAAATTGCGGAGAGCCAGATTTAATAATAGAAAAAAAGAGAGCAGTTAAGAACTTGATAATTTTCAGAGAAAGCATGAGAGCAGGATATAAATTGTAAAAGACCTCAAAGAAACCTAAATCAAATTATAGGAAAATTTAAATTTCTAATATGAGCAATCTGTGACTTTATCCCATTGAAGAACATATTATAAGTAACTTAATTAGATTATTTAGGCGATAAATTAACCCTCCCTAAATGAATCAAAAGTATGATTAAGTGATTCCAATGCTAGCCAATGAAATTAACAATATGCCTTCTCTGGTTATGAAAAAAAATTATATTTAGTGTATAACTTTAAGACATAATCAAATATTGTTAAGAAGAGATTGATTGCATTATTACCTAAAAGACCGTTTTCTTTATTACTTCATTCTTAATTTAACTCAATTAATATTAAAATGATCCAAAATAATAATTATACAATAAAAATAGTTCCCTCGCTCTAAAAAAATCTACTTATTTATAATATTAAAAATATCAAGCCCCATAACATAATTATTCCCTTTAATCCAATTTCAAAATTGTCCCTATAGATTTTAGAATATACAGATCTTCCCATAATGTCATGACTCAAGGAATGTAGATTATGTAAATTAAGTTCAAATTTTATTCTATATACCAATAATTGTGAACCCTTATATGATTATATATTTATAAATGAAAACTTGTATACAATATAATAATAAATTTATTGATTAAGATTTTTATATAATTATTTTAATTATTTCTCAAATAACTGGAAGCTTAGATTAATTTGATATATTTAAGACTCCTGAATAATTGATAAACAATATTTAATTTAATACTATTAAAATAATTCATTACATTCCCATATCATCATCATCATCTCCTTCTCCACCTTCCTAATTAATCCCATATTCATCTTCTCCATCTTCATTTTCTACTTCGTCTATATAATCAGCTTATTAATTTCCTACAACTTTGGGCTATATTAAATATTTGATGAAATACTTCAATTTTAACTTTCATCTATCCTTAATACTTTTTCATAACATTTTCAATCTCAGCCAAAGCATCCTTCATAATCTTTACTCCATCTCTTGAGATTGTAGTTGTTCTACCTGTATAAGATGGAGATGCTTTGATTTCAAACTAATTTAAAATTATAGAATACTGATAGTTTGCATTCATCAGTGGATTTCATTGATCCAGCGATTAGTGCTTCTTTGATAATAAGACTTCCAGCATAATCATGACTTATTAAGTCAAATTCTGTTTTAATAGTAACTGGTTCTGGTTTTAATCTCCTCTCAATCTCTTCCATTAATTTAAGTTAAATTTATTCAGATAGATTAAGTTTAGCCAAATGTTTCTGATCTGCTAAAGCATTTTTAAATAATTAAAGAACTGAAACATTTTATTTATTGTCTTATAATGGCCATACAATAGTTTTATATAATTCCTGAATATTGATACTGCATTTTTCAGCAATGGCTCTCATAATCGAATGAATCATTTTTCCATCTGCAAATTTTTATAATGACATTTGCTCTTCATCCTTAGCCACCTTCTTCTTAGACAGATCAATATATCCTTAATCTTCGTCTACTCTTAGTACTCTAACAACTTGAATTTTTCCTATTTTTAAAGCTTTTTGAATTCCACCCTTTAATGCTCTAGTTGTTTCATTAGGGGGAATCATGCCTCTTATTCTATCATATTCTAATAATTCGACATATGATGCATTTTCTTGAACTTCCACTACCTCTACAACAACTAAATCATTCTCTTTTGGATACTAATTCTCATAAAATCTACATCTTAGATTAATTCCTTCATCTATTACAGGTTTAATTTCTTGGATCATTAAATAAAATTTATATAATATTATTTTTCAATTTTCTTCTTTAAGGTCGGTATTTTTATTTTTCTCATCATTAGTGCCTCTCATATTAGAATTATTTCTTTTTACATTTTGAAAGATTCCACTATTCTCTTGAATATATTAATTCAATAACTAATACATTCTCATAAAAATCCAAACCCACTTAATAATCAACTGTAAGATTATGAGGATCACTAATTTGACTGCCCTGAACCTACATACAAGTCATGTTTAATTATTTATTGATAGAATTTAATCAATAGTTGGGTAATGTTTATCGTTTTAATAGATTTTAAAGCCACATAAATTCGAATAGATTTAATACTAATCATCTAACTATTCAAATAATACACCCTTTCGTATTTCTTCATCCTTACTATAACAAAAGGTATTATTTTTCTTTAGGTTCTTCAATTTAAAGTTATCTGCATTCTCAAATATTAAATCTTAAACCAAACACTTATAGCAAATTCATTTATCCAGTATTTATGGTATTCTTTTACAAATTGTTAAGGGAACTGCATGTTCTCAGCAAAAAATTTCTACATATCATTTTTATAATAAAGGTGGACAATTTCGATATTTCTTCATTAAAATAATTTTTGCATCCCTTTGATTTTATTTCTTAATTTCATAAGTCATTTAAGTAAATTAACCATTTAATTCTCAATTTTAGAAATCGATACCATCAAATGTAAAATATGCCTAATCTAATTTAAATTAACCATATAAAATTCTAATTGCTTATATTATTTTATCTAAATATAATATTATGTGGCAGCCCATCTTAATAAGAAAATTGAATACAGGCCAATTTATATTTTTTAAAGAATAATTATCATTAGATATTTGAATTCATTGTTTGAATATGATAGGTAGATCATACAATACTACTTTTTGAATTTACACAATTAGTTTATTTTCTTTACTAAATATTTCTTATTTTCAAATACACAAGATATAAAGTAGGTTTCAATCAAATTATCTGAAGATAGTAATCCAGTTTATCTAAATCAATAATCCTAATCAATCTCATAGGTTTTACTCTAAATTGTTTATTGTAGGACCAACTTTTATGATAGGCAGGATTAAATACCTATTATTTTCTTAATTCTTAATTTTATGAATAGCCTAATGTAATTATTAATATCAGTGAAAGAATCATTAATAGGTATAAATTCTGCAAAATTTTTGTAGACAATAATAATATGAGTTAAAATTTTTGTATCAAAAATTTATAATCTAAAATATTTTAATAACTATTTCAAACAATATCTTAAAATAAAAGTAAATAATCCGTGCTTAATTATGGTTATTATGTTGGGAGATTGTGGAGCAGACAAAACAACGATTTTAAATAAGTAAGACGATCTACTTAAGTAAAATTTTTTTGGATATCAATTCTAATACAGAAACAACCATTGGAGTATAACATCATTCATTCACAAGAAATAATGCTAAATTTTCAATAAGGGATACTGCAGGACAGGAAAAGTACAGATCCATAGTGTCAAGGTGTTGATCTATTTTATATAAAGCCATGAAAAAAAAGCAAAAGCTGCGATTGTGGTTTATGATTGTTCAAATGAATCATCTTTTTTTTTTACATATTGATAAATGGATAGAAGAATTTGTTTTCTAAGCTGGTGCAAATGTTAAAATTGCATTAATAGGAGTAAATAAATCTAACAAACAATTTTGGTTAGAATAAAATAGACTGATAAAACTTCGACATAAACGAGCATACTTAAAAATTAACTGAATAATATGATATTGCATATCAAATTTAAATCAATCATTAAGATCTAGAATTCAAAGACAAGATGAATAAATTATTAGACAACATTAGTATAAGTACAGAATCAATCTTATTTTTATATTTGGGATTGATACCTCTAAACTAGTAAGACTAATCACCAATTTCGAATCTTAATTTATAGGATAATAATGATTAAGTTAATGTGATTGAATTTAATCATTAAAAAGATTAACTAATAGAAGTGTTGGCGAGCAATAATAATCAAGAAGTAAAAAGTTGTGAATGTTGAATTAGTTGATAAATAAAATAATATTACTAATTTCTATACATGAATACAATTATTTCAAAAATATTTAAACCCAACTCTTCTTAGATTTTCATAGGTGCATAAAGAAAAAATATTTACAATAACACTTCTTATCACAGTCACTTAAAATCCTTTATAGAATGCCAAGGCTCCTCCTTCAGAATAGATTTATTTAATGATTCTAATTGTACTTTAATATCAATGCAATCTTTACTTACCTTTCATTTAATACTTGATATCTAGTCTTAACAATATCAATTGGATAAGAAATACTCCAGAAGCTGGCAGCTGCAGACATACTGGCCATCAAGATTCCAAATTAGGATGCTTCTGTTCTATCTCTTCCTTAAGGGGTAAAGTATTGTAATGTCTTTGCATGAGATACAAAATATAAACCGCAGCCAATTGAATCTCTCATTAATTATAATTTAAGTCCTCTAAAGAATTAATTAATCGTAGTTTACTTATAAATGTTAAAAAAGCCTTAAGTTTTGAATATTTGATACAATTTATGAATTGGTCCATCAGTTTACTCCATTTTTTACAATTTAGTTTTTTAGGATAAAATTTTACCATATTCTAATGGACATGCGAATATATTGCTAGCAATACCCTATTTAATGTAATTGTATAATACTGCCATACTTCCTGCTAAAAATGTTTGTTAAAATGGTAAATAGCTATGTTCACTTAAATTATCCATTCTAGCAAACCACTTTCTCATATGTTCATAAGTAGGAAAATATATTGATCCAGCGCAAATTGAATTTAGAAGCTATATTGATACCCCTATGCAAATGTATAAAATCTACCTCTGTACAAAGTCTTTACTCCTTCATCTCTAATAATTTGAATTCCTGCTTTTATCATGCCTTGCTTTTTATGCTAAATTTGAATTCTGGTTTTGATAAAATCCAATGGATATCCAATTAATGTATGAATGCAACCTATTCAATTAGATTGAGTGTTTACTTGAGAGAGTGCCTGAAACAAAATTAATGATGAAATATTTCATGTATAATATTTTTTTAGATTAATGTGACTTATAGAATCAAGAAATAGAGTTTTTCTTTTTAATGAAGAGAGTGTAAGTTTAAAGTCTTTATTCTAATTATTTAGAAGCCAAATGATGTTCCCAGTTGATGCTATCTGCTTAAGTTGATTGATTTTATAAAAAGCCAGTTCTTAATTGATTGTAAAATTATTCTAAGACTTCTTATTAAGCCTTGATGTCTATCGCTATAAGATCAGGAGATTTAAGTTGATTACAAAAATACTTGGCACATTCCTTTAATAAGGCAATGTATTCAAAGAATGGATGAATGAATTCCACCTTCTCTACATCAGGCTACTTAATTTTAAACATTGATTATATATAATTTTTCCTCCAACTAAAATAGTTGTCATTCCACCAATGTTCTTATTTCTTCATTAATGTATTTACAGCTAATAATACTTCAATAGAAACCTAAATTTATTGTGTTAGATACATACTTAAACCAGCTAAGCCTGAAAATAATGGAACAACTCAACAGCATATTCATTAAAATCAACTTATAACTCTTAAACTCTAACTGATACTGTGATTAGTTATTTGAGTAAATAGATCAATTGCATTGCTGCATCTGTTTCTGGAATAAAGTTTCTTATTAGAACAATTGATTTTGTATTTAAAATACATTTAACTTCATTGACTGCAATCCAAGTCTTGCCTTCATTAACTATTCTATTCTTGTTTATATGTTTAGATAGAAAGGTTGACAAATCAGGCTAATTTAATTGTTCCAAACTAATCTAATCAAAAAAATGGATTTAATCTGTAAGTCTAGGAAATTAAGTAGCAAGATTAATTTAGTTTATTTGATTGACAAAGTTCTTATTTTATTTCTATGATTAACAGGTTCCCATTATTACAAATTTATTGCAAAATCAGAGTTTATAATATTACGATTATGTACAAATAGTATCAATTTAAAGTATAATAAATCATAATATTTTATAAATAGAAATCATTTTTATTGATTATGAGCCCACTTTCTAGCAAAAAGGAATGGATCATTTTGATGTTTGACATTTTCTGACAATATATCTATTAGAACTTCGTAATCTGGATTTTATTCTTTTAAAATAATTTGACTCAGCAAACTAACTAAATACATGCTAAGTAATTTTCCCTAATCTTCCAATTATGTATTAAAAAATATAAGAAATGTGTTATCCATAGTGAAATTCAATACATGTTAAACTTTTTCATAATAAGAGTTCAATTAATTAATCCAAATATTCAATTAATCTTTATATTATTTTGGAGCAAAAGAATAGAATGCTTTAGCTTTGATTGCCAATAATTTTCTCAATAGAAAATTACATTTTTATTTTTGTTCATTTTAGATATTCATATTTTTGATAACATTTTCTAAAAACCAACAAAAATTATATGTTGGTAGTATGATAGCTGGTAATTATGTTAATTAAGATTAAAACTTTTATTTTTATTATTACTATCTTACACCTTAGGTTGAAAATGAACATTCAGTTGATATCTATCCAATTTGTTCACAATTCTCATTTTTCATTTTTAAGATATTTTATGGTAGATCCTCTTAAGTTGCAAAATCAGACACAGAATTTACTTTGCAATCTGTTTTTGAAAATATTTTCATTGAATCAAATTTCTTCTAATCAAATGTTGAAGCTTTATTATGAGATTGAACATGCTTTTAGTATTTCTATCTTTAACTTTCCATAGTTGGTTATTTAGGTGTTGAGAGTGGAGAATTAATGTTGGATTATACGAATTAATAATTTAGTTTCTACAAAGGAGATTGGACTCTTGGTGAAATAGTATCGTTTTGGCTTTGGTCTTATTTCAATATTTAGATAATTTAATTTATATTGAGTCTGTCTTAAGGATTTATTTAAAGCATTCCAAATAGCAATGTTTTAATTATGGATTAATATTTAAATTCCTATTTCTGACATTTCTTCAGAATATCTTCATGAAATGTTTTTATATCTTGTCTATAAGGAGGAATACAATTAAACAACATTTCGTAGAGCATGATTCCTAAAGCCCATATGTCACTATAATCAGAATATTAATTTGTTTATGAAATTTCTGGTGCCATATACATAGGGGTACCAACATTAAATCTTTTTATTACACTTTCAATTTAATCTTCAATTAAGGCAAACCCAAAATCAGCTAATTTATATATACCATCCTTAATTAGGATATTGGCTGGCTTTATATCTCTATGGATAATTTCTAAAAATGTAATATTTATTTACTTTTTTCATGCAAAGCTAGAATGCCTTTAGAAACCTATAATAAAATAGATAACACTTTTTCAGTTGTTAATTCATTTTTTTTCATTTATTATTCCAGACTACCTTCATTACATAATTCACTAACAATGTAAGTATTGTTAGCACTTTAACTTATTTCATAAACTCTCAATAAATGAGGGTGATCTATTCTCAACAAAATGGCAATTTCATTTTTTAAAAGAGATTTTTGTATAGGGGATGTATATGTTTGGGAACTAATTACCTTTATGGCTACAACTCGATTGTTTTTGATGTGTTATCCTTTATAAACTTTAGATGAGTATCCGGAGCCTATTTCTTAAGAGAATTCGAAAATGTATTCTCCTATTTACTTTTTTGTAAATTCCTTTTAATTGTTCATTTGTTCACTTAAAATGGAGGAGTAAGATTTTAAAATAATTTTTATTATTCAAAATTAAGGAATAATTTGTAGAAGCTAGTTAAGAAAAATAAAATATAGTATTAAATCAATTATTTCAATGTTAACAAATCTTTAAAACATAAACAGTATTATGAAATTATTCGTAATATATAGTTCTAATAAATTTGTAATCGTTTTGTTAGTAGGATCATACATTCTAGTAATATTTAAAAAACAGCTTAATTATTATAATGTTTTAATTAAGAAAAATTAATTTACTTTTGTAATTGAATTGATATGAAAAATGGAATTATATAAATTTCATTAGAATTATGTGATTTCCATCAATTATGTAATTAATTTCTTCAATAACTTCAAATATTTATATTGACGTTTATTAACAAGTTAGCTAAGAATTTAAGAATTTTTTATGTGATTTTTAATTATTTATTTATTATGATTGTTTATCATTCAAAACATAAAGAATCTCAAATCTAAATGTGGTTTAACAATTATAAGCTATCATTATAGACATTTTTATTGAATAATTTAAATATCTTTTTCCATTTTATGGGTGTTTGCTCTAGCAATCCTAAAAGAAAATACGCTTCAACAAGAGGTAGTTAGAGTACCTTTTACAAAACTCAAGAAGTTTCGACAATAAAATCGAACAAAAGTCTAAAGAAACAAAGAACAAATTTTAAAGTTGCTCCTAATATCTTTATATCATTAAAGAGTGGAAGCATACTCTCCTATTATAAAGTATAATCAACCTTAGGGGAAGGTATTTATTAATTTTATATTTATAGGAACCTATGGAAGAGTGAGCTTGGTAATACAAAAATCAACCTAGATACTTCGGGCAATGAAATAGATAGCAAAGGACAAAATACTTGTAAGTTAAAGGGATAAAATGATTCAAGAAGTAAACATTTTAAAAAATCTTGATCATCCAAACATAGTAAATATTTATGAACTCTATCAAGATGAACATCAATATTATCTAATCACTGAGTAATATTTTACGTTATATAAGGTATTTAAGTGGTGGAGAACTATTTTAGAGAGTTTAGTAAAGAAATAATTTTAATGAAAAGGTTGCTGCTAATTATATGAAACAAATTTTAAGCGCAGTAAATTATTGTCATTAAAGAAATATTGTTCATAGGTAATAAATGACTCAATATCAAGAGATTTAAAACCAGAAAATATATTATTTGATTCTAAGACTTCAGATGACTGTCTTAAGATTATTGATTTTGGAACTGCAAAATAGTTAGAACAAAATTCCTAATTAAAATAAAAAATAGGAACTCCATATTTTATTGCTCCAGAAGTTATTGATCAAAATTATAACAATAAATGTGATATTTGGTCATGTGGAGTCATTCTTTATACTCTTATGTCAGGCAAACCTCCTTTTAATGGAAACAATATTAATGATTTATATAAAAACATTAAATAAGGATAAGTGGATTTTAATGGTAGATAATTATATTTTATTATTTATTAGGAACAGAATGGAAGGATGTATCAGAGGAAGCAAAAAGTTTCATCTTGAAAATGCTAACAGTAGATCCGACGAAAAGAATTTCAGCTGAATTTGGATTGAAAGATCCATGGATAGTTAACAACTAAAAAATTGAAAAAATCAATCCTAAAAATCTTTAAAATCTTGAATCTTTTCATGTAAATTTTATTTGTTATTTATTCTCAGAATAAAAGTAAACTTAGTTCTGCAATCTTATAATTAATCTCAACATAAATTATGAATTCAAAAGAAAAAAAAGAATTAATCGAAGGATTCAAAGCAATCGATAAAAATGGTGATGGAAAGTTAAGTAAAGAGGAACTTATTTCATGTAAATGAATTCTTTAATCTTAGGTTATATGAATTTATATTAAGATGAAATAAAATGTTCATAAATTGTTGATAAAATATTTCGATCTGCTGATCTTGATCATTCAGGAACGATTGATTATACTGGTAATTTTTAAAAATAATAATTTTAGAATTTATCATAGGTTATACAGAAATGTAAAACCTAATGGCTAAAGAGAAATTGGAAACAGCATTTAAATTATTTGATAAAGATGGAAATGGAATTATAACTAAATAAGAATTAAAGGAAATATTAGGTGGATTAGACTTGGAGGATAAATAATGGGAAAGTGTGTTCTTGGAATTAGACACTAATGGAGATGGTGAAGTTTCTTTTTAAGAATTTACATAACTATTATTAAAAGATACCAAATAAAACAAGTGAAAAAAGAAAACAATTTTGAATTCATATTTTGAATTATATATTAATCTAAAATATTAAATATACTCTATATTATATTTTGTATTGAATCCAATTAGTAATTACTAATAACAATTATGGAAATAATTATAATAAAAACAATAAGTTTGTTATTTTAAATATTACTTGTAAAACATTTATATGTAAAAATAAACTCTAGAAAAGATATCATTATTTTATATCGATAATTCCCAAATTTCTTAAATGTCTTAAAAAGATTTACAAAAATTAATAATTACTAAAAAAATACATTATTTTTTAGAGAAAATTATTTCACACAAACTCTAATTTTGATGAAAGATTATTTAATTACTTAGTATATCAATATTGATTAGAGCATATTGTTTTTCTCTTTGAAGATCCAAAAATCATTATAATTATACATAAGTATATTGATTATAGTTTTAATTTATTAACGAAATAATATATTTTAAATTTTCAAACAGTCAACAAAGAATGTCTAAATAACCCAAATAAGTATGCATTCATTTCATTCTTAGAGTCTTTATGAAGCATTTAGTAAACAACTTAAACCTTAGATGAGTACAACCTTGTCAAACCTTAAACCAGTTGTAAATGAGCGTCCAGCTACCGCTAAACCACTTCAAAATTTATCAAATGCCCCTGTTCGAACTCAAGAAGATTAGACTAAAAAAACAGTTGGCAGATCTCCCTAAAGAACAACATTTGAAAGACCTACTGCTGAAAATAAACCAATTGTATCAGAAATAGATGAAAGACCAATACCAAAATTATTATAGAAAGGAAAGTCACCATAACCAACCTAATAATTACAAAATCCAAATGAAATGATAAGAATATAAGATTAACGATAATTTGATGATAGACCACTTCCAACCAACAAACCTTCCCTTGATTCTTAGTTATCAATAAATCAGAATAAGCAATTTCAAAATGCAAAGTAAGCCAGTACTACACAGCCAACACAATCTCAACAGTACTTTAAAGCTTAACCGAATATTTAATAAACCGCTAATCAATAATAATAAAATGTGGTTAATAATAAATAATAAACTCCTTCTTAATAGTAACAATAGACTCGATTATCCCTGTAAAATACTTAAACCTAGAGGCAATAAGTGTTATAAAATCAATAATAATAATAATAACCCTAACCACAATAATCTTAAACAGCAAAATCTTAAGCATAATTTAAATAACCTTAATTTGAAGAATAGAAATCTCAATAAGAATAGTTCTAAAGGTAATAAAAAAATCAAGATCAATAACAATCATAGTAAAGATAATACTAATAATATTAATAATCTTAGTAATAATAAAGAACAATGCCATAAACTCCATAATAAGTTTAATTCTAAAATTCTTAATAATCATCATACTAATAATATTAAGAGTATTAGTAGCAACCAGTTTAAAACAAATAACAAAATATCAAACAAACAATGAATAGTTAATAAGATAATCGAGGATAATAGTAATAACAATAATAATAATAATAATAATAATAAAGATAATAATAATAATATCCTTAATACTAATAGTAATAACCATAATAATAATATATATAGGATTAACCAATAAAACCAAAATAATAATAATAGCCATAATATTAATAACAAATACAATAACCATAGCAATAAATTCAATAACCATAATAATAAAAAAGTTAAATGCCTCCTATGGAATAAGCAGAAGATGAAAGATTGTTCGAATGTCCTGAAGGTTGTGGAAGATCTTTTAATAAGAAAGCTTTGGAAAAGCATGCAAAAGTATAAATTATTATAAACTTTAGATTTGCTAAAAAGTATTCTAATAAAAGAGAAAAGTGTTTGATTCTTAATAATAAAGATAGTTAGAAGAAGAAGAAGAGGGATATAGACCTCCTCCTCCTCCATAAAAGAAACAATAATAATAATAATAATAATAATAACAATAAAAATAGGGTTAAAAACAAAAAGAATCTAAGAATGATAAACCTAAATGGAAGGCCTAAAGTGAAGCTTTTAGAGCAATCATTAAATAAGGAAAAGGAGAGTAGTTAACAAAGGAGGAATAAGCATCATTAAAGAATGCTATGGATGCTACTTAAGATTTAGTTTAATGTAAATTCTGCAACAGAAAGTTCAATTCAGAAACAGCCAAAAAGCATATAGCATTTTGTGAGACTAAAGCCAAATAGGCAATAACTTAAAAGAAAAAGAAATGAGCTATTAAATAGAAATTTATTGAATTATATTTATACTATTTATTATCAATTGCTCATTCTTCACATATGGATTGGTTTGAAATGAGCACTCATGCAGGCTTCCTTCAAAGCTTCGCTTAAGGTTGGATGAGCATGGCAAGTTCTTGCAAGATCTTCAGATGCAGCACCATATTCAATACCAAGAACAGCTTCAGCAATCATTTCTCCAGCATTAGGACCCTAAATTATAAAGCAAAAGAAATACCACAATATGAACTCCCAATAATTTATCTGTCTTTTTGTCTGTTAAAACCTTTATGAAACCTTCAATATCGTCATTGGCCTTTGCTCTAGAATTGGCTAAGAATGGGAAAGATCCTTTAGCATATTAAACTCCAGCTTTTTTTAATTCTTCTTCTGTTTTTCCAACAGTGGCTACTTCTGGACTAGTATAGATGACTCCTGGAATGGCATCATAATTAACATGTCCAACTTTTCCAGACAAGATTTCAGCAACAGCAATTCCTTCTTCTTCTGCCTTATGTGCAAGCATAGGACCTTCAACAACATCACCAATAGCATAAACACCGTCAACTCCTGTTGTAAAATTATGTCCAATTTAAATTCTTCCTCTATTATCTAACTTCACACCAATAGACTAAATTATGTGTAATTAATACTTCAGCATTCAATCCTTAAGTATATGGACGTCTACCTGTACTTACTAAGACATGATCTGCAGTTAATGTAATCTTATCACCTCCTTTTACTGGTTCAATAGTGACTTCAGCAGCATTACCAAGATTTTTTCCACCTAAAACTTTATGTCCAATTAAGAATTTGATTCCTTATTTGGTTAATATTTTTTAAAATGCTTTCGATATTTCAAGATCGATAGCTCCACAAATATTATCTAAATATTCAACTACTGTAACTTCAGTTCCTAATCTTTAATAAACAGAGGCCATTTCAACACCAATAACACCTCCTCCAATAACTATCATTTTTTTAGGAATTTATTGAAGAGACAATGCTCCAGTACTTGATATGATTATTTTCTCATCAAAATCTAAACCTGGGAAAGGAGTGGGTTCACTGCCTGTAGCAATAAGTGTATTTTTTGTAGTTATTGTCTCTTTCTTTCCATCATTTAGATCGATGGAGATTTCATTTTTAGATGTAAATTTACCCCATCCCTTATAATAGGAAACCTTATTTTTGGCAAATAGACCTTCTATTCCTTTAGTAAGGGATCCAACTATATCACTTTTCTTCTTCTGTACTTATACCCAATCAACTCCAAGATTATCAACCTTAATTCCTAAAGTTTTGAAGTTTTTGTGAGCATCTTCATATTTATGGCTTATATTTAAAAGAGCTTTAGATGGGATACAGCCTACATTCAAGCAAGTACCTCCAAGAGTACCTCTCTTTTCAACACAAGCAGTCTTTAAGCCCAATTGAGCAGCTTTGATTGCAGCAACATATCCACCTGGACCACCACCAATGACTACTAAATCAAATGGTTGACTTGAGAAGGAAGATCTTTAGAAATGAGTGAATTAGTTGGTTATTAAATATCTTGTCTTAAACATAATTTATTTATCATTAGTCTTTCAATACAAATTAGATTAAAATGACGCTAAATAAGATTAATAAAATAATCAATTTATTACATGACTTCATTTGAGATGCAAGAACAATACTCTTTATAGGATTCCCTTCTTTCTGATGCTTCTTCAATGTCTATCGAGTAAAGATCAAGAAGCCGCACTTTAAATAAAACAGTGAAATGGAAACTTGAATAATTTCATGAAAAGAATGTGATGCAAGAAGAATAAGAAAAGATCTAGCGAGTTATTAAAATATATGATGATAATTTAAATGATGAACATGGTCAAATTGATAACAATTTTTTTGAGGAATACTTATCTTGGCTTCCAGTCATTCTACCTAAACGAGTTTGGCCTTGGAAGATATTTGTAGCAATTACAACTCTCTTTGTTTTTTTCGAAGTACCAATCTATGTAATGTATGGGGATGATTTTTGGAAGGTATAAGTGTATATAATTAAAGGAACTTATAAATCCAGCAGGACGATATACTTTATTTTATGGAATCTTTATAATACTTTTAACAGACATGCTTCTTGATTTTGTAACCTCATACTATAAACATGGAAATCTTGTTTTGGATAAAAGAAAGATAGCCATGCATTATTTTTATGGATATTTTGTTTTTGATTGCGTTGCTGTATATATTTATTTATTAAGACTAGTTATTCTCTTGTGTTATTAGATTAGCAGTAGATACTAATCATCTGAGATTCATCTTCTTTATGTTTTATTTCAAATTACCTTCTTTACTTAGAATTGATCATCAAATTGCAGAATTGATATTACTCCATAAAAGATTAAGAACATTCTACCAAATAACAAAAATGTTAATTTTCATGTTCTTCTGCTTCAATTTTTATTGTTGTATTTGGTATGTGTTAGGAATTTATGGTGATAATATACATATTAATACATGGTTAAATGTACCAGGTAATTTTGGTGTCATCAAAGACAAATCAATTCATGAAATTTACTTTTATTCTTTCTATTTTAGTTTGAATGTGCTATCTACAACTATGGGTTTTGGTGATATTGTAAATATATTATTAATCTATATTTTAGTCTCCTATGAATATATATGAATGTTCCTTTGCTCTCTTTGGTGTTATGTTTGCTGTCGTTGTATTTGCTTTGAATATTAATAACTTTTAAAAGATGATGGAAGAATACAATTCTTATTATATGCAAAGATTCAAATAAAAAGTAATGTTCTAATATTAATATTAAAAGGTGTCTATTAATAAATTTATGGAATAAAAGAATGTACCTTCTGAATTAAGAGAACGTATTAGATAATATATAAATGAACATTGGGCAGAGGAAGGAAGTAGAGATTAGGAAAGTGAACAATAAGTATTTGAAATTCTAGCACCTGAATTAAAATAAGAATTAATGTATCAATCTTTAGGATAGTTTCTCTAAAAAACTATGTTTGCTAATCATTTCACTAAACCTTTTCTAAAAGAATTAGCATAGAAAATTAGAGAATAATCATTTTCTTAAGGAGATGAGATAATTGGTGTAGGATCTACAGACTAAACTGATGATTTAAGCATTTATTACATTGTTGGAGGTTCTGTTATTGTAAAACCAGGAAATAGTGAAATTATTAAAAAAAGATTGGGATTGTATAGTTATTTCGGAGAATGGTCATTCTTTACAGGTTATTATTTTAATATATATTATAATATTAGGTTTTCCAAGAACTGGTACAGTGAATGCTAGAGAATATTCATAAGTTTATGCAATTACAAGAGCTGACTTTTTAGAAACATTAAAGAAATTCCCTGAAGATTTTGAAATGTATTGTCAAATAAGAGATAAATTACTATTCACTAAAGAATATAACTTAGTAGAATAACAATGTTATACATGTAATAATACAGATCATTATGCTGATTAATGTCCTAAAACTCATTATGTACCATTAGTTCAAGAATTGATTGAAGAATCTACAGTTTTAGACCTTAAATAGGATAGAGTTAAAATATAGAGATTCGATAGAAAATAATGGGCTACTAGAGCTAATGCAACAACTCTAATCAAAGGGTTAAGCAATAACAAATTGAAAAAGAAGGCTAATCTTATGCTAAAAACATAGAGAGCTTTAAAGAAAAATACAGTTAAGATTGATAAACAATTAATTCCTTAATGGCAAGTTAAAGAATTTAAGAGTTTAGATGAAGAATAAGCAGCTAATCCAATGTTAGATGAAATGACAGAGAGTTAAAATCTTAATACATAATCATTTGATAATGATAATCCTTAAAAATAATAATAAGGTTAATTGAAAAACTTTGCAATTCAAACATTAACTTAATCTGCTATGTAATAATCAGCTCTATTGAGTTCAAAAGTTGTTGAAAATCCTAATCAATCTTAATCATAATAAAGAGATAATGTGATGGCTGAATATTAAAAGATAATACAACCAACTATCAAGACAGGAGTGGAATAATTTGATGCACCTGCTAATTACAAGAATTATTATAGAAAATACAACAGCAATAATTATTAGGAATTCAAAAATGTTAAAATAATTTAAAAAGATAAAATATAAAATATGAGACAGTCAATAATGTTTAAATGAATGGAATAAATATTTAAATATAATTATTGAATTATAATAATCATTTAATAAATTGATGTCTCAATCTTTAGTAACATCTCTTTTGGTAAAACAAGGAATACCATTCTTAATTGGATATTTGATGCCTATACTTGAAACATAATATTGTCCTTATCGTACTAATATCTCTTTAGTAATTGGGCAAATGAATTTTACTAAATTATTATTCATTAAATTATTTATAATATCAGAGTCTTTTTATCTATTTCTTATAAAAAAGTTCAAAAAATACGCTAGCTCCAAAACCCCCTCCTAATGGACCTCCAACATAAACCCATAAAAAGTCCATTCTTTACCTATCTCCTGTTTAAAATGATTAAAATAATTGCAATGAAACAGCCATACCTGGATTTAAACATCCTATTCTTAATATATATGTCATACCTCCTGAATGAAATGTAAATTCTCTCGAAAAGTACAATGCTATAGCAACTAAAACATAAGTAGTCATAGGCTGTCCTCCTGGAGTTAAAGTGGTTTCTGGATCTGTTTGAATGAGTATGAATAAAATAAATGTAAATGTTCCAAATGCCTCACCACTTACATCAGATAATATCCATGAATATTCAGTACTCTTAACTTATGGGCTATCTACTTCATTCAAAATTAAATAGCAACAGCAAGCTCCACATAATGCTCCTGAAAATTGAGCTAACCAATATATCACTGCTTAAGCAAAGTTTATTCTTCTAGACAATAACATTGATAATGTAACAGCAGGATTTACATGTGCTCCTGAAAATGGACCAGCTAAACAAACTGATGCAAAGAAAAACAAAGCTAAAAATTCATCAGAACCTTATGAACATATGATTCTAAATCTTAATTAATTTATACCCGTATGCAAATAAAGCCATTCCAAAAAATTCAAATAAAAATATTCTCATTTCATCTTTTGATTTTCCTGCTGTTGCTGTTATTATTTAATTTTTGCCTTTTGGTTGACTTACAACAGGATTTTCCTCCATATTAATTAAATTTATTTATATATAAATATTTATTTATTATTATATATCAAATTAGTTATTTGTAAATATGTAGATACTATTAGCTTTATATAATTAGATAATGTTATTAAATAGATAACCTAATTTATTGATTATAAAACATCATTTAATTGTAATATAATATAGATTTAAGAATCATTATTATAAACATCAATTAATAATTTAATGATTTTACTATTTATTTATATTGGATTAGTGAATTCTAAAGAATTAGGAGCTTTACTTGAGACAGTAAAAAATAATGAATATAGTATGTCTATCTTAAAGTAAATGAAATCATATTTGAATGAGAAAAAATGTAATAATATAATAAATAACATTAGCTCCATATGAAATTCTTGTCTATATAAATGAAGAAGAAGATAAATTAGTTTCTGAGATAATTGATGATATGAACAACTATCAATAAGAATAATTATTAAGTAGTTGGTTCTGTTGACATAGGTTCATAAAAAAAATAAGAATTAAAATATTAGATGATGTTAACTAAATTTACATCAGCATTACAAGCAGATGAATTATTATTATTATCAAATGAAGCCAAATTATCAGAAGATATCAGAATGCAAAGAGTGGATCTACTTCTAGAATTAGGATAAGTAATACCACAATTAGAACAATTACTTAAAGATGAAGTATTAATTATAGTATTAATAAATAAGTTAACAGCATTTGATTTAGAAAACAGTGAACTTGCCTTATTTCTTGAAAGTTTCAATGAGTTTATTCCTTCAAGTCCTTAAAAATTGAATGGATAGAAACAACATTTGAAAGAGAATCCTGAAGCAATTTTAAAAGAATTTATAACTACAAGTAATGATGACTCACCTTTAAATTTACTTATAAGTATAGTATAATTAATTACTTAATTACAAGGTTAAATTTAATAAAATTAGACAAATGGAAATATTAATGATGCAGTATCAAAAAGTAGAGAATTAATTAATGAGATATAAAAGTCATTATAATAAACAATTAAATCTAAGAAGGATTTGATTGAAAATGTTAAATAAAGTTTAACATAAGACAATGAATAATGGAAATTAGATGTTATTAAAATTTATTATTTAAAAATTAGATTGCTTCTATTGAACCAATAGCTAAGATTACAAAAGAGAAATTAGGTTAGTTATAAAAATAAAAAGATGAATTGTAAGTAATGTTGAAACATTAATAAATTGAATTTAATGAGTTGTAAGAGAACATTGATAATTTTTATGTAAATATTATAATTAATAAAAATAGACATCATATTCATCAAAGAGATTATAAGATATGAATAATTTAAATATAATAAGAATGATTAAGTAGTTCTATTCTGAGCATTTAGATGTTCTTGAAGATTTTATGAAATCTAAAATGTAATGAATAAAAAATATTATTGTTATATATATATATATATATTTTAAAGATTTAACTTATTAAATTGTTATATTAAATTTGAATCTATTTAATCATATTTCTTCATTTTAATTATATTATGGTTCTATTTGATTTATATCAAAAAAATCTTATTCAATTTAATTATTTTCATTTTCAGTTCTTTTAGTTGATGATAGAATATTTTACTCAAAATTTTTATAATCATAACTCAAAATTAAAGCATCATTAATAGTTAGAATATCATATTTATATTCTGATTAATTATTATTTCTTAAATTAATAGTTTTTAATTAATTCACTTAACCTTATGTAATTGTATAAGAATCTCCAGACTCTGATAATTAAATAGGAACTTTAATACCACTATTAAGAACTCTTTCTATTTCAGTTCTTATTTTTATTGATAAGAGTATAAATTGGAATCTAGAAATTTCATATAAGTTTACATGCCATTTGAAAATGAATCTATTTCTAAAATTAAAAATAACTAGAAATATCAACTTGTAGACCTTTAAATTTAACTTAAATAATTTTGCCAAACCAATTTTTAATGATTTAAAATTGTTTGATTTCAGGATAATATTATGTCATAATATCATCTAAAACATCTTATTTTAATTACTGTAGATTTAATATGGTGATAATAAATTTTACAGAAAATAGTATACTGATTATAGAACCTATTGCTGCAAATACTTCACTAATAGGTGGATATACAATTTAAACAGTATAATATTACTATTGAAATAATACAAAAAAAGCTTCATATGTATTAGGTAAAAATTACTTATCACAATAATCTTTTAAGGAATATTGTGGATAATTTAATGAATTTGATATATAAAATTGTGTTCTTCTTATCCAGTTGTTGAGAATAGAAATGCTCTATCTATTAAATAATGATTCATCTAATAGTGTAGGATAATGGATGAATACATTTCTGCTTAGGAATGTATATGAATTTGATATGTTCTTTCAAAAATTTAAGGTTCAAATTTTGATGGTTTGATGGTAGTAAATTAAATTTCAATATAGAGAGAATTTCCATGTTATTTAAGGTAAAGATTTTTAGTTTCTTCAGATGCACATTTCTATTGATCAAGTAGATAATCCTCTTTACAAAGTGTGAATATGATATAATATTGTTTAGTGTAATTCATATGTAGATTAATGTTTAGGACATCATTTACTTATTTATTAGAGAGTAAAGGTTACCATTTGAATTCAATATCATCTAAATTAATGGTTAAAGAATAATTTCATCTCTTTTAAAAGGGTCAATTGGAGACCATCCTTATTGATATGGTGGTTTAATATTTATAAAATTCTTAAGTTAACCAAAATTGTCTTTCTCACTGAATTAATTTAAATCAGATGTCACTTTAGGCAATAATTAATAAGTCCACCCTATGTATATGTAATAGATACCATACATCAAACTCAAAATGGCTATGAAAATAGATATCATTCCACCTAAAACACTAGAATGATTAAAATTAAATCCATCTGAAATTGCTGGAAAATAAGTCACACTAAAGAAGTCATTTTTTCTTAGATTTTAAATGAATTTGTTCATTCTCAATTTAAATATTACTAGTATTAAATTTAAATTTATAATTATTAGATAAAGATAATTCCTAAATATTTAAGAATGTTTAGTATGATGACTATAATGAAACTTTGAATAAATTAAATTAATAAAGTTAAATGAAATTCTTATATATAGATATGGATAAATGTAACAAGATTATATTAAATAGCATTAGTTTTTGTATGATATGATATAATTAATTGGGAATACTATTATGTTTATATAAATAAATATATTCTTCATTTACATTTACAATTGATTTCACCTATTTAAAAGCTGTAATATGAAATAGTATACATAAAAAACAATTTAATATTAAATTAAATGGATAATAGGTAAGGTATAGAGATGGAGGATGAGTATTATGAATTGTAAAGTCCTTCACACTTGTTTAAAAAGATCGATTGCTTTGTAACTTTGGGATAATTTGATTTAGATGAGGATGAAAATGAAAATTTCCCTCAACATATATAGATAGAGTAGCCAGAAATTAAAAACTTTAGGCTTCATAAATTTTTTAATGTAGAGCCTGAAGTGAATTAATTTGTTCAAAAGTAATAAGAGGTTCAACATGAACCAAGAATGAGACCTTAACGTAAGATGTCTCATAGTTTACCTTCATTTATGGAAGAAATAGATACACTAATTTCTTAGGTTATTGAGAAATAAAATGGATTCTTAGAATAATAAAAATATAATGTAAACAAATTATAGTTACTTAATTTTAGGATGCTTTAAATAATATTGATAATTTTACGTTTTTAGAGTAATCTCTATCTCAACCTTAAGTTTTCAAATAATTTTATTATCAATACATAAGAACTATTAATAAGTTAAAAATGTATAGATAACAAAAAAGGTATGTATAATAATCAAAAAATAATTTTAGATTAGATGTAAAATAATTTATGGCATTTGTTTGTTCTTTAGGGATTGAATTTATATAAGAGACATTCAATTTAATTCATAAAGCTGATAGCTCTTGGTGTTTTGAGTTGCTTAAACAAGAAGGTCTTACTTAATAAATGCATACTGAAAATTAATAATAATCATTATAAGATTTTAAATTATAGAAAACATAATTCCAATAAATTTATTAATAAAAGTAACATTAAATTGATATTAATAAAGAATAGTATTAACCATAAACAATATAATTAGTTGATTAATAATAATAACATTCTGTAAATTAATAAGAACAATAATTAAGTTCTTTAAGTATTGTAAATGAAGCAATTGAAAAAAAAGGAAGAAAAACTTGGTCAAATAAAGAAATGGAAACTTTATTAAATTTTATTAATACTTATTAAAATAGTTCAATTACTAATTAATAAATCTAAGAATTATCAAAATAATTAGGTAGAACTTGGTATTCTGTATAATCAAAAATATAAAAATTAAAAAAAAATGTATAAGATCAAATAAGTGATGTTAGAAGTTTGAGTATGAAAGATGATCCTTCAAAAGAATAATTAAAAATGTAAAGAATTAGCACTAAATATGATTATACTGTAGAAGATATGATTAAGATTACTCTATAATAATTAGAAGGAAGATGTGGTACTAAATAAAAGATTATTGAATCTATTAATCAAAATTTCTTTAATGGATAATTATCTGAAGATTCAGCTTGTTTAAGATCAATCTCAATAACTCTTTCTAATAATCGAAGTTAATTTATTAGGAAAATAAAGGGTTATTTTGATTTAAATGAAAATTATTAAGATAGAGGAGAGGATGACAATAAAATGAGAAATAAATTAGTAACCATTCTATAAAATCTACCATAACAAAAAGGAACTTTATAATAAATAGTTGCATCTTATACTGAAAACTAATTTTTTGATGAAGTCAATAATAAGAAATTATCAAAATAGATAAGCTAAACATTAAGACTCAGTAATCGTTTTGATAAAAGAAATGCTAAAACCATATATAAAATACAAGAATGAATTAAATAAATGTTATTGTTAATATGAACTAGTTCAGAAATTTGAGTCATTTTATGTAATTATTATATATATAAATCATTCAAAATTCAATTTATATTTATAATCTATTTAATTATTTTTATAAATAATAAATTGAAATTAATTTTAAGATAGTAAACCAAACATCATAAAAAGAATAAAGATTCTTTTAAATTACTATAAATTAATTTTAAAATTATACTGATATATTCAAATAATTAATATATAAATCTTAAATTTAAAACATATTTGAAAATAGGAATAAAAGAAATTATTGGAATGATATCATTAATAATGATTGATATAAAATGATTTTATCATAATCCATAAGGGTTGTCAGGTACATAAGGAGGAGGTTGCTTTACTTATTAATATTAATTTGGTTAAGGTTGCATACCTAATGGATTTTCTGGTTCTTAAGGGGGATATTAAAATTAAGGCAATTATTGATTAAGTTACTATTATTAAGCATCATTTATATGTTATCCTAAGAAATTTGTATTGGCTAGACCTTAAATAAATTTAGATTAGAATCCAGCTTATTAAGGAGGATATATTTATTATTATTACTATTAATAATTAGGAGGAGGGTAAACTTATTATTATTATTATGGATAACTTGATTATTATTATGTAGGATATTAAGGCAATTATTAGGATTAATATGAGGGTTATTAAGGTTAATATACTTATTAAGTATATGGTGGAGGTGGAGGTTATTAAAATTAAGATGGAGGTGGTAAATTTGGAAATGATTATTAAGGTATTTAAGGTACTGATTATTATTATTAATTAGGTTACATAACCTATTATTATAAACCATACTATTACGAATATTGATTGATATCGAATTATCCTAAATTGATGACTAAAATAATAATAATTGATAATAATTACAATTTTTAGGTCCAGGTTTTTTACCAATTAAAAGCATATAATCAACTAATTGATCTGGCAATTCTTACAATACATTTTTGGCTAATAATTCAGGATTACTCTTAAATTAATTAAATGGCACAAACTAAACTAAATCTCTTTGAGTTCTCCTTCCAAAAGAATCATGTAGATTACCATCATCATCATCCAATATAGACATATTAGTAAAATCTGCATCTCCTACTCCAACAATTATAATAGATAATGGTAAATGAGAGGAAGCTACAATGGAATCAATTGTTTACTATAAAATAGAAATATATAATACTTTCATATCATGAATTTCTCCATCTGTTAAAATAAATAATACAAAATATGTATTAGTATTCATATCCTTACAAGTTTAAGCTATTCTCATTGATTCTTAAATAATAGGATTAAAATAAGTAGGACCATCAAATTAGACATTCCTTACTGCATAATTATAGGCTTGCATAATTCCATCCATTTAAAATACTTCTGGATCTTGAGGATTACCATTTAATGGGAAACAATGTAAAGTTTAAGGAGTATTTAAATTGTGGAGTCTTGGTTTACAACCAAATCCAAAAATAGGTACTTTTTTATCATGATCATAATTTAATAAGATTTCTCCCACAGCTAATAATGCTTATTGATATTAATTCATTCTATGATGTTAATCATCAATATAATGAAGAGAACTTGGATTTTTTGGGGATTAATTGGATGCTGTAAAATCTATAGCAGAAATTAAATTTATTTATGTTCCACTCTACAAATAATCTAAGAAACTAGGTTTTTCAATTAATTTAAACTAAAATATAATTAATTTAGATTACTTCATTGAAACAAATAGAACCAGATTATTTTTTATTTTTATCAAATAATATTTTTTTGACCATATTCTTTCCCTTTAATTCATCTACTGAAAATTCAGTAGAACAAATATGTTCATGACTTCCTGAAGTTCTGTAATCCCATATTTCAACTTTTATAGGCATATAGTAATCTCCATTACATAATTTCTAAGATTATATATCCAATCTTTTCCATATAGGTTTTAAAGTACTTTTCATAGGTTCACTTTCATAAACTAATAATTATTAATTTGTATCCTTTCTTGTTCTATATAGTCTATAAAAGGGTGATGTACAATGCCAAGGTAAAAACCTTGTATTAGGTAGATTATCAGCACCTAAAAAATATAATAATTAGAATTTACTTATTTACATGATTATTTTATCATTTATCATTCTAACCTAATCTGCTCTTATAATTAATACTCCTGTTTTCTTATTACCATTACTTAGATTTAACATTAATAATTAATCTCTAGCTCCTGCAATATTTGCTAATGTAGTTTCAACACTTCCAATAAACTAAATATTTTCATTTAAATTGTACATCAAATTATCCATTTCCATCATCATCATTACAGATAAATTTCAATGGCTATTAACATTCAAAGTAATATTCAATTATAAATGTCTTTGCAAAGTTTGGATTTAAGTTATCTTAAATTATTTCTGTTCTTCCTACTTCTGACCATTAGTTATTTCTTTTCACATACATTATCACATAAGGATCACTTTTTGAAAAGGTATCCATGTTAGCTAATCCACGACAACTTATGAACAATTCTAATTTCTATTAAGATTCCATAATGCTTGCACTTCTTCCATATAAGTCATTCATTATTAAATAATATGTATAATTATTATTATTACATAACACAAAAACTAGTTTATTAAAATTTATCAAATATATCACAAAAAAAGCTAAATCAAAAGGATTATTATTAAATTTATATTTTATGTTAAAAAAGTACTCTTCATTAGCCTAGATGCAACAAGAGAGTGCCAGATCTGATAGGTAGTATCCCGTTTTGAATAAGATTTCTGTTTGCATATCGTAACAATGTCTATGATCTAACACATTTTGTAGATGATCATCCTGGAGGAAGGTTCTCTCTCTAAACTTTCAAGGGTAAAGACTTAGAAAATGTATATTCATTCAATTTAAACTCAGATTCTATTTAATGCATCCATACACAGACACTAACCCTCAATACTCTCTTCTCTAGAGCAATATAAATGTGGTGTAATTGAAACCAAAAATCCTTAAGACAATAAACCTAAGCCTCAAGTTATATAGACAGCCAAATCCAATCCTCCATAAAAGAAAGAATAAATTTGCAAAACCTAATTGACAGATGACAAGACCAATAGATCAAATGTCACATCACAATCTAAAGTCAGTATTTAATAAAACAGCAATTTACTATCTCCTGACTCAAATCAAATTAAAAAATCAAACTTAAAATAAACTTCAAAAACAAAACCTATCAATAAGAATGAAAGCAATATGGCAGAATCAACTAAAACTATTAAATCTAAATCTGATTTAAATATTTTAAATCACTAAAAGTTTTAAGACACATCATAATTCAAAGGTTCATCTAGTTAAATATCTATTATTTCAAATCCTAAAATTTCATTGCTATCCCCACAGATAATCCATGAAGAAGATGAATCTTAACCTTCCCCATTAAATAACGTTGAAAAATTTGAAGGTGGTCTTATACCAGAAGACAATATCAACTTAAAAGTACCCATTTTAAATTACTAATTAACTGGTTATCTTAGATTTAAATATACCCTAAAAAATTGATATCTATTGTATATGATATTTTTCTTGTTTATTATTTTATGTATAATTTAATATAAGTATCATTAATTTTATCAAGTATATCTAATACAATAAATTATGATAAAAGAATAGATAAGTTAGTTATAAGAATGGAATAAATAAATATTAAAATATAATAATGAAATAGGTATTATATATAAAATTATCTATTTCATTTAAATAAGTGAAATAATATAGCATCACATTGAAGTATATCCTATAAAATAGGTTTATATTGTTAACAATGAACTTTTTATTACAAAATTTAACGAAGAAATTGAACAAATTCTAAATAAATAATTTAAATGAAATACATGTATCTGATTTTGAATTGATTAGATCAATCATCTTTTATTCTCTAATCATATAGAAATTAGTAGAGTTATGGATCTAATTAATCTATTGATTGATTTAATTTTGAGTAATTGTATTCATTTAAAATTATGATGATAAAATCTTCAAAATTGCCCATCGAAGACATATATCATCAACTTTAGTTTCAAAATGTTATAATTTTTATGCAAAATTGTTTAAAAAGTTGAATCCTTATTATGTACTAATTTATGTATTTTATTCAGTTGAAATCATAGATAATAATTATTCTACAGTGAATCTAGTATTAGGATTTGGATCTAACATTCCTTTAAGTAATGAAACAAATATTGATTATGGCATTATTAAGATAGGATTATTGACATAATTTTGTATTATTTTCTTTAATTCAGATTCTTTGCCATGATAAAAGGGAACATTCCCATAAATGAGTTCATACATTGTAATTCCAACAGACCATACATCAGACTAAAAGCTATAAATATCATTTAGTAAGGATTCCGGTGCCATGTAGAGTGGTGTACCAAATGATGATTTTTATAACTCCAAAAAATTAATATTAACACTAAAACCAAAATCAGCAAGTTTAGGTATGCTTTTGTGCATCATAATATTTGGAGGTTTGATGTCTCTATGTATTATATCTATTTATTTTATATCATAATTACTCTTAGATTTGAGTTCCTTCAATGCCTACAGTAATTAATGGAAAATCCTTAACAATTATTAATCTGATCGATTCTTTACAAATCTCAATTCTCCTTCATTACAATATTCAGTTATGATATATTGATTGTTTGGAGTGTATATATAATTGATATACTATAAAATGTAAGGTGAATGGAGTTTCTTTAATGATTCAATTTCATTACTCAACATCTGTTTTGAAAAATTTGAATTCAATCTAGAATTCTCTATAACCTAAACATTTAGTCATAACCTTATTTACTTTAATTGCTACTTCTTATCCAGATCTTCTATCCTGTCCTTTAAATACAGAACTATATTCTCCTTTCCCTAGACAATCTTCTAAATGATATTCGAAATCATTTATTATTTTTTTAGGAGACTATTTACTTGAGGTTTGGATATTTTTTTGTTATTTCAAGTTTTCCAACATTAAAGTTTAAAATTTTATTTATTATTAAGCTTTTGGATTAGATTTTAATTAAAAATGAGCTAACCTCATGGATCTTCTATTCTAAGCAAAGATAATCCAAATCAAGCTCCCAATAGAAATACATCCAATGTTTTTACAGATTTATTGTTCTCAACATTTTATACTGTCATTGGATATGTTTGTCTAGATGTGGTATTTGGTATCAGTTTACATTACATTGCACAACACAATGATCCTAATTCTGTAGCTGGATTAGGATTTGCTTATACAATAGTAAATGTATTGTTAATTCCAATGGCTTTTGGTAATACTTCATTAAATATGAAATAGGAACTAATTAATCATTGAATGTACATTCTGCTCAAGCCTTAGGAGCAAAAAAAACTAAATTAGCTTAAACATATTTTACATTAACTATACTCATACATTTACTATATTTTATTCCATTCTCAGGTATGTCCTAATCAATTTTTTCATAGTTATTCTAATCTTGATTAAACCTATAATAGCATTGACAATTAATGAAAGAGATAGAGAAGCAACTTCTGATGCCTCTTAGCTTTATCTATATTATTTGCTTCCTTCAACTCTCTTTGCTATCCTATATGAATGTATCAAAAGTTTCTTGATCTCAAATAAAGTATATGATTTTGTTTTAAATTAGATCTTTGCTGTTTTTATGTACATACAACTATTCACAGCCCTCATACATATTTTATGGTGTGAATTGTTTATTGAATATCTAAATATTGGTGGAGGAGTACCAGGAGCAGGTTTAGCTATTATATGTACAGAAGCTCTTAATTTAATACTTTGTATCTTAGTAATCATTTGTACTAAATATCGAAAAAAAGTATTTTCAAATTACAGATTTAAATTTTCATTAAAGAGATAGAAGAATATATTTAAAAGCTTTTTAAAAGAATCATTTCCTATAATTGCACATATATATGCTGATTTTTTTGTATTCTTTCTTCTAAGTTTTATTGCTGTTGGATTTGGATCTGATGAATTATATGCATAAATGGCTTTATCGAATACTTCAACATTTTATTATAGATTTCCTATGTCATTATCTTTAGCTTTGATGACTTTTGTAGGTAATGAAATGGGTTCTTAAAATCTAAAAAGAGCAAAGAGTTATTCATTGGTTGGTGTAATTTTATTTGTTGGATTCACTACTATATTTATGGTTACTCTATCATTTATTAAAGATTAATGGGTTAATTTTTATTCAGCTGGAAGATAAGAAATCAATGATATATTATTAGAAGTATACCCTATTTTTGTATTTGGCTTTTTTGTTATTGATGGTTTGCAAGGAACTTTGACTGGAATTCTTAAAGGAATTGATAGAAAAGATTTTGTGACATATTCTACTCTTTTAGTATACTATTTAATAGGAATACCATTATTTTTATATTTTGCTTGTGATTTTGGTTTAGGTTTAAAAGTTTATGGCATATGGCTATCTTTTAGTTTAGTTAATGCACTTTTGGCTGTTTTATACATCATTTTAACTTTTACAACTAATTGGTATGAGATGAGTTAAAAAGTTTGTCAAAGAATTGAAAGTTAACATGCAATGCAAAATCTAAATGATTCGTTAAATAAGGTTTTGGTAGATGATAATAAAAAGGAAAAGAAGAAGAAAAAAAAGATCAAATCGATAAAAGTATAGTTATTATTTATATATTTTTAGTAATAAGATAATTAATATGAATAAGATTAAACCTAATCTAATTATTAAAAATTAATATCAAATCAAGTTAGATTAAGAGGGTCAAATAATGAAGGATTGCAATATAGTCTATAAGAGACTGAACCAATTAAACGATAAAAAATTGTGATTGTTGATTAATTGACAAATTTTTCTTGATCATAGTATATTATTGAAGATAATTAAACTTATATAAATATTTAATTATTATTTTTCATTTATATAAAGATTTTCTGCTTTTGTATTATTACATAATAATATTTAAAATGATGTCATATAATTCCTCTCTTTAAAATCATAAGTTATTAAATGAATAAAGAACTTAGTATTTATTTGCTTCTCTAATGTATATATGTTAAGTAAGAATTAAAAAATAGTTATTGTGATATCATTAAATGTAAAATATCTTTTATTTAATGGCATATTCATAAATCACATTCTTTATCCTCTTTTTGAAGAATTTGAAAATCTAAGTGTTTTCCCAAAAAGCGTTTATTTGCTTTATAGTGTTTATGCAACTTAATTAAACCTTTCATTTGGTGCTCTAAATTATCCATATAAAATATCTTTATTGAAACTTCTATTGCTACTATAATAGCAAAGTTTTGGTGGAGGGGAAAGACTCTTTGTATCACATATTACTTGTTTTAATTAAATCTCAATATCACAAAATGTAATTTTTTTGTATTTTTTATTATTTGTTTTTTTTTGTATGATTGGAATTGTACTTAATGTAGTTGATTATTTTGAATAGGTTTAAGATTATTTTGTATTTTTAGAATTACATATGCCCATTAATTAAATGAATTTAATTGAAATTTAATATCCATTTAATAATTCAAATTTTAAATCTCTTCCCAGAACTGTAATTTTATAAAATTCAATATTTTTATAAATAGATTCAGAAAATAAAATAAAATATAAATATATTCATAGTATTCATAATTATTCATAAGAAAATCAAGATATATTAGTTATTTTCTAAATTTATCATCTATAACTGTTTAATATTATTAATTTTATGAATTCAATTATAAACATTTATATATATATAGATACTCTATCATTATTGTTTGAAACTAATCTCATAATCTTAGAAACCATTCTTTTTAGCTTCATCTAAATATTTGTATAGCAATGGTCTTGAAACATTGTTTATGTATAAAGTTGTCAAATATGTATACATAAATGTAACACTAGAAGCAACCAACAATCCTAAATATAAATGTTTATAATGATTGAAATGTTCAAATGTTGTAGTGTAATATGGTTTAAAAACATATTTTAAAAGCAAATGAAATCCACCAATTGTTCCTATTAATGTCCCTCCTAAACCAAAGGCAAAATATGCAGAATATTTAGAGATTCTAAATTAATCATCTTCTTCTAAATGAACATATTATTTGACAGAATTAAATTTATAAAATATTTTTGATTCATATGGATGATCTATAAAGTTATTTCCATAAGGATTTAATGGATGATTTTCACTCATAAATGGTGTTTGTGATCTAAGAGCATTGTTGTTATTATTTTTAATCATAATAAAAATATTAATAAATGATAATGAAACAATGAAATTAACTGATCTCATTATTCTATTTCTTCATGTAAAAGTAATGTTAAATGAGTATCTGAAGTTATCTCATATTCTTTTAACTTTGCATCATCTTCTAATAATGTTTTTTCAAGAAATAAAGAAGATCTCTCTGATTCAATACCACATTTTGATTTTATCTCCTCTATTTTCATATTGGGTTTAGCTTTAATGTAATACGTATTGTGATTTTAGTCTTGTATTGTTAACAATAATAGTTTTCGTTCCTTGCGAGATCCACATAGCAAACAAAAAAAGGTTCCTAAAACACTAAACATAAAGAAAATATAATTATAATTAATATGAAACGACTTATCATAAATTTAAAATATCAAATCACAAGTATTAATATAATTATAAGAAATGATAACTACCATTTATATAATTCTTTATTGTATTTATGAGTAATAATAAATATTTATATTAATTAATTCACTATAATTTTGTAAACTAATTCTTAAAAATAAATATATTGAAGAAAACTATTATATTTTTTATACTTATTTATTCTATGAAATTATGCTAAAATGATAAATTTGAGTGTTTGGATATATTTTAAACAATCAGAGTTATTTCTTAACGGTTTATATTTTCTTCTATTTCTTTTTATCTCTTTGCACTAATCTTAATTATTTCTTTGATTTCTTAAGTTCATGTTCCATTTCCTTTTTTCTAAAGACGTCCTACTATTAATTTAGTTTTTTACTTCATAAGCATCTTGCTTTGTAGCTTCTATGATAGGTGGTATTACTGAATCTCTTTTTTTCAATTTCCTCAAAGCCCAATCCTTTTTATTTTCATCCCAAACCATTCGACTATAAAATTTAAATTATGGACAATATACTTTTTCTTCTTTTTAGCAAATTTACTATCCTTTACTTTCTAAATATATGTTTGTTATCTAGGCAAAATAATATTTTCTTTATCATATGGAAGATCTGATTCTTATTAACCTTCAATTAATCTTTAAGACACATATTTGAGCTACTCTGATACTTTATCTACAATAATGTCAAAATCGTATTATTCTACAGTATCCAAAGCTGTTAAAGTAAGCTTCGGTTTATCAAATAAGATGTTAATATTTGAGGTCATTTTAGGACTTAAATAAATAATAAATAAAATGAATATAAAGTTAATTTTCATATTTTTAGTGTTACTTGCATAAGGAGCTTTTGGTATAAAAAAATATAATAGCAAAAGGTGTTGTAACCAAGGTGACAGAATGCTAGGCTAAATGTGATAAATAAGTGAATGGATGCATATACTCATGTGCATAAACTTAGTTGCGATAATCGTTAGTAACTTAGGAAAGATGTTAAAAACTATGTGCAGGAGTTAATAAGGAATGCAAAAATAAAAAATGCTACTTAGATCCTTGATTAGTTATTTTACATATTTTAAAAAACGTATTATATATATTCTCTAACACCTTTTATCTATTTTTATTAATTATTTCAATGACATATGATGAGAATACTATCAACTAAATTGAAGAAGTTCTAATTAGAATCATTCTAATTACTAACACTCTTAGTGCTGTAGGTGCAACTTTGATGATACTGACTTATTTCAAGTATGGATTGTTAAATTAATAGATTTAAAGAACTGCAAACATTTGCATTTCGAATAGTATTCTATCTTAATGTATCAGATCTAATTTTGGCATTGTCAAACATGTTATTAGTGAAAAAAGATTTCAATAATGACGACCCTATATTATGCCTAATTTAATCGTATTTGATTAATGCATCCTAATTATCATCAATAATGTACACAGTCAAAATATATAAAGATGGACTGCCATCATAGCATTCATATTATATCAATCATGTATCAAAAATCAAAATGAATAATCATTCAATATTTGTGGATACTTATTTATTGGATTTTGTATTCCATTTTCTATTTCAATCTATCCATTTTTTACTCATGATTATGGATTTGCTGGTATTAGTTGTTGGATCAAAGAAGATGTAATTTATTATTTGCAACTTTTAGATTAAGCATCCTGTCAGAAGCACTATTGTTAGATATATTAATTTCTATATTCCATTAATGTTGATCATCCTTTACAATTCAAGTGTATACATATTCATTATCTGTAAATTATATGGAATATCACAATAATAAACTAAATTTATATATAAAATGATATCCTATCCATTGATATTAATAATATGTTGGATATTTACAGCATTCAATAAAACTTATGAAGAAATTTAAGATTAATAATAAATATGGTTGTTATACTTATCAAAGGCATTATCAGGATTAATGGGATTTTTTAATTATCTGGGTTATGGATTTACTCCTTAAGTAAGGGATTAATGTGCTAGATATTGTTGTAAAAGAAATTCAAAATCTGTTTCAGTTGAATTGGAATTAAAAAATCAATAATCTTTAGATACTAGTCAAAATACAGAAGAAATAAAATCAAGAAATTCAGTAAATTCATAAAGAGATAGTGTTTAAGGAGAATTAAGTTTTATAGCTGAATTGTATTGATTTCATATTTTTTTTATATATTTATATATATATATATATAATGTTTCACTTAGCATCTAAGTCTTTGTTTCTTTTTGTTCTAACATTTATTTTTGGTCCTAAGGAAGTGCCATTAATAAAATAAGGGAATTCATCAACATCTAAATCCTCAATATACACTTGATCTAAATTATCTTGATATTTCTATTCTATTAAACCTGTTGATTTGAGTACTATAGGAATGTAGGGTTTATTAGCAAATAATTATTTATAATCTTCATTATAGAAGAGAGGCTTAAGAGTTTTGTGAATTTCATGTTTTGTGATTATCTTTCTGATTGTAATTTCATTCCAGAATGGATTTTATAGAAATTCAGCATAATCTTCAATTACAATATCACCAAATCGATTGTAGAGTACATAAACATTTCTATTATCTCTAAAGATTATTCCAAGGGAATCATAATGAGGATATGGCTTAGTGAATTAAGAATATTCACATTTAATTATATCACTTACTGAGATACATTCCATGCATTCAAATTTCATAAACACTAAATCACCAGAGTCTAATCTATCCAATACTATTTAATCTGCTCTGAAACCATAACTTAAACCAAAGTATTAATTTTAAGGTCGAGTATTGTCTTTGAATTCTACTTCATTTTCTTTTTTGATTTATAATTCCTTTTTGTTTTAATATGCTGTATAATACAAGTAGCCATAGCCACTAATACCAAATATTCCAGAAGTCAATAGAAATGGTTTTATATTATTTTTAATAAAATTCATTATTGAATTCAATTATATCATCCATATTTCTATTTAAATTCGCCTGCCAATCCCTATCTTTATTTAATGAAATTCTTTTCTCCTTCTATATAGCGTGTTTAAAATACTATCTATTAAAGGATTTAAAAAAAGAATTTACATCTTTGGTTTTGCCAAAATAAACACTATCCAATTGAGAACGGAGGTAACTCTCTACATCTTCCACTAAAGTTCCAATCTTCATTATGTGAAACAACTCTAAATCTTTATTACCTGCAGGAGCTTCATAAGATTCTTCTTTCTAACAAAATCTATTGTAATGAATACTTATTTGGTTAATGTGCCTGTTATATTGAATTTGCCAACATCCTGATTTTAAACAATATTCATTTCTAAAACAACTGATGTAGTTATCTTGTAAGTCCACTTAGATTTTCCATCTGTCTTAATATCTATCACATTAATTGAACTCCAAGATCCATCCTCAATTCCCTTACTTTTTTCTACATTTTTCCTTATCAACCAAGCTGTAGCAAATCCTCCATCTTCCTTATCCCAAAAATAACAAGATGACAATCCTCCTTCATAATATCTTTTCATATATTATATAAGTACAATCTTTTATATTCATCAAAGACAGCATTTGCTTTGATTTCTAATTTACGTAATGCTTCAGAAGGATAAACTGCATCATCAATTGGAGGATAATATTAATTTGTTACATGAGATCTAAATGAGTCTCCATCTCTATTGAATTCAGATTATATAAATTGATTTCCTTTTTCATCCTATCCAATATCTAAAATTTTCATCATTTTCATACCTAATGGTTTATCTATTTTCTAGTATAACTCTTCAGCATAATCAGGAATCAAAGATGCTAATGCTGCTGCATTCTTCTACATCTGAGTTGGAGGCAACCTTTTCAGGATGTTCAAGCAAGAGAGGATTTTTTCTTTCGATTCCATTATTAATTAATTATCATTACAATTATGATTTATATACAACTAATAAAGCTAGCGATGCAGCTAGGGTCATCCCATAGTGAGCCATCAGACAAGTTATGAATCCATATTTTTCTCGAATATGCTCAAAAGATCCACCTATTGACATAAAATATGTTGAAAATCCTATAGCAAATTCCCAATCTGATTTAAATATCTTCAATAACATTATGAAATGAAACAAAGCATAAAATAAATTAATTAAGGATCTGTAGTTCTCACTTTCCTTATAAGTTTTCATCAAGAACAACCGCCTTTTATTAATTGTAATTTATTACCAATACCATTCCTCCAAAAAAGGATTACAAATTATCAATACCAACATAAATGCTCCAATATAAACAGGATGTTCTAAAAGAGGAATCCTCAAATAATCCATAATCTCTTCTTCCCAATAATATGTGAAAATTAACGATAATAAAACCATCCCAAATGCACTTCTAAATAGTGAAAGTCCTCTTTTGATCTATTCTTATCTTCCCTCCAATTCATTTATGAGATATGCTATATTTTATTATTCAAAATACCCCTTAATTCCCCTTCTTTGCTTAAAAATTTTATATAAATAGCAGGTATCACAACATAGAAAAACTATAAAATACACAAAGTAGTCAATGCTTCATCTATATAAAATAGCCCAAATCCTGTAATCATTGTAGGTATTATTAAACATAAAAAAAGATACGAATGCTACTTAAAATTCAAACCATAAAGACCTCCTAACATCTTATAGGTTTAAATTAAGTAAATTAATATTTATATAATATGAAACAAATAATTATGAAGGCTTTCGATAAAAAATATAAAGTTAAACCTGGGATATCTGTTATTGGCAATACGGAATAATGTAACATTCAAGTTCCTTTGCCTGTATGTTTCAAATTAAACTATGATTCAAATATTTTATGGATTTAGCCAATTATAAATATTCATAGAATTAATGGCCAAGGAGATGCTCAATTATTGAGGATAGATAAGGAATATGAATTAGATCTTACAACTGGTCAAAAACAAATCATTGTCTAAGAGCAAACATTAACTTTTGAATATGCAAAACCCAAAATCATCAAAATCAATCTCATCAAACAAAACAAACCAAATTTAACTATTCTCGAACCACAAATCAATAAATAGACTTAAATTGAATAAAATGAAAAACCTATAACAAATTCATAGAAATCAAAAAGCTAACCTAAACATTATTTACTAGTTTAAAATTATGTACAAATCATTATTCATAATTAGATTAAATAAATGAATGGAGAATACAGAATCAAATTTTCAAATTTTTCAGTCTGTAATGATGACCTGTTAAAATTATTAAAAATGGGCATTTATGTTGATATTGAATAATATAACATTTTGGTTATGGAAACATTCAAGAGAACTTTCAATCTCCTTTTAGCAATTAATGAAGGGAAAATGATAGTTAATTCTTAATGGATTAAAGATTGTCTTTCCACAATGTAAATTTAAAATCCCTATCTTTATGTTTTGAAAACAAATAATTTAAGTATCTTAAATTCTATAGAAACATCACTTTCATAATCAATTTTTCTAAATAAGTAGTTTAATTTAAGCCATGATTTGAAATCTAATCTTAAAAATGAAGAAATTGTTTAGTTAATAGAGGCAGGAGGAGGAACTATTAATAATGGAGAGAATTCAATTAAAATTGTAAATAATGGTGAAGGTGGAGGATTGGAAATTGAACAATTGATATAAATGATCTTGTTTTAAAGAGTATGATTAAACTGGTTATAAATTAATATTATTATCATGAATTAAAAACTTTGGATCCAAATTCCTAATGAAATAAAATAGAGAAATGACAAGCCCATCTTAAAATCTGAATTTGTTAAATTGAAAAAAAACAAAACAAGAATCTTATATGGTTATGATCAATACATTCTACTTGCAAAAGTATTTCAGTTTTTATCAATTAAACCAGAAGCCAGATTAACCTCCTTGTAAATATCTCAAACTAGATTTTGAAACCAAATTTGAAATCATTAGAACACCTGTTCAAAAAAAAGACGAGGATGATGATACTCTTGGTCAAATTATTGGTATGAACTTGATGAGGGATTTTGGTCAAGCAGAACATCCTAGTTACAATTTGTAAGGAAACGAAAAAGTAATAATTTAATGGAGAGAATTTTTCTAATCAAGAATCAATTAATGGCAATTTCATTCCCTTTTTAGAGTGTTCAAAAAGATTGGAAAGGGTAATTTTGCATCTGTACTCTATTATAATTAAATTTATAGGTGTATTTGGCAGAAAGAATAGAAGATGGGGTGTAAATGGCAATCAAAGCTTTTTCTAAGTAAGCTGCTTATGCTGAAGAAAATGGTAAATAGGCTATTGTAAATGAATTATCTATCATGAGAAAACTAAATCATCATCACCTTATGAGAATGTATGAAATATATGAAACAAACAACTCATTATATGTGGGATTAGAATTATTGTAAGGGGGTTCACTCTATGATCTCATCAAGGAAAAAGTCATTCTTTCAACAAAATAAATACAATAGATATTAGTAGGAATCCTATAAGGATTATGTCATATGCATTAGAAAGAAATTATGCATAGAGATTTGAAATTAGAAAATATTTTATTTAAATAATCAAAGTATTTAATTTATCAAAAAAAATAATAATAGAAAAATGGATTCAGTCGTAGTGGCAGATTTCGGTTTAGCTACACACGTAAACGAACCTGTTTATTTATATTGCAGATGTGGAACGCCAGGCTATGTTGCCCCAGAAGTCATTAATATGAAAGATATGAAAGGTCACTATAGTTCAGTTTGTGATATTTATAGTCTAGGCCTTGTATTTTACTTATTATTAACTGGTAAACCACCATTTCCAGGTAAAAGTTATGCAACAGTTGTTAAACAAAATAGAGAAGCTAATGTTGATTTTTCAATAAAGCAATTATAAAATGCTCCTAATACTGCTATTGATCTTTTGAGAAAAATGCTTGAAAAGGACCCATAAAAAAGAATAAAGGCAAATTAATGTTTGTAACATTCATTTCTCTCAGAAATTAATTAAATTATGCTTGAAGATAATTAGAATGATTTTATTGAAGAAGGGGAAGAAAATGATTTATGTTCAAGAATGAATGCATTAAATGAGGAGTATTTGTTTTCTCTATCAAAGATCCGTAAAATTCGATGCCTTCAGAAAGAATTAACTAATTAACTCTCCATAATCTTCCCCTGGAGTATTGGCAACAAAGCAACTAAAATAATAAAAAAACATTGATTCTTCTAATTCTTTACAAATGAACTCACCTCTATTTACTGGAAAAACTGATAGTGTTGATTCTATCCCAAATATTGGACTTCAATAAACTCAATAATAAACTTCTTTTCAAGCTTCACCTATGATTAAACCTTCTCGCTTTAAATAGTAAATATCATTAGTTTACATTAATTAGAACAATCCCCCAATAAATGTAATAATAAGATAACCCATTATTGAAATATACAAACAAAAAGGAATGAAATTAGTTATTACAAGAATAATTAATTTTATTAGAATCTTCTAATAATATATTTAGTTCCAATTCTTTTTCTCAAATACTTTTTAATATCCCTTAATTTTGAACTTATTAAAAAATTCAGCTTCTTTTATATAAATAAAATTGAAGAAAACGAATTTTTATTCTAAAATTAAAACTTAAAAAGGAGTCTTATGTAACATAATCATTTATCTATAAGAATAATATAAAAATAAATCTATAATATTATTCATTTTCTTAATGAATTCTCTACTCTGTTGCATGTTTAATCAATTAAGTTGATGAGACTTTCTTCAGTTGCTTCTCTTTCATTTTTCTCATTTGACAATTCGCTATTTAAATAGTGATTCATTTCATCTAACATTCTGAACATTTAACCTTGGGCCTGTTCCCTTTATTTCTTTTCAGTAGTTAAAATTTCTTATAATTTGAGAATGGAATCACCTAATCGTTTAATAGTGTTCTAATTTTATTATTCACTATAAAAGTAAAAATAGAAAATTACCGTTATCTTCTCTCTTCTTCTACTTCCTCTTATAATTACAAAACTCGATCTCCTATTTCTTAAGCGTTTTTCTCCTCTGTTTCTTCTCTATATTTTTTTTATCTAGCCAAATCCAATCTCAAACTGTAAACTTTATCATCAGTGTTCTTGATAATTTTTCCCTCAAAATCCTTCCTGTTTACTTTTTCTTATTATAATTCTCTGTTTAAAAAACCTTCTAAACCTTTTAAATCTTTGGATCTTAATTTTTCATCACCAGCCTATTCTAATAAATAGTAATTACCTCTCTAATTATTTTCTCATTCTAAGCCCCCTCTTCAACTTTTTAAAGCTACTCCTTTAATAACTTAAACTTTGAGTCATCTGCCTATGCTTATTTTGTAGCCTTATCTTCTAATATCTTAACCTTACTTTCAAATGTTTCTTTTTTAAACTATTTAGTATTAGCAATATATTGTTACAGCCTAATCTTCATCAATTGAGTGTTATAAATTAGATAATTTTTCTGATAATTAAGAGATTTTGGCTCTGCTAGGTGACAAAGCTCTATCTCCTCCATAAGCTTACACATTTGAAACGTTAGAACGTGAAGGTGAATAAAAGATCTTAGAAGCAGACATAATTAATTAGCAATAAAAATTATTTCTAAATATTTTATTTTTTCAATAAATATCTTGTAGCTATATTAATTCTTAATATTTATTCATTCGATATATTGATTAGTTGAATTAGTTGAGATATCTATTTAATGATAAATTTTCTCTCTATTTTCAGTTAAACATTTTAGAAATAATTTTAACATTTCTAAAAAACAAAAATTATAGGCTTTTTTAATTTAAGATCAAATTAAATTTTGAAGATATTCTTATAAAGATGATCAATTAAAATAAACATAAATTTATTATTTATTAGCATTCACCGTTTTCTATTCTTAGAGAGTTCTTCTTTAAGTTTTAATTATAGCCAAATATGCCACTTAAATATTAAATAGAAAATTACTTGATGAAAAGGTAAATTGCGATTTTTTACTTCTTAATAGAAGTTTTTTAATTTAATTTCTGCAGCAGCCATGGGATCGTCACTACTTAGAGCAACAGCTTGAGCAGTCTACATAATATATTTAAATACAAGTATAAAATATTATTAATACTAATCTATTTGATTAGGTTTTTAGGAGATAGAATTTGAAGGAGACCTAGTTGGTGTCATTTTGTCTATATCGTTCATAAAATCATCATATTTCTTCCTCAAATTATTCAATTCTTCAGTTTTATTAATTTAATCTTAGAGCATCAAATTATACTAATCACTATGATCATAAAATGAAAAAATACTTCAAAGCATTAAAATCTTATTCTCTTCTATTTAATGCTTCTTAAATTCGATTAATTTTATTTTAGTAATCCTTTTTCAACAATTCCATCTCTTATTCTTGCTACTTTGCAATTTCATTTAAATTAACCGAAGAAGATTTTTAGTATCCTTCAATTTTTTCATTTAAGCCTGAAATATTTAATATTAGGCTTTCTATTAATAATTTATTATTAGTTTAATTTTCCTAACTTTCTTTTAATGATTGTTCCAATTAATTAATTTACTCATTAGATGATAAAATTTTCATTTAAACTTCTTTAAAATTATTAATTGTTAATTCTATTTAACGATTAAGAATATTTACTTACATCATTGTACTAGTTCTATAAAAATATTAAAAAAAATTACTTTAATTTATCTAAGTCATCATAATCATCTTAAATTAAATTCTCTGTTTCTTACTGATTAATCTTTTTCAATCCATCAGATTGCTTAATTAGATGCACTAAAATTTCCTAAATAAAATTTCTAACAATATTTAAATTTTATACTTTTGCATTTCTCTAAATACACTTTCACTACTAATTATTTCGGACAATTCGTTTATTTTTTCTAAGTATTTGAATTATTCATTTCTCAATTCTAAAACCTATAACTCATATAGTCTTAATTTTTCATTTTATGTTTAAATATTGACATCAAATTCTATTTTCTGTCCTTACAGTTATTCAAGTAACTCAATCTTATTTTCTGAAAAATCTATGACATCAGAATTTTTTTGTTGTGATTTTATATAATTTTCAAGCTATATTTTAAATTGAGTTTCTTGTGTAGTCCTAAAATTTTATTCATCCAAAAGTTTTTGCTGATTCAAAATAAGATCCTCTTTTGCTTATTTAAAATCTTATTCTAGCTATTCTATTTCATATATTTTCAAAGTTAAAGATTATTTTAATTCTTCAAGATTCTTATTAATCTCATCTATTTCCTCGTCTTTTCTTTAAATGGTCTCTTCAAAAGTCTTAGTTAATTCTTTCAGATATTGCTTCTCTTCAGATAACTAATCAATTAATTATTTCAAGTTTTAGGTTTTTACACTTTAATTTTGATCTTTTTCAAAAAATTAAGAAATTTATTCATTTAATCTTTAAACTTCTTATTTGCTTTCCGTTAATTCCTAAGAATACAAATCTTATTAAGTATGAGCTTCCTTAACAAGCTAATATTATTCTGCTAAATGAATTTCAAGTTGATGTTTTTCTTTTTGTATTTACTCAAACAAAATCTTCAAATCTTCTAAATCTTATAAACTTTTGTTTTGCTATTATTCAAATTCTTAATATTAGATTTAGATTTAATTTATTTATTAATCTTTTAGAGTAAGTTAATGAGTCAATTATTAAATCATATTAATATCTTCTTATGAAATTTTTTTAATTCTTTTTAACTCTTGATCAAGCTCATTGTTTAATTATTAAAAGTTTAAACAATTCGTAAATTATTATTCAAAATTTGAATTCAATTCTAAGATTTTTTATTAACTTTCTTTTAGTAATATTTCAGATTTTTATTTATAAGCATTTGCTTCCAAAGATATATTGTGTATGATTGATTCTAAAACTAGTATTTATAATTGTTCTTATATGTAATATTAAGTAAACAAATGATTTTAAGAATCGTTATCGATAGTTAGTTACTATATATTAGAATTGAGCGTTTAAACTTCGGTTTAGTATCCTTGAATTTAGAGATTAAATTCAATAATTTATTGATTTAATTAATTAAGATCATTTTAATGTATTGTTTCTTTAGTATGTTATTCTTTTAGCAATTATTGATATAAAATGTGAGCTTCTGATTGAGAAGCATTCATTGAAAGTTAAAGTTGATTGAATTATTCTTAAAGAGATTACAATTCATTTTAAATATGCAGAAGCTTTTTCTCACTCTCTGAGAGCTCTTCTTTGAGAGATGCAACTTAATGCTCTTTTTCTTTCTTTATCACTTCTAACTCGAGTCTCAACTTTTCACTTTCTTTATCTTTTTTCTATGTTTCTTCTTCTAGAAAATGTATTTTTTGTTAATTCCCTTCATTCTAATTAGTAAATTGTAACTTTATTTCTTCAATCTCTTTATCTAGTTATTCTTTTTATCGATTCAACTCAGTCTTATTCATTTCTAACTCAGTAATTACAGTTTTGAGCTAGTTACTTTCTTCTATTTTTTAGTTTCTATCTTATTCAATACTATTGTATTTTAATTGTAACTCTTGATATAAAATGTGAGCTTCTGATTGAGAAGCATTCATTGAAAGTTAAAGTTGATTGAATTATTCTTAAAGAGATTACAATTCATTTTAAATATGCAGAAGCTTTTTCTCACTCTCTGAGAGCTCTTCTTTGAGAGATGCAACTTAATGCTCTTTTTCTTTCTTTATCACTTCTAACTCGAGTCTCAACTTTTCACTTTCTTTATCTTTTTTCTATGTTTCTTCTTCTAGAAAATGTATTTTTTGTTAATTCCCTTCATTCTAATTAGTAAATTGTAACTTTATTTCTTCAATCTCTTTATCTAGTTATTCTTTTTATCGATTCAACTCAGTCTTATTCATTTCTAACTCAGTAATTACAGTTTTGAGCTAGTTACTTTCTTCTATTTTTTAGTTTCTATCTTATTCAATACTATTGTATTTTAATTGTAACTCTTGATATAAAATGTGAGCTTCTGATTGAGAAGCATTCATTGAAAGTTAAAGTTGATTGAATTATTCTTAAAGAGATTACAATTCATTTTAAATATGCAGAAGCTTTTTCTCACTCTCTGAGAGCTCTTCTTTGAGAGATGCAACTTAATGCTCTTTTTCTTTCTTTATCACTTCTAACTCGAGTCTCAACTTTTCACTTTCTTTATCTTTTTTCTATGTTTCTTCTTCTAGAAAATGTATTTTTTGTTAATTCCCTTCATTCTAATTAGTAAATTGTAACTTTATTTCTTCAATCTCTTTATCTAGTTATTCTTTTTATCGATTCAACTCAGTCTTATTCATTTCTAACTCAGTAATTACAGTTTTGAGCTAGTTACTTTCTTCTATTTTTTAGTTTCTATCTTATTCAATACTATTGTATTTTAATTGTAACTCTTGATATAAAATGTGAGCTTCTGATTGAGAAGCATTCATTGAAAGTTAAAGTTGATTGAATTATTCTTAAAGAGATTACAATTCATTTTAAATATGCAGAAGCTTTTTCTCACTCTCTGAGAGCTCTTCTTTGAGAGATGCAACTTAATGCTCTTTTTCTTTCTTTATCACTTCTAACTCGAGTCTCAACTTTTCACTTTCTTTATCTTTTTTCTATGTTTCTTCTTCTAGAAAATGTATTTTTTGTTAATTCCCTTCATTCTAATTAGTAAATTGTAACTTTATTTCTTCAATCTCTTTATCTAGTTATTCTTTTTATCGATTCAACTCAGTCTTATTCATTTCTAACTCAGTAATTACAGTTTTGAGCTAGTTACTTTCTTCTATTTTTTAGTTTCTATCTTATTCAATACTATTGTATTTTAATTGTAACTCTTGATATAAAATGTGAGCTTCTGATTGAGAAGCATTCATTGAAAGTTAAAGTTGATTGAATTATTCTTAAAGAGATTACAATTCATTTTAAATATGCAGAAGCTTTTTCTCACTCTCTGAGAGCTCTTCTTTGAGAGATGCAACTTAATGCTCTTTTTCTTTCTTTATCACTTCTAACTCGAGTCTCAACTTTTCACTTTCTTTATCTTTTTTCTATGTTTCTTCTTCTAGAAAATGTATTTTTTGTTAATTCCCTTCATTCTAATTAGTAAATTGTAACTTTATTTCTTCAATCTCTTTATCTAGTTATTCTTTTTATCGATTCAACTCAGTCTTATTCATTTCTAACTCAGTAATTACAGTTTTGAGCTAGTTACTTTCTTCTATTTTTTAGTTTCTATCTTATTCAATACTATTGTATTTTAATTGTAACTCTTGATATAAAATGTGAGCTTCTGATTGAGAAGCATTCATTGAAAGTTAAAGTTGATTGAATTATTCTTAAAGAGATTACAATTCATTTTAAATATGCAGAAGCTTTTTCTCACTCTCTGAGAGCTCTTCTTTGAGAGATGCAACTTAATGCTCTTTTTCTTTCTTTATCACTTCTAACTCGAGTCTCAACTTTTCACTTTCTTTATCTTTTTTCTATGTTTCTTCTTCTAGAAAATGTATTTTTTGTTAATTCCCTTCATTCTAATTAGTAAATTGTAACTTTATTTCTTCAATCTCTTTATCTAGTTATTCTTTTTATCGATTCAACTCAGTCTTATTCATTTCTAACTCAGTAATTACAGTTTTGAGCTAGTTACTTTCTTCTATTTTTTAGTTTCTATCTTATTCAATACTATTGTACATTATTATATTTTCTTATTTAATTCTTTCTAAATCATCTTTAAGACTGTTAATTTCATTTTATTAATTAATACATTTTTCTGTTTATATTTCTAATTCAGTTTTAATTTTAATTTAGTTTTAATCTTTTGCAACATTAACTTCTTTTAATATTTTCTTTTTTTAAACTATTTTTTTTAATTTCTCATTCAATTCTTAGTTTTATTATTCAAATTATTTTTTTTCTCTCTCTAAATTTGCACATTTAATTTCTATATCAGAATAATTTTTCATTATAGCCTACAAGGTTTATTCCATTTTAGAATTTATATCGTTAATACTATTAAACTCTTACTCCTATTATTCTTTTTACTTTACAATCAAATCAAGTTAATTTTATAATTTTGTATTTTTTTCAGTTAAATTTTTGATATCAGTATCGCTCTTGATTTTGGCCATTTTATTATCTGTTGTTAGGTGTTAAATTTCTATCAAAGCTTGATCTAATTTTAATTATTTATTATCGTTTCTATCATTTAATCTATCTATTTCTTATTTAGATATTTTAGCTTAATCATCCATTAATTTACTTTACTGTATAATTTTTCCATTGAGATTATTTATATCCTTATATTATTAATCCACTGTTTCTTATAAGCCTTTTAATTTTTCATTCAATTGATTTAATTACTCTTCACTTTTATACAACTTTACTTTGGATTAGTCCAATAATTTTGAATGTTCAATCATTTCAAGTTTATCTTTGTCATTTGAAATTTCAAGCTCTTTATTTTTAAAATTTAAGAGATCTATTTTTTTTTTTTATTCATCGATTTCAAATTTTAATTTTTGATTCTCCTCTTAGATATTTTTTAATTATAATTCATATTAATTTACTTAAAGTAATGTCTTTTATAATATATCTGAATTATTTTATTCTGACATAAGAATATTTTTTAGGCTTTGATCCAACTTTTCTTTTAACTTTTTTTTAAATATTTCTGTTTACTCAATAGGTATATCCTTTTTTTTAAAAACACTTGCATTGCTTCTTGCCCTAGTGAAAATCAAATCAGCATCAGAAATATTTAAAATCTAATTTAAGTTTATTTGATAAAGTTATTAATCTTATTACTTTTACACTAATTTTTTTTATATTTATTACTTTATTTATGTGCAGTTGCTGCAGATTCATGGGTTCTCAGAAATGCTTCCATTTCGTCTTCCTCTTTCAGATTTTCTGTAAAAATCTATTTATAATAAGCAATTACTTAAACACAGTTCATGATATTTATTTTTATATTCGTTTAGTTCTTTTAATTGTGATGCATATTATTAATTCTCATTTTATAAAAATTTTATCTTATTTAAAAAATCTTCACTTAGTTTCTTTAATTGATCTTATTCTTATGATTTTTCTTACTTATATGTTTCTTCTAAAGCATTTTTTTCTATAAATAACTTTGAAAATATACCTTCTGTTAAATTTGTAACTTTTTTTTCTAATTAGGTAGATTTCAGATTCATTTTCTTTTAATTTGTTTCTAATTATCTAATTTTAGTGTCTTAATTAGAGATCATCTCTTTATTTTAAGTCAATTCTTTTTCCATTTCACCCTTTTATTTCTCTAATTCTTCAATTTTGACTTTTAAATTATTCAACTCTTTTTAAATGTTTTTTTTTTCATTCTTTTCCTATTTCAATGTTTTTCCACTAGTTAATTCATTTTCAGATTCGCTTTCAGATTCAGGGATATTATTTATTTATTTTTAGATTTATTCTAATTTTGGTTAATTCAAAAAACCACTTTGTCGTCTTAATTTTTATATGGTTTCATGATTGTTATTGCTAGAATAAGTACTATTCTTTCGAGTTGATTTTTGAGGAGAATTATGAATAAAGTTGTTATTAATACTAATTTATGTTGATGTAATAATTTCTGATTATTATTTCTTGAATAATTCCTCATACTATTTAGACAATTTATCTTTTTCTCTCTAATTATCTAAGTTTAATAAATAGACTACTTTTTAACTATAATTCTAAAATTTCTATTTTATCTTCATAATCTTTTTATTTCATTTCATACTATCTCAATAAATTGAACGATGCTATGGCTTCGCTTTTAAACTTGCTGTTAGTTTCTTCAAGTTGTTATACTTTGGTTTGGAGACTTTATAATTACTCTTTTTGCTCTTGAGATTTTATTTCATGTGCCTTTTTAAATAGAAAAGTATTAATTACTTAATGATTTTAACTAATTCTTCCTTCATTTTATTTCATTTAAAAAATTTCAGATTTCTTTTACTATAGCTGATTTTCTAATTCTTCTATCTAGTCAAGGAATTGCTAATTTTTTTCTTAATTTTCTGCATTTAAAGTCTATTACTTAGATATTAATTTACTTATAATTGTTCTATTTGATATTGATTTTATTATATTTCTTATTTCTAAACCAAAAGGCTGTGTTCACCATAAATTTTAAGATCTTCGTAATCAGCAAGAATTTTTTGCTATTTGTTAAAAATATAGTCTAAATTTGTTATGGCCAAATACTTAATAAATCAAACATTGTTTTTATCATCTCTTCTTTATCTCTAATTTATTTTATCAACTATTCATCCACTATAAGATCTATGTAAATAGATACATTTTATCCCTAAAAGTTAGGAATCATTTTAATAGTTATCAAAGAAGGACTTTGAACAGTCTTCGCTTAACTTCGCAATAAAGTAATTTATATCATCATCGCTAAAATCTTCCATAAAATTAAAGAATTTTATTAATGAATCAATAAAGTAAATAATATAAAAACATGTAATAAAGAAAACAATTAAAAGATTTTTCAAGTGGAATAAAAAGATAAATCTATAAATTTACAATATTTTCTTAATTAGAATAAGAATTTTACTTTAGACTTATGTAACATTTAGTTTTGATTACAATAGGACGGAAAATTAATTTACTTGATTTTCAATAGTAACCAAAGAGCTTTAATACTTTACTTGTATTAATTAAGTTCTTTAGATATTAATATGATTCATTTGCAAAAATTAATAATTGATACTTCTTAACTTTTTCCATATTTTATTTCCTCATCTATAATTATAATTTATTAATAAAATTAATTATTCTTTTTTGTTTAGTACAACAAAAAGTAAATCTGAGCTTTCTGATATCACTTAGATCCTTCCAAAGAAGCACACAATATAATATAAATTAAGATCAAAAATATAGATATTCGCTCAATAGTATAAATAAATAGATGTGAAAAAGACAGTAATTCCTTTGGATTAAATATACTTAAATTGGCATTTTTGATTAAGACATTTAGTTTCTTCTATTATTTTGATTAAAATACTTTAATAATTAAAATAAATAATGAAGCCTATATTCGCAATTGTAAGTGGAAGCAGTGCATTATTTGCAGCGTATTTTTTAAATGGCAATCAACCATTTTTTGAAACAAGGTCTAACCTTAAGTGTCCAGTTTTGAAAGATGTCTAATCGGTAAAAAATTAAATGACCAATCCATTATGATCATGATACTTATAAATAAATAATATCAAGAAAGATCAAATAATTTTATATATTTAATGTATTTTTTAACGAATAAATATGTGATATACTAATTTTTAATAGTAAATTAGTTTTTCTATACATCATCTTATTTGACCATTATCTTAAATTGTTAGAGATTTTTTGACTATCAATTCTTAAAAACTTAATTCATAATTAAAAGATTATCCATGATCTTTATTCTAAAGGAATAATCAAATGATTATTAATTGAATATATATCTAAAATATTGAGACTTTAAACAAAATTTTTGTATTCAGGAAAAAAATATATTTTTATAGTCATACCAATCCATCTCCAGAAGACAGAGCATAATCTATCAAATTAGCATTGATGAGTATCTTTCTAGTTCTTTCTTTCTAGATTTACCTAAGGATTCATGTCTTCATAATGATATTGCTTTTGATAAAAAAAATTAAATTTCCAAATTTTTTGTAATATTAATCATTTAGCAGTTATAAGATAATATCATTGCATAATATAGCAAGTGCTAATGATTAAATATCTGGTTATTTTTGGGCTTATAAGTTCTCAATTTTGGGTCATCAACTTTTTTATCATATTCTAATAAGTTAATTTTTTATTCATAAAAATCAACTCTGCATCAATCATTCAAATCAAATGGTAGCCTCAAAAAAGATTTTTTTCTTTGACCTGTATTTGATATATGAGATGACATTTGAAGAGAAAAGATATGATTCATATAGATTAAAAAGCTTTAATACTTTTTTAATCTCTTTAAATTATCTTATGTTTTTTTCAAGAAAGAGAGAGGTTTTTTTCCTTAAAGGCTCTACGATTTTTTAGTAATTAATTCTTATTGATTTAATCTCTTATTTAAATTATGTGACTATTTTAATGTTCCTCATTCTCCTTATTGCAAATAATTAGAGCTTTATTAAATATCTTCCTTATATGACATTTTTGATTTTTGTAATACATTAATTTCCAAACTAAGACAGAAATTCTTATAACTGGTAAGTACCTATATCCATTTTTATTGTCTTTTCTCTTTGGAATATTATCAATTAACACCTTAAAGAGCTCTAGGCAATTTTAGTCACCTTGATATGTCTTAAAAGAATTCTTCAAAATTGAAGTTTCTAAATTAGTAAAATATACACACATTGCATAATTTGATTTTTGGATAAATGGAACATAATTTTACTCAAGCTAGAGATGTTACATATTTAAATATTATTAAATTAAATTTCAAATGACATGAAAAATTAAAAAATTTGGGGATTCGTATTCCTCTTGTGGTTTTATCCACTTGAAAATTGATAATTATTTATAAAAGTATTGAATATTTTATATCATGAAACTTCTAAGTCTGAATGACTAAATAGTAAAATTTAATAACAAATATATAAAAAGGTTTAAAAATCTTCTTTAATATAAATATTTTATATGGGAACTTGTGCTGCTTAGAAATAGAAAAAATAAAGACATGATGGAGAATTGTAATAAGTAGTAGCTCAAGTTAGACTATCTTAAGACTGTAGTGTAATCTTGAAGCAAAGAGCAAGCTAATCGTCTCATTTAAATCCTTTTAAAAATCCAATTCTCAGTAGAAGATTGAAAGAGTTGCCTGCCTCACCAAACCCATAGACTCAACCAGAATGATAGAATCATTTTACTTTGAATTGATTTATTTACCTTATAAGTTGAACATAATTTCATAAATTTCAAGTAATATATTTAGTATTAACTCTTTGAGTATTAATGAATTTTAGTCTATCTTATATAATTGACTTTATAATATAATATAATTATATATTTTTGCAATAAAAATGTTAGGAATAATAAAGGATATTAATTTTTGTATTAATCACTAAAGCAAACAAATCCTAGATATAAGATAAAGATGATGGAGACTTCATATTCTTTTTCAAATATAATCCATACAATAAATCAAAATTTGAATTGAGGAAGGAGAGTTATCTATTCTAAAAATATGGACGTGCTTTAATAATCTTACAATTAGTATAATGTGGTTGTGTACTATTAGCATATATATAAATACACATAACAGAAAATAATTAATAAAATATTATATAAACATTATAAAATTGAAAATACTTAATTTAATAATTCAGTAGTGTCTTCTTATCCTATTAATTTATCAAATTTAGTTGTTAAATTTAAATTTAAATAAGAGTCAGCTTTAATTTAATGTTCTTATTATATTATAATTGATTATTTATAATTAATATAGTTAATAAAATTAACTTCTATTGAAATTAAAGAATACTGCGTTTATTTGGCTTGATTTCTTTCAAATATTTATTTCGTTTGCATTCAATTAAAAATATTAAAATAAAGTTTAAAATGGGACTTTGTATGTGTAACATGAAATAAAGGAAAGAAAATTAATAAAAAGAAGGGGAACTTGATTAAATAGTAAACAAAATGAGAACTTCTCCTTACCCAGAAGAAATTTTGAACAAGAGAATATCTATAGATGTTCCTTATAATGCCTATAGAAATCCAATTTTAAATCGTAGGTTAAAAGGAAGCGTCACCTTAACCATTTCATAATGAAATAGATGTTTTTTTTATAGAGTTATTTTATTTATATTGAAACTAAACATCAAAGAGCTGAATAAGAATTCTTAAAAATCTATTGCTCTATTCTATATAATATTCAATATTGATATATATTCATTTCTCTACTTGCTCCTATATCATTATCTGCTTTATCAATTTTGCTTTATTTTTTTTCTATTGGACTTCCAGTTAAATCAACATTCTAATGCTATTTCGATCATCTAAATGTGAAATCTTAAGTAACAAACTATCCCTTTTCAACTTATTATTTGTGTGATTGCTTAAATAATTTAAAATTATGTAGTCTAAAATTTTTTCAAGCAAAGGAGAAAATTATTTTTTTAAACAGTGGTTTACTAAATTTAAATTCCTATTCCTTTTATAGAGGGAACTTTTAAATAACTTCTCCTTTTAAACAAGAACTAGTATAAACTCTTTTTTTAGGATCTTTTTCTAGGCAATTTTTGATTTAACTAAATGACACTTTGGTCATTTTTTTTCATTTATAAAGGAGTTAGATCAATTTTTTATTGATTATTCAGTATCAGGAATAAATTGATTTTGACTCCAGGAAAGAGGTCTTTCCCAGTTAGTCTTATGATATTAATGCTTATTTACAATATAATCAAGATTACGCTTAGGCATAAATATCATACATCTTATCATATTTTTTGATATATCAATTAAATTTGTAATTTCAAGAGCAACATAATAAGGAGTTCCGTATTTGAGAAATTAATGCCAAATATACAAATAACTTATTTAATTTTAGCAATTTATTATTCCATAATTTTGATCTAAATGTTGAATCGTAAAATTCATTTATTATTACTTGAAAGAAATATTCATATAATGTTACTTTCCATTCAAGAATCCTACTTATATAATTTTACATTGAAATAGGTATCACGTATTTCTGCACTTGAGAATTTTCTAAATTTGATTCAAATAAAATTAGTTTATATAATTCAATCTTATTAATACTCCATGGCTACACTCTTACATTTCTTAAAGTAGAATTTAAAAATTATGGAAGTTTCTAATTACATGAAATAATTTTTTTAAAATTATAATATCATTATTATTATATTTATTTATTTTAAATAATTATAAAATTTTGCATTTAATAATATAAAAAAAGATCTAAATAACAGTTATTTGATAAAGAGGTCGAATTAACATATAAATTCTATATTTTATTATCTCTTAAGAGAATAAGCTTAAATATGTATCAAAAAAGATATAAGATGACAAAATTTGAGAATAAATTTTTATCTTATTAAAAATATAAATTTATTAATTTATCATTAATTGAGCTCCTTCAAAAGTTATATATATTCTTATATTTATACACATTTACTTAAATATTCAACTGGAATGATAGTTAAAGTTTCTAAATTTTTTTATGCTTCAAAATAAAAGTTGGTTAAAATAGGTATCCAAATCAAAAAGTATATAAAAACTGTAATTATACAAAATATCATGAATAATAAAGTCAGTTAAAATGCCAAAAAGGAAAAGTAATTATTCAATTAATTTAATAACTCTTTAATTAATGATAAATGACAGATCCTGATAAAAACTTTTTGCATTTTTCTATTGTAATTGCTTTCTTTAGTATTTAGAATGTTATAAGTGTAGTTTTTCTTATGATTTGAGCTAAGATTAAATGTTAAATTCGAATATATAGTATTTGGATCATAATAATAATATTCCTATATCATTTTGCAGGCATTTTCAAAAAAACTGGAAATAGCAACTGCTAATCCATCATCTAGAATATTATTATTAAATGTCAAACATGATGTATTTGTAACAGATAAATCATTTTCAATAATAATTGCACATGGGTTTAAAATATAAATTTCATTGAAAAGTTTAATATACTCTGTAGATAAAATATGTTCATTTTATTAATTCAAAATATGTAATTCAGCATCTAAAGTTTAAATTTAATCAATCATTTAATTCATCTTATGAACAGAATTTAATTCATTCATAATTATAGCATTTGCATCATAAAGCATTTCCTTAATAGAGTTGTCAATCAAACGATATTAAGTTGGAATATAAGATGTAATATTAACAAGTGGAATAAGTAAGTTTGTATATGAGATAATTGTCTAAAAATATGATATTAATATTATTTACTTTTGAACTGAAGTACAAATAACAAAAGTAAGAGTAAAATAAAAGTGTAACAATAATGATATGAATTTTAATTCTATTTTCTCTCTCTGATGAAAATTAAGATTTTCTCTTTTTACTATTTTTAGTCAATTCTCCTAATTCATGTTCTTCTTAATTTTCATTCTATTCTAATTCAAATTAATCCACCTAAATATATTATATATGTGTACATCATCTTCATCGTTTGTTTGAAGTAACTATATAAAATTTTGAATCTTATTAACAATCTATTTTAAATACTATTCTTTAATTTCTAAAAAAGCTGAAATGATATTCCTTAGATGGGATTAATGAGACCGAACGAATAATTAACAAAATATAAAAATCAAACACAAACAAGAGGATGAAAGAATAAAAAAAATATTTTCAAATGTGTCTAAATCATCCAATAAACTGTAAATATTTGAAAAGTAATAGTTTTATGAAACATATTAATATTTTGCAATAGAATTGAAGCTATTATGCAAATAGTAATGAAAATCTTCATTGTTGTCTATAAATTTTGATAAATGGCTATTATTTAACGTTAGAGCTCTAGCAATTAATTATTATACTGCTTGAGAATAAGTAAAATTTTGATGACTATTATCTACTGAAAACATTTAAATATATGGTTCTTCGAATTGATCTATGTAAGTTTAATATTTTTTGTTAATTGTTAAATCTGAGGAGGTTAAAAGATTATTTGATTCAAGCAACAAGCTTAATTCATTTTGTATTTCTAAAAAATTTACATTTATAAAATTTTCTCCTATAATTTAAAATTCCAATTCTTCAATATTTAAATTGCAACCTCTAAGATCTTAAAGGTTCGACTGAATTTTTAAGAGTGAAGAAAATCGTTAATTACTTGCAGCAGCAAGTTCTATAGCATTTTAAAATTTTGAAAAAGTAATATATAAAGTTGAATACATTATACATGATAAAGTAAATGAAACAAGGATTAAAATATTATTTAAAAGAACTAATCTTCTCAAAAATGCAGGATATGATATTTGTTACAGGTATTAAATTAATTCATTTTAAGTATTTATTTTAGTAGATTATTGCTTATTTATAATAATTTCTTAATTAGGATGTTCTGTATTTTCCCTAATATAATCTTGATCTTCCTCCTCTTCGTTTGTATCTGTTACTTCTTTAATTTCACCTTGAAACAATCTTAATGTTTTAATATCAAATCCATAAACCTTTTGAAATCGATTTTAAGTCAATGAGTTCTGTTTTCTACTTGACTATCTTGATTAAATAAATATTTTCTATTTAGATTCCTCTTAATTTTCATTATCTCCTTTGACAGAATCATATAAAGATGTGGCAATTCCATCTAAATTTAATTGAAAGTATTACAAATGAAAGCACGTTATTCAAGAGAATATGTAAATTCTTTTGTTGTTTAATATCTTTTTAATATAGGAGAAGGGATAGCTTATTTAGTCTCAATTTATTCTACAGTTAAATAATATCCAAAAGTTTATTATTTATCCCCTTTTTTGATTTATGTATTTTTTTCTGATATTTCAAATAATTATCCCATAAATCCATTTGAATTTAATTCATCTTTTTCATAATCTTCAAAGGTCATGCTTTTATCTTTTGATTTTTGAAAATCATATATAATTTTACTCATTTTACTTAAGTAGATTTCTTTATTAGATAATAAATTTGGAAATAGTTGCTAAATATTTAATTATTTTAATTAAAGTTTACGGATATCTAATTTCAAAATTGAGATACATGAAGATGAAATATTCTCAATTTTCCCATCTTCATTAAAAATAATGTAAGCAAAATTGCGATAATTAATATCCTTTGTCAATCTCAAAAATTGAAATACTCCTTTTTCTGTTTAAATAATGGAACCAGAAGTTTAAGTTAGTATCACATATTAAGACTTAGTTTAAAAGAATTATTATCTTTATGGTAAGATAGATAATTAATCTTATGAATCTGAGGCAAAATAACTTTGTACAACATATTGATGTAGCTTTGAATAGCTTATAATATTATGCAATATACTTAGTTTAGAGTAATTGGGCTATTTGATGTCCTATTATATCAGTCTTAGAAAATCCAAGTAAAGAACAAGTAGCTTAATTGATATTTTTAACAATGGAAATTTAATTATTATTGCTGAATAGTTCCAAAACTATAACAGGTTAGGAATATAACCCTAAATCTTAAGAACCTAATTATTGATTCTAATCCAAAAATTTAGTTTAAAAGTTAACTTCATCATTTTATTAATTTATATTCATTGAAGCAAACTTTACTGTATCTATTATATAAAAAACATAATCACTAAATTTGCATAAGAGCTTTTTAGAAAATTAATTAAATGTATTAGCTTTTTACATAATGGAAATTTATTTTCTGATTTAATGAATTGATCCTAATACTTTTCTACCAATAATTTATAAAGTTGTTAAATTAGGAATTTCCTCTAATAACTAACTCCAAAATTATAGCATTAGATAAGAGCATTCCTAAATTTTTTATTTAAGCTAATTTTATTGAAATTGAATATTTCGATCATTTGATATGGTATATTAAATTGTATTGACTCCTAATGAAGATTTCTAGAATGAATCTTCTAAAGTTTTCTTCATTTAATAAATCTAAAATTACTATCCAAAATCTGGATTTAATTACTCAGCTTTTTCTAATTCACTTAATGCTTTTTAGCCCTCTGATAAATGATCATAAAGGAAATAACTGTAATGAATTTTTAGATCAATACTTTAAGGAAACTTATTTAGACCATTTTAATAAAGTTAATTTATAAGTTCCTTAAGAATTAATCTTATATCAGTATACTTTGGATTTTCTTTAAATTTTATAGACAAATTTTTATTAATTTTAATTGCACAATTTGATTATAAACATGTTGATTCATGCATCTCTAAAAATCCTAGTACTTAAATCTCTTTACTTTAATCTTTTTCATATGAATCTGCCAAATCTACTAAGTATTCACAATCTTTTACAATCGTTTCCGTTGATTAATATCTTGCTAAATTAATTTTTATTAGATCAATTTAATGATTTGGTCTTCCTTATAAAATAATAATTATCATCGGACAAGTGATTAACCAACCTAACATAGTATTTTATAAGATCACATGATCAAATAAAAAAGTCATCAGTTACATTAAATTAGTATGGAATACAATTCCACTTATTGATACCCATATTTTCTAAACAGTTTAATTATAAAAAGGATTTTTGTAATATATTCTGTAAAAGAAGATAAAGCTTGTAATATTTTAAATAACTATTACACAAATAGAATATTTAGGTAGTTAGATTAAAGAATAGGATGTCATTGAAAATATTACATAAACAAATTTTTATGAATATGAATTAGCTTCTCTTTATGAGAATGTATTTTTCTTATTGTTTCTTAATTCGGTGAATATTTAACTACAAACTAAAACAACAAGTATAAAAAGCACAAGTGAAATAATCACAAAAATGGCATGATAATAATAATCACCTACCCAACATTCTTGATCAACAAGATATAACATTCTTAAGTTACCATTTTAATCTGTTTTGCAAAGTAAATACTAGACAAAATAATATTTATATATTTTACTCCTAAAAGTATTCTCAAAATTTCAGCAAACCCAATACTCATAATAAATTGTATTGATTTGGCAAGAAATAATATAATAACTTTTTGATTATTTAGTCTTTTCTATATTGTTAATATAATCATAAGCAATGTTATAAGTAGTATTATACTAATCATAAAATACATCACCATCAAATATAAAGATGTGCTCTAATTAATCAGCATTCTTAGTATTGTAAAATATTATAGAAATTCTTATATTTTTAATGAAAGTTTCTAATTATACCAAGCATATCGTATTTAAATTTGAAATGGAAAATAAAGCAATTGGAAAAATTAGAATACAGATAATATAATACTAATTTACAGAGATTGATTATTTTGACCAATCATTTGGTATACAATACTAAAGATAAGGTAAATAATTACTTAAAAAATGACTATTTATACTTTCCTGCAAATGTTTATAAGATTTCTTAATTGATTGTCATATATTTATTTGAATAATTTATAATTTAAAATGTCTTTTAAGATGAAAATAATAATTTATATCAGTGTAATATAATTATGAAAATATATTAAAGATCTTTTAATAATAAATGAGATTAATCCCATTAATAATGATAAAATAATCAAAAATTTAGTCTGATATTAACTCATATATATAAAATAACATACATTTTTGTGGCTAAATTAAATCTAGTATTAAATGTTAAGTTTTATCTATTGTAACAATAAGAGGACTAAAAAATTGTGAGAATAATGATAAAACAGTGCCTAATTTTTATAAGATGCTAATAAAGAATTTCTCCTAGTAATTCATTTATATTTCATTTTAATAAATATTCTGCTTAAATATAAACTAGAAATAGGTTAAATTTTTTTAAGAATAAAAATCTAATATAATAAAATTCTTTCTTAACCCGCGTATTATCATTAAATTTAAAATTTAATTGATATTTTGAAAAATAAAAAATATGAAGACTACGCGAATTGAACGCGCGACCCCTGGACCTGGAATCCAACGCTCTACCCCTGAGCTAAGCCTTCAATGATAATAGATTATTCAATAATGTATTAATAAATCTCATTTCTTTTATACAACTGCTTTAATTGACTCGGCTAAATATCTAACATTTTTGGATGTAATACCAGCCTAATAATTTATTAATATATAATAATACCATTGACATTCTTCCAGATCTAAGCAAATATACATGATATTGTTTTGTTAATAGATCACATTATTCTGGAGTTAAACCTGTAAATGTGAAGAAACCAGTTTGTCTAGTGATATGATCCCAATTTCCTGGAACTTTTAGATTGTCTAATTCTTATTTAAGAAGAGTTCTCATTTTAATAATTCTTCCAGTAACAGTCTTTAATTCTTCAACCCAAGCATTGAAATTTTTTTCATCTGTAAGTATTTTAGCTGCAATTCTAGCACCAATAGCAGGAGGATTAGAACAAATAGTTCTAATAACAATTTTGAGATTGCTTAAAACTCTTGCTGAGATATCTTTGTTGGATGTAACAATATGTACAGCTCCTACTCTTTCATTATATAATCCCATATTTTTAGAAAAAGATTAAGCAACAATCATTTAGAATCCAAGTTCTGCAAATTTACGAACAGCAAAAACATCTTTTTCAATACATCCACTTGCAAATCCTTAATAAGCACAATCAAAGAATGGTACTAATCTTCTTTTTTTACAAACATCAGCAATTTATAACCATTCATTTTCTGTTGGATCAACACCTGTTGGATTATGAGCACAAACATGTAATAAAACAATTGATCCCATTCTTGCTTATGATAAACATTCAATAGTTCCTGCACAATTAAAACCTTTAGTTTTTGGTTCAAAATATGGATATTCGAATTGATTTAAACCAGCTCTTTCAATGACTTGATTGTGATTACTCCAAGTAGGTTTTGATACATAAACATCTCCTGGAATATGTCTTTTAACAAATTCAAATCCAACTCTGAGTGCTCCTGTTCCTCCCAAACATTGAGCAGTGACAATTTATCCAGATGCTATTAAAGGACTGTTTTATCCGAACATCAGTTTTTAACATCCTTTATTAAAATCAGCTAATCCTTCTATTGGTAAATATTCCTAGAATATTAATAGATCATACTTTATTTAATGTTGGATCATTAACTATTTCTTTTTCTAATTTCTTGATAATTTCAAAGACATAGGGTTTTTCTTCGTCTGTACGATAAGCACCAACTCCCAAATCAATTTTAGTAGATGATGTGTCTGCTTTATATGCATTAGCAATTCCGAAAATAGGATCAGGAGGGGCTTGAACAATATGATAGAAGATATCGTCAGATGTTGGGTTATATTGATTTTAGAGCAACTAGAGTTTTTACATTAAATAATAGGATACAAATTACGAATACCTTCATAAAGTACAAAAATTATACGCATCATTAGAATAATATGCGTAACATAATAAAAAAAGTATTTTTATTTCTAATTATAATACGTGTGTTCTTATGATTTAAATAAGAATTATGATGATTATATTTTATTTTATGATATTTCATGATACTCAATATTTGTAATCAGCTACAAACAAGGATTCATTTGATGCTCCACCTTATCCACCTTGATATTTTCCTATTTTTATAATACTAATTTATATACCTAATTAAGCTTCACTGTTAGCCTTAGCTCTTGTTAATAATGCTTATTAAGCGGCTTCCCAATTTTCTTATTTTCCAGCCCATGTCTTAACTGCAGTATTTTAAAGTGCTCTGCCATAAGAGAAGGTCAAAGCCCATGGTTTTCTTACTGTGGTCAATTAATTCATAGCATTCAAATTCAAAGAAGCTTCTTCTTCAGATTATCCACCTGAAAGGAACTAAATACTTTAATTAGATTTAATTACTGTAACTCCAACAAGAGCAGGTGGAACTGTTCTGCTCAAAGCCAAAGCTGTTCTATAACCAATTTCTTATGGTGTTACTTTGTTTCTATCTGCATTTGTTGATCCTGCAGTAACCATATTTGGTTTAAGAAGACATCCTTCTAAGAAAATGTTGTTTTCATTCAATGCTTTGAATACAGCAGCCAAAACTTTCTCTGTGACCTTTTAGCATACTTCAATTGAATGATCACCATCAGCTAAGATTTCAGGTTCAACAATTGGAACAAGACCATTCTCTTAACAGATTGCTGCATATCTGGCCAATCCCCATGCATTTTCTTAGATAGCTTATTATGATGGTAAGCCATTTCCAATTTTCAAGACTGCTCTCCATTTGGCAAATCTGCATCCAAGTTTATAGTGTTCAGCAGCCATACTAGCTAATGTGTCTAATCCAAGAGTTGCTGATTCATCTTATGTTCCTGGAAGTACACCTAAACCTTTATCTACTTTAATTCCTGCTACAATTCCTTTCTCTTAAAGCAATTAGACGAAGTTCTTTCCATCTTTGGTAGCATGTTTAACCTATAAATGTACTTAATAATAATGAATACTGTCTCTGAGAAGAGGATGACACCACTAATGTAATTTTCAATACCTGGAGCAGTGAACAACAATTCTCTATAAGCTCTTCTATTTTCTTCGTTATTTTCAACATTAATTGTGACAAACTTCTTTCCAATTGTTCCTTAAGACTAAACTTTAAATATAATTTGGTACTTCATCTGCTGCCAAGATTCCTTTACCTGGTGTACATATCTTTTAAGCTGTTTCGGCTAATTCCTTTCTGTAGTCTGGCTTTTATTACATGAAGATATTTAAAATGAATTTTATTTATCAAAATTTTTTAGAATCTAAACTTATAACCTGAACTTTTCTAGATTGATTTTAATTTTTATAAAATTCTATATATTTAATAATTATTTGCATATTTTGAATACAATTATAATTTAATATATTTATATAATTAAATTCTCAATTATTTTCATCAAAATCATTATTAGGTTTAATATAATTAATCTCATAGAATTCTTAATCTCTATCTTGATCTTCTTATTTTTAATTAGTTGATTAAAGAGGTTCAAATTCACTTTTGGATTCCATTAATTGATTATTCTTTTTATATTCTTGACTTAAGATTAATGCATCATTCATAGTTAATATATCATATTTAGTATTTATGGTATTACAATGTCTAAGATTAAGAGTCTTTAATTAATTTTGAATACCTTCTGAAATTGTATAATACTCACCTGTTTCAGATAATTGAATAGGAACTTTAATACCTACATGATGAAATCTTTCAATTTCATGTCTTCTTTTAAAAGACATTAAAATGAATTAAAATCGAGACATTTCATATAATAAATTTTTATAGTTAAGTTTGCATGCCATTTAGGAATGAATTTATTTTTAGAATGCTAAATAACTGGGAATCTCAACTTATACACCTTGAAATTTGACTGAAATAATTTTGCCCCAAAGATTCTTAATAATTCTAAATTATTTAATTTCTGGATAATATTGTCTCATAATATCATCTAATATTGATTATCTCATTTATGTAAGATTAAGTAAAGTAATCAAATATTTAACTGAAAATAAAATACTAATTATTGATCCAATTGCTGCAAATACTTCACTAATTGATGGATATCCAATTTAAATTGTATGATATTATTATTGAAATAAAACCCAAAATGCTCCATATGTATTTGGCATAAAATATTTATCACAATAATTCTTCATGGCATATTGTGGATAATTGAGAGAATTAGAAATATAATTTTATTCTTCTACTCCAGTTGAAAAAAGAAAAGCTTTATCTATTTAATAATGATTCATTTGATAATGTAAAGTAATAGATGAACACATCTCAGCATTTGAATGAACATAAAATGGATATGTCCTATAAAATTATTATGGTTCAAATGTTGATGGATTAATAGTTGTAAATTCTACATCAGTATAAAGTGTATTTCCCATTTAATTAAAATAAGATTATTTAACTTCTTCAGATGCACATTAATAATCTTCAATAAGATATTCTTCTTTGCATAGTGTAAATAAGATCATATATTATTTATCTTTACTCATTTTAAAATTTATGTCCAGAACTTAATCTTCAGTGATACTACTTATAAGAGGTTACCAATTCAAACCATTATCAAGATCTAAGAGTAATGGAAGCATAACAATTTCATCTCTTTTGAATGGATTTATAGTTGATTTTCCATTTATATCATAGGCAGTTACTTGCATATGATTATTTAAAAATCCAAAATTTGAATCCTCTGTGAAGTTATTAATATCTTCAGTGACTTTTGGTAATAATGAATAACTCCACCACATATACATGTAATATATACAATAAATTAGACTTAAAATTCCTATTATAAGGGATATTATTCCACCAAGAACACTAGAGTGATTATATGTTAATCCATCTGAAATTGCTGGAGTATAAGTAACACTAAAGAAATCAATTTTCCTTAACGAATTAGAAAACTTTTTCATATTAAATTTAAATAGTATATTTACAAAATAACTTATTCATTAATATGTTAATTATGATATAAATATATAATTTGAAAATATATTATATATTTCTAATATAGATATACATATTCTATTAGAATCTTTTTTTCTATCTTAATTGAAGACAAGAAAGTTTAAAAATTATTCAAACTAAAGAGTTAAAAAGTTAAATAATAAGAATTTGATAAAGCAATGAATAAATATTACATTAAAATTATATAATAAAAAAAGTTAAGCAATTTACATTAAAAAAAATTAGCTATTTAATTAAGTAGAATTTAGTTTCTAATAAATTCATATAATAAATAAAGAAAACTAAAATTTTTATTTAAATTGATAAAAACTATATATTTAATGTTGTGAAAAATTATTAAATTCGATTAAATATATATATAAATAAAATCAGTCCATAATTATTTGTTTAAACACTTTATTATGATTTCAAATGTAACACTACTATTTATATAAAAATGATCATGATAAAATTGAAATTTTTATATACAATTTTTTTAGTATTTAAACACATTATATTGAGTATATTTTCATTGTTAATTCTGATTAATATGAAGAGATTCAAGATTGAAAATGAAATTAATTGATTAGTATATTATGAATATAAAGTATTTTTTTTAAAGTTATTTAAATGGTCCAGATATCAATCATGCTGATATTTTAAGGTTGAAATATCTGGATTATTATTTTGTATTTTCATCAATACAATTACTCATCAAATAGAGGCTGAAAATATTTAGAATACAACTTCATTTTTTCAATTCAAAATTAGTTTTTCTAATTATCGTATTATATTTAGTGGATTAACAATTGATATAAATGTTTAATATATATTCCTGTAAACTGAATCATTGGATCTTATTTAATTCAAAAGGCCTGCTATCTTATTATTAATGTTTTTTTTATTGTCCAAATTTTCTCTTCACCAATTGATTACCCAAAGGAGATTAAAGCTTTAATTTATATTTAATTTATTCTTACATCATCAGCTATATTCAAATCTGCTTAATACTCACTATCATCTTAAACTTATTATTCTACAATTATAATTTCATTATATTACATCCTGAATTTGGAGCACCTCTCAATAATATTATAATGGCCTCAGCCAATTCAAGTTCAGTGTCGCTTTTTGGATATTATTTTAGAAGGTCATAGATTCCTTGATGTTCTTACAATATAAATTCTGAGATTTATATTTATTAATACATTTCAATGTGCATTTCTCTAATTATGTAATCATTTTTAGTCTATTCATTTCATTTATTAAATATAGCAATTTTGCTGATGGCTGTTCAAAATGGTCCATATTAATTATATTATTTATATTAAAATTAAAAATATTAATTATATTATTTATATTGATTAATTTATTATATATAAGAAATTCTAAAAAATGATAATAACATTAAGATATTATTTATCATTAATAGTTAAAATAAATTATATAAATAATAAAGATATTAAAAAGTAATAAATTTAATAAAACTATTTTTTATAATATGATTCAAAACATAATTAAACAATAAAGATATTAATTAATTATAGTATCAATACAAATGGAAAATATAGATATCTAAACAATAATTTATTTCTCTTATATAACTTTTTTTTAATTATATACTTATTTAAATGGGGGTTATAATAGTTATTAGATAAAAATTAATCTTTTTAGTTAAATATGAAGTTACCCATCTTAAAAGAAATTTTAAGAATATTTTATTATTGATATTTGAAAATATATTTACATAGGTATTAATTTTAAATGTGAATCACATATAACAATTAACCTAATTTATTTTATAATCTTTAATCGTTCTTAATTATAATACAAAATTGAATAAGAAAATTGTGATCAAATACAAAAATGTATGATATTATTTTATTAGTAGTAAGTCTGACATTACTAAAAAAGTAGGAAATTTTCTAATCAATTCTATTAAAAAAGCCCAATTTTAGCTAATTACATAGTATCATGAATTGTCTTGAAATAAATTTTAATCAAACTTAATATAAAAATGTAAACTTATGAATTTTAGTTAAATAATAAAAGGAATGTTGAAAGAGAAGAGCTTTATATATTGACCATAATTGAAAGGGTTTTGGCTGGTTACTTATCTTCAATATCATATGTTGATCAAGCATAATTTTGTGAGCTATTATAGAGGAAACAAAAGGAAAAATAGTTTATATAGCCATTACATTTGTAAATCTTGAGTAAAATAAAGCGAAATTTAATTAAGAAATAACCACAAATAAAAGAGTAGAAAGTAAACTATGAAATTAAAAGAATGCTTTCCTAATCAATAGATTCAAGAAAAAACTATATATGTTTATCTAATAAAAATAATAGAAAATATAAAGAATTGTAAATGACTTAAATAGATACTCAATCACAAACTGTGAAAGATAGAAGATCTATATTAGATTTAAAAAGTAATCAAGAAGGACAAAGATTACTTACTAATGGAAGTTATCATTAAAACGATTCAACAACTTCAAGAGTTATTATTAATTCATTTTAATTATCTAACCGTAATAAAACATAAGCTGATGATGAATTAAAAGAAATATCTAATTAAAAGTAGTTAACATTTACAGAAAGTAATTTAAAAAATAGAAAATAGAAACCTTTTATTAATATAGTAAGTTAATATGGTGAAATAGAAAAATAAGTGAATAACACAAAATAATAAAAAAGAAATTATAAAACAAGTTTCAATGATTAATTAATTAAAGTAAATTAAAATAATGATAATTATGTTATTAAATATAATTAATAACATTTGAAACCATAATTAAACAAAAACAATGATGAAATAATTAATAATTAATTAAAGATAGATAATAAAGATGCTTATGTAATAGTAGATTAAGTTAATTTCTAAAATTCTTAATAATAATCATAATATCTATCAATGAGTAATGTTTAAAATAGAATTGATTTAAAATAAAAATTTTAAACATGTTATAGCCATGATGATGATGATTTCAGTTATTAAAGTAAACCTATGATCTAAAGTGAAGGATAGAAGCAGATTACATATGGCACTCACACAGAATTACCATCTTTAGATACAGATCTTTAATTAAAAATGCAAACGATATAGAGTGCAAAATATTTAGATAAAAATAAAGAATAAATATATTTAAAGAATGAAGAATTAAATAAAAATAAATAATCATAAAAACAAGAATATTTAAATTAAATAGATCAAAAAAGTGAATAACATAATATTTTAGAAGTGCATGAAATTAAATAATACAATTAATTTCTCTCACCAACATAACAATTAAATTAATAAAAAATAGATGATTTTTATGAATAAAAATAGAATTCAATTTCTAAGGAAGACTCTTAATTTTCACTATTAGATCAATCCTTACACAAATAAAATAATTTACATGCTCATTTAAATGTTAATAGACCTGCTACTACACATATTGATATCTATAAATTATAAGAGTATCCATAATTTTAAACTCATGATAACATTGATTAATAACAAAAATAGCAATAATAATAATTAATTTAATAAATCAGTATGACATCTATTATGCATGATGATGAACATTATTCTAACTTAAATTAATAAATAAATATATAAGTAAATTAATGTGAACCTGCATAAAATAATGTCATTATTGAAGAATCTATAGAATGTTCTCCCATTTATAAAATACAAAATTAATAATGTATTACACCATCATTCAATAATCTAAAATTAGAAAATCAAATATAATAAAATAATAATGAAATTCATACCTAGTAAAAATAATAGATTTAACAATCAATTCTAAATCAACCATCTCAAACTTAGATTCACTTATAATCAAATCAAGATTCAAATAATCAAATTTAATAGAGAATGTAGATTCCATTTAATAATACTTAAAATAGTTTAAAAAATAATAATAAATTAACAACAAATTAAAAGCATTAAGTAAGAGAATAATAATAATAATAAAGATTAGATGAAAGTTAGCCAGAAAGTAAATTAACAATAGAATCTTCTTAAGGGGAGAAGTCAAATAAATCAAAGACAATAAAAAATAGTAAATAACTCAAATTACATGTTGCAGCAGCTACTTTGACTTTTAGTACAAAGAAATCTTCCAATTAGGATTCTCCTCATGATGTATGATAAATTAATTTAAATTAGCCAACTAAAATTGAATAATAAGAAAAAGAAAAGTAAAGATAAATGGAATATTAAAAATAGATAGAAAAAATGAAGTATGAAAGAGAATTAATGGAATAATACTAAATTCCTGATAATATGCCTTTGTCTTAAAAGCGTGCAATTATTGAAGAATTGATTAAACAAATAGAATTAATTGCTGATCAAGATGTACAATATTAGATTATGTTATGTATAACATTTAATAATATTTATATAGATAAGTAGAGATAGGAATAAATTTAAAATGCAACAAAACAAGATATAGTTTTTAATCGATATTTAGAGACTTGTTATGAAGAATTAGGACATCTTTCAGAATAAAAATTGAAATTATTGGGTAAAGATGATTTAAATAAAGTTTCATTTATGAGATTTGAAAATTAAGTTTAAACATCTTTTCCTAATTAAGAGAAGGTTTTTTCATAAGAAATTAATTCTCCAATAAAAAAGAATTTAAAATTATTTAGTAAATTTGATCCTGTTGAAATAGAAAATTAATTGAATAGAATTAAAGAATTTAAGTAAGAAAGTGAAATTTTAAAATTGTTTTAATGTTTCAATTCTTAATATGATAAAGAAGTAATTATAAAATATAATTGATAGGTTAATTAATGTGATCTTGACTATCCCACAGAAAAAGATAAATATAATCATAAAAATGAATAATAGAATATAGATTAATAAAGAAGTTTATTAATTAAGGAAACTCAAAAGAGAAAAAAGAATAAGTAATTAGATAAGAAATTAAGGATAAGTACCCATAGAATAGATTCTTAAAGAATGGATACGATATTATTAGCTAACGATAAAATAAAATCAGTTGGCTAATATTTATTATGATTAAAGATTATTCTCAACATTTAATGTAATAATATTATTGAGATAAATTATAAAATAAGTTGATTTTTGTTTTAGTTCTATAATTATTATTTATAGTATTTTAGTTTAGATTATATTGATAAATTGTAAGTTGTATATTTATTCATATCTTTCAGAAATTAAAATGAGAAATTTGAAATATCTTGTTGTTCCCTTTTTATGTAAGTCTTCTTTGCTTAAATTATCTACTTACAATCGAGAAGAATCATATACTAAGGTCTATAATAATTAGAAATAATACAAGATTGAGTATGAATAATAGTAATATTCAAAAGACCATAAACAATAGTATTTAGTGGTAATTCTAATACTAAATTGGCAAATGAAGTGGCTTAATGTTTAGGTATATCACTTGGAAAAGTTATACTTGAAAGATTTGCTGATGGGGAATGCAACATTTAAGTTAAGTTTTTATTAATTTATAGGTTTTAGAGAATGTAAGAGGAAGAAATGTATTCATCATTTAATCTACTTGTCCTCCTGTAAATGAAAATCTAGTTGAATTATTTTTATTTATAAGTGCTTTAAGAAGAGCATCTGTAAAAACAATTACAGTGATCATTCCTTATTATGGATATTCAAGATAAGATCATAAATTAGCTAAAACTGAATCAATTGCAGCTGCAGATATAGCAAGAATTTTGGAATAAACAGGAATTGATCATCTTGTTTCAATTGATCTTCATAGAGGATAACTTTAAGGTGCATTTTCTACAAGTGTTCCTGTAGATAATCTTTCGCCATACATAACACTTATTCATGAACTTAATAATCATCCATTAAAATTAAGTCCACCTAATGAATTAACTTTAGTATCTCCTGATTTTAATGGTGTATCAAGAGTAAAGAAAGTATAGGATGAATTAAAAATAGCATTTCCAAATATAAAGACAAGTAAGAATTAATTATTATAAAGAATTGGCTATGATATATAAATCTAAACATCCTGTTAGTGAAACAGAAATAAGTCTAGTAGGAGATGTTCATGGAAAAAATTGTTTGATTATAGATGATATTGTAGATTCAGGAAGTACATTAAAAAATGCTGCTGAAATATTAAAAAGGGAAGGAGCTAAATCAGTAATGGCTTATTCTACTCATCCAGTATTTTCAGGAAAAGCAGCACTTAATTTAGGAATTTCAAATTTATCAAAGATTTATGTTACTGATACCATATAAGTAAAAGAATTAGATAAATAAATTTTATATGATAAATTGAGTGTTTTAAGTGTTGCTCCATTATTAGCTGAAACTATATATAGACTATAAAAAAGAGAGAGTTTACATGAGTTATTAGGTGCACATAATTTTTGAGTTTAAAATTCAATTTAATTATTAATCTAAACATTTTAATAATTCTGATTTTGCATTTTCTAGTAATTATTTCACTTCATTAATTGATTTATCTGTATTAAATCTTTGAATACACAAAATTCCTTAATTTAATGCTTTAAGTATTAATTATGCTTAATTACTCTACATTTCAATACTTTCTGATTACTTTAAATTAGTTGCTTCTATCAATCTAATTTATTATATTATTTACTTATTATTATCTTCTTGAATTTCTTAATTTTGAATATTTTAAAATATTTTAGGAGACTTACTTACATCTCTACTACCTAAGAATGTAATTAAGAATTAATCCTAAAGTAAAGCTTATTCTGGATTTGCAGATTATAAAACTCTTTTAATACTAAAGGCAGCTTGAATCAATTATGCTAAATTTTCAACTGGTGGATATTTCAGAAATCTTTTCAAACATGCATTTGGATCATCCTTTTCGAGTACTAGAAATAAAATGTAATCAACTACTTTAATCTCGAACATATACAAACATGGCAATAACAATACAATCAACTAATAATAACCATTATTTATCTTCAGTAAGATAATAATCATAAAATATGGCATCCCATACTTTTAAAGAATCTTCAACATGAAATTCTCTTGTAAACATACATCTTAAAATTAATATAAATATATATATATATACCTAATCCATCTAACTAAAAATACAGATAATTCAACATCCTATACTTTTAAATGTTTGAATAATGTTATATCTATTATTTTTAATTATTAATCATATATTTTTTAAATTCTATTTTATATTATAAGTTATTATTTTTTTTGACTTTCTGGAGTATGTTTAAACATATCAACATGAGCATTCATTATTTATTCAAATAATTAAAAGATATCTTCTTCTGCAAATTTAGTATCATAAAAAATTGCAATTTACTTCTTATCATCACTATCTTCTAAATTATTAAAACCTTAAGCTTCTGTAAAATACACTTCAATCACATTTGCTGCTAATTCATTCATACCTTATCTATATGAAATTGTAGGATTCTTAACACTCCAAATAAATAAAATATTTGACAATAAATTCTTAATCTTTAAACTTTAAAATAACTATTTATCTTAATGAGTTCTATCAACATCTTTCTTTATTTCATTTTTTAAGTGATTAATCTCAAAAAAATTATTCCAAACCTTTAATTTAAATATATTACTATATATATACATTTGGTTTTTGTTATTATTCTTATTAATTTTATAATAAAGGATTTCTCATATTTCTTTTAGATTCTTTTTTTGTTTCAGCTTATAAATATTATTTGCTTAAATTTTAATAATCTGATCTATTTTAATTAAGCTTTATGATTTTCTATTCTATAGAATCATCTATTTAAAAAATGCCTAAAAATAATCTCCATATGCTAAATCTTAATTTGATTGAACTTAATTAACAATTCAAAATCAATTCTTATAATTCATTTATATTCCAATTTTAATTCAGGATGAACTTTCTAAAATTAATTAAATCAAATTATGGTGTGATATCAGGTCTAATAGTATTTAATTAACATTCTTACATATTACATGAATAATTAGATAAATCTAAATTGATTTAACCTCTATTGTTGTTTCTAGCTCCACTTATTAGTAAATCATCATCATCTTCACCAATATTATTGTTCATTATTAATAATTAATAATAGCTTGAAAAGTGTTAAAATATTATATATTATGAATTTTATACTGCTTTAACTAGATGAGTCTATTTAACAAATAATTTAACTTTTTAATTAAACAGAAGATTCATGCTATCAAATGATATACTAAATTATGACATACATAATTGATGATAATAATGCAATCTAAGAATATAAATAGAAATCAGATTTACTTAATCTCATTTATAATCTCAAAAGTCATTTAAGATAGAACCCCTGTAACAAAGTCAAATTGTTTATTATTTAGAAAGAACGAAAGATAGGAGATATTGATGATAGTGATTTGGATTTACACAAAAAATGTAAGAAGTAGTTAAAAGAACTGACTGACAAATTATCAAAAAGAGATTAATTAATCTAAGATTAAACATCATCTTATATGAAGGAGATTCAAATTCTAAGTGAATAAATTTATAGACTAAACCATGCTTAAACAAATAATGAGAATATTTTTATTGATAGAAATTTAATAAAAGATTAAGCTACTTTAGATATAATAAATAAAAGCTTTGAAAAAATCTCTCATTCATATGAAAATAAGATTAAGCATTTAAATATTATAGTCGAAGCATAAAAAAGAGAATTGGTATTGACAAAACAGACATTAAAAGAGTATAAATAAAAACATGAACATCATTAGTCTGCTGAATATTTAGTCAGAAAAATAGCATAACTTGAAAAAGATCCTTATAAAATATGGAAATATTTTTAAGATAATCATGGTAATTCATTTCTTTTATCAGTATTTAAACATCAAAAATAAGGTTATGCAATTAATTATAAAGAAATTGATTAGATTCTTTCATAATCAAAAGTAATAGAAAGAGAAATGTAGTTCTATTAATAATTAATTGAAACATCTATTGCTTAATTTATGGAAAAAATTAATTAAGATCTAAAAAAGACAAAAGAAGCTTACACATAAAAAGAAATGGAATTGACATCTTAAATTGCTTTATAACATAAAGTACAAAATGATCTAGAGACTAACTATCAAAAAATCATTTTATATTGTAATTTAATTATATATTTATAAAAGTGCTCTCCAAAAATAAAACCATTTTATTAAAGACTGCCATTCATATTTGGAGGAATCAATCTCAACCTAGTAAAGTAGTTTAAGCTAATCCTAAATAATCATCTTATATTTAAGATTTTTTATAAAGTATATTGAAACTTAAGGTTAATTATGAAAATTTAGATTATTCTTAAATTTATCATAATTAATTTATATAATTACAATCAAAGATAACTTGGTTATAAAAATTACTATTGAATTATTAATAGAGTATATAGAAATAATAGTTTTAAAAAGATTAGTTAGAAAATTAATTGAAATTATTATAATAGAAAGGTATAGTCAATAATTAAAATGAGAAATTTATTGAAACAGATAGAAAGAAGTAAAATTAAATTAATATTGAGTTTGAAAAAGAAATAGAAGTAAAATAATAACAATAAGACTTAGAAATGAATCATTATAATTAATTTATGTAGGAGGGAAAATATTCTGATTAATACACATAAACAGTTGAATATTTTACACCTTAATATAAACAATTGATGACACCTTCAAAAGTCATTATGTAGAATGAATTAATTTAAAATTAATTAGAAAATAATAATAATAATAATAATAATAATAATAATAATAATAATAATAATAATAATAATAATAATAATAATAATAATAATAATAATAATAATAATAATAATAATAATAATAATAATAATAATAATAATAATAATAATAATAATAATAATAATAATAATAATAATAATAATAATAATAATAATAATAATAATAATAATAATAATAATAATAATAATAATAATAATAATAATAATAATAATAATAATAATAATAATAATAATAATAATAATAATAATAATAATAATAATAATAATAATAATAATAATAATAATAATAATAATAATAATAATAATAATAATAATAATAATAATAATAATAATAATAATAATAATAATAATAATAATAATAATAATAATAATAATAATAATAATAATAATAATAATAATAATAATAATAATAATAATAATAATAATAATAATAATAATAATAATAATAATAATAATAATAATAATAATAATAATAATAATAATAATAATAATAATAATAATAATAATAATAATAATAATAATAATAATAATAATAATAATAATAATAATAATAATAATAATAATAATAATAATAATAATAATAATAATAATAATAATAATAATAAAGGTTTTATTGAAGTTTAAATATTTGATATAGAACAATCAGATGTTAAAAAATAAAATAAAACATCAATTAGACATTCATTTAAATAATTTGATTCATGCAAATCTAAAACTCCTTGCAATAAAACAGCTTCAGGATTTAATACATCTTTAGAATCAAATTTTATAGAATTAAAACCTAAAATGGTTGCAGAATAAAAAGATTTTACTGTTATTAGAAAAAAATCTGAAGGTAAAGCTGATTAAAAACCTAATCCAGTTTAAATGATTTCTAAAAGATATTAAAAAGTTGATTTATTTAAATAAGTTGAATTATTAAGTGAATTGTAATTGCAATTAAAGGAATGTGGAACACCATAAGATAGAAATTAAATGAATTCATCATAAAAGTAAGAAAGAGGATTTAGAACTGCAGTAAGACGTAAACCAAATTTGAGCATAACTTTTGAATAATTTCATAGTGAAATGAATGTAGATCCTTTAGAAATGTTTTCATCTACGCAAAGATAAAATAAAATAAAAAGACTTTCTACAAAAGATTGTGAATATTTAGTATTATGATATTAGACATTATTAATTTTATTTAATATATAGATATATATATTTAATCTTTTTAAATAATATTTATATTCTAATAAAATATAATTTATATTCATTATTATCTATGATTGTGGCTATTAATTCGATCTACTCTACTAATTTAGAAAATTCAAAAATAGGATAATTTTATAAGAAAGATTATAATCAAATAGAACCATATTAAATAAGAAAGTTTATTTATAAGAATCTTCAATTAAATTTTAGATACTCATTTTCTTACATATTCTTAGGAGGATTAAGATATAGCAATAGTGATGAATATATAAAAAATATTGGGATTAAGATGTAAAAGATTTAATTTATATTTCTGTAATTTTGGTTTATATATAATTATGATTGACAAATGATTTCATTCAAATTCTATTTCAACGAAATCTATCTTCTTAGTAAGCCTCCTAATAAGGTATATAATCAAACTTTTGATTTTCAAAATATTTATCCACAGTTTCTTTATCTAATCCTTTTGTTTCAATTACTTTTTATTGGATTATCATGTAACTAAATTGTTATTTAAATTATAATAATACGCTATAAAATTAAATATGGAAAATAAAGCAAAGCAATAGGATATATCATATGAGGCAATAATTGGAAACATCTAAGCTACTAATCCTCCAGACATCCAATTCATTAATCCACTAACACTTACTCCTAAATCTGGTAATATTTCAGTTAAATATATGAATAATAATGGACCTAAGGAGAATCCAAAACCAAATAGATACGAGAATATACAAATAACTATTAAATATGATCCAAATGATGTATTCCCTATACTATTTGACATTACAAATGTTAACATTAATAAACTAATAAAACACCATAATGTTCCATATTTTAAAATTGGTTTTCTAATTTATAATGTTATATTAATAATACCTTCCAAATTACTCAATTATTACAGTTGCTAATAAGGCTGTAAATACTCCAATAAAACCAACAATTAGATTTAAATAAAATACTTTTTTTGATGCTTAACCAGTCACCTAAGATGACATACATATTCTATACTTAATCAAATATTGAAGAAGAATAAAACATAATCCCATTTATGCCTCCTAACTGTTGTAAAGAAGCAAGAGAAATTCCAATAAATAATCTACTTCTATATTTTGATGATAATAATTGATTTATAGTCATCCTCCTTTCTGTTGATTTTTATGATGATTAAAATTATTCATACATTTTTTCTGCCTTATCTTTGTATATCATTTCCACAACTTTATGTAATTGCTAACTTTGTTTTACATTTATTGATACTTTAAATGATGTTTAGCACAATATACAGGTGTTTCATATTTAAACACAGTTGATAATGCACTAGCTCTTATTATACAAGGTATAATAGGTAAATAGAGCATCATCTTATAAAATGGGATAGGCAATGAAAAATCTTAAAATGAAGACATCAAAAATGTTGTCAATATTCCTAAAGTTATAAACAATTGATTCATTGTTCCTAAAATCCCTGCCTTCTCTTTTGGAGACATTTCATTTATATATACAGGTACTAGAACTCCATTAAGTCCTAGTACAAGTCCTACAAAAAATCGAGAAGTCAATAGTGCATATTTGCTTTCATCCATGAATGCTATCATTATAGCCATCATTCCAAAAAGATCAGTTATTTATAAACACTTTCTTCTTGAAAATAATCCCATCAATATTGATGCTGATATAGAACCTACACCTCCTCCTATAGTTAATAAAGCTGAATGAAAACGGATATAATTTTACATTGCATTAGTCCTTTTGTAAAAGTATCATCAATTTTATAAACATTATATACATCTGAACTTATCACATTCATTTGACCCAAACAGAATCCCATAAATAAACTACCCAAACAACAATTTAGAATTATGAGCAATAATTTATTCATTAAAATAATGTATACTAACTAAAGTGTGTATATTCCAAAGGCTATAGGTGCAAAAGAATATGCTTATGATGAAGAAATTAATATACCATACAGATAATAAATGGAAGATTGTATGGACTGAATTTCATTTAGTTTATTTTATAAAGGACAACATTTTAGAAGATGGAAGTCAATCTATTTTATTTGGAATCATGGATGGTCATGGAGGATAAACTGTTGCTAAGTTTGTATCCACTAACTTCCCTAAAGTTTAACATTCATTAACTATCTCAAGGTTTTTCTTCAGTTACATAAGCAAAAATAAAGACCATTTGATAAATTACTTTAGGATACATTTGAAAAAGTATGAATCAATTTATTTTTTAAGATCAATGAAATGGTTAAATAAGAATGTGATTCAAATGAAATTGGATCAACAGCTAGTATAGGATTTATGAGACTTGAAGGAGCCAAGAGAGTGTTATACTTTGCAAATGTGGGAGATTCTAGAGCATTTCTATTTGGAGATTAAGTTGTACCTTTAACAACAGACCATAAGCCTAATAAATAGGGAGAGAGAACTCGTATTCAATAGCATTAGGGAACTGTGTTAATGGATCGATTAAATGGAATATTAGCTATATCAAGAGCTTTTGGAGATCACAGTTTTACTTAATATGGATTGATTTGTACACCAGATTAGGTTAAAGTAGAGTTGAGACTTTCTCATAAATGGGTGGTTGTAGCTTCAGATGGTTTATGGGATGTTGTAAATGAATAGGTATCATTTTTATATAATATTAAATAAGGAGTTGTTATAATTCATTAGATATAAAGAATCTGCTGATGAAGTCACTAAATTCTTATAAAAATTAGCATAAAAAAGATAATCAAAAGACAATGTCTCAATTCTATGCTTGAAAATTCAAATTTGATTTATATATATATATATTTAGTAACAATTAATTTAATATATATTTCATAACAATAATACATCATAAAGAATCTACTTTAATATTCTATTTTTATAGATTATTAGGAATATTCGTAGTTTATTAAAGGATAATTTATTAAATCTTATTTTTTTTATTTAATTCTAGGATATATTTTAATATATCTATTAGAAAATTAACTTTTTTAATAATTTCTATTTAAATAATTCTTATTTCTAAATAATCTTGCTTTTTTTTATAATCTTAAACAAAATGAGCCTCTAATTTGATTTAATATATTAATATATTTATGATTTCAAAGGAATCTAATATAATTCAAAAGATTATAAATATTGTTGTTTCAATATGTTCTCATTCATTTGAATTCATAAATTTAAGGATAACATATTATTATTATATACTTTTTTATATTAAATAATGATTTTGATAAATATTAGTTCTAACTTAATTATATAGATATTTTATAGATAATATGTAATACGGAATTTTGAATAATATATATGTGTTTTTTGGAATTTCCATATTAAATTATTTGACTCAAAATGTTAAAATTTGTTCAAAAAACAAAATATGCTCGTTGGATAATATTTGGAATGATTGGATTCTCTGTATTAGCGATAAGCCTCTTAATTGTTTTTTTAGTTAACATTATTACCCCCTTTGGAAGATTGACAAAATCTTCTCCAGCAAATACTTTTATAGAATTAATCTTCTGTATTTTTGTCTCAATTAACTTGATATTGCGATTAAATGATATAATGAAGAATAAACCATAAGAATTCTATAAAATTGGACTAGACATTATTATTGCTGCCATAGCAATACTTTAAATTATAGATTTTATTTGTTGGTTCATTAATCCTGTTTGTGATGTATTAGCTGCCTGTATTTGCTTATTTACATTTATAATTGCAGGTTTTTAATCTACTTTATGGATTCTATAGAGAATTTAGAATAGTAAGAAAGTATAAGAAGTTGACACTTATTTGACACAATAAATTTAGTTAACAGAAAGTTAGAGCTTTGTCAATATAACATAAACTTCAAAATGTGTGATAGCTCTAAAATACATTCTATATTCTTTTGTATTAGTATTAGTAATCTTAAATACATGTTAAATAATTCATGAAGCTAATCATCCAGGTAGTTTAGGAGAAGGTGAATAATATTATATTGTTGAAAGTTAAGGTTAAGATGTCAAAATCAGAACTTATTGTACTGGAGCTAAGAATTTACCATAGATTATTTTAGAGGCTGGAGGAGGTTCTAGTGGAGTAGATTTTTATGAAATATAAACTCAACTTTCCAAAAATTACAGAGTTTGTAGTTATGATAGGGCTGGATATGGAATGAGTTGGTAAGCAGCATCTCCTTAAAGTTCTAATAATACTATGAGTATTGCTTAATAAGTAATGGATAAAGTTGGATTTAATACTTCAGTATCAAATTCAATAGTTTGTGTAGGTCATTCTGTTGGAGGATAATTATGTCGTTATTATGCATAATATATGACAAGCATTAAAGGGATTATCTTATTAGATTCAGTACCAGTAATGAATTGGTTTTATTTGGTTGGATAATGTTAGAATTAAACTGTAAGTTAAGTGTATACTTAATAAAAATCAACATTGCCTCTGATTAAGTTTATGGCTTCATTATGGCCATTATATATAGAGACACCATTCTTCATGGGAAAGGAAGGATTTGAACCATCAAATCTATAGAGCTGGATAAATTGGTAAATCACTACTACAAGAAATTGGTATTCATAATCACTTGGATATGCATCTGAACTAGAAGAATGTTAAGAAGAATGTATGGAGTCATCTATTATAAATCCATAGTCAATGATTATTAAGCCAATTATTGTTATAACTGCTTAAAATTAATCTATAACATGTGCTGATAGAAATTTAACAGGTTCTGATTGTTAATAATATGAATGTTCTTTTAATCAGACATTTTAATTAGTAGTTAATTAATCTCTCTTAGGTAATCAAATAAGTACATATGTTGAATGTCCAGGTATTTGTAATCATGATTTTGTGTGGAAATAACCAGATTTTATAGTTTAACAAATTGAATATTATATCCCACTATTTTGATCTGGTTATATTTATAATAATTTTACAATAATTAATTTTTAGATTAATATATTATTATTATTTAAATTAAGAATATGAAATAATTGAATAATTATTTAATGTTCATTTCTAATTGGAATTTTTATAATCCTATCTTAATTTTCTATCTCTTCTCTAAATGATTTCAAGTCTAGTTTTTTCCCTATAGTTTAGAGTTAATGCATATACTCTTATGCTCCATCTAAATTATGATTAGATAATTCAATAAGGTCGGTTCTGTATCTACAATCACTAGGTAATGGAATTTCAGTTTTAATAATATAGGCTGGATCTATCTTTTCTAAATCCCAATATTTGATTCCATCCCAACTAATAGATTCTAGCCAAGAACCTTCAACTTTTGATACTACTCTATTATGCTAAAACAAAGTCCCCCTAAAATATAAAATCTAAATAAAATACTCAAAATAATCAGTTGGCTTCTAATTTCTTCCAATTAACATACCTGCACCCTCAGAAAATTTGATATCACAAATAATATCATTCTTTTAATCAACAAATTTGATACTCCCATACCATTCTAATAATCTAGCACCATAAATTAAACCACTGACTTTAACAGGTGGCATACTAAATGTAATTCTTTAACCATCACTAAATTCAACAACATTCTCTCCTACTTAATGTCCTATAACTGCATTATATCTTAAAGCAGCCTAATATTCAAAATGTCCAAAAAATCTATATCTCTTTCTAAAATGTTCAATATAAAAATGTGAAATAGGAGGATGATGACTTGTATGTTCAATTGAAACTGATGATCCATCTTACCATTAACCTTAAAATGTTTCACCTAAAATAGGATTAAATGGTTTCTTTTATCTGCCTCCATAATATAAACCAGCTATAATCATTGTAACAACAAGTTTAAATCTCTCTTTTTCATCTTATTATCCTAAAGCATATTCCATATATATAGGCATAAAACCCCAATAATCACATATTCTTTCAATCATAGATCTAGGTTCAAATATACGAACAGGTAATGAAAATGAAATAATATTTCGTCCTTCAAATAATTATCTACCTGCTGATCTCATTAAATCTAATACTAATCCATCCTATGCTTTAATTTCTTCCTTATTAAAACATTCAATTCCACCCTCTTTAAATCTTCTATATCCTGGTACTCGTTCTTCCAATCTTTTACTTTTTAATTATTATCCATTTTTCAATAATGTGATTGAATTTATTTATTCATCAAATCCTACAATAGATTTTGATTTCTATTTAATATAAGTGGATGATAATTCACTTACTATTGATTGTTAAAATTAATGAAATCTTTCTTCATCAATAGTTTATGAAATCAAACTCAGATTCTCTGCTTTATTATATAAATATTTTTCCTAATTATATTAAAATTACTAATTACCAATTCAGTAGTTATTCTTTAACAAGTTATTTCACAATAATAATTTACTAATCCTTTGCCTGAGACCTTAGGAATTCTTTGTATTTCATAAGCTTCAAACATATTAAATTTATTGTTTTCAGAAGTCAAGATATCAACAATAAATGAACTACCATTATTAATAATGAATCTATATCTCAATAAGTTCATTTAAATTATGACTGGTTTTGATACTACTTATTTTTGTCTAATAGGATGTATAATAAAATGAACTTTAGCTCTTTTCTAATATAAATTAACATATTTACAGCAAATTCTATATCGTTATTATCTTTTATTTTATTAATTTAAACAAAATTGCTATCCAGAACTTTTTTAAATTTCAAGTTCTTAATTATTCTAAATGCTTTTGTTGAATCAATATCACAAACCATTCTCCCATAAACTCTTATAGTCTAAGCTTTTTGTTTATTAAAGTAGGAGGCAGATAAGCCTGCAACCAAGAATGCCATCAAAAATGGTAACCAATTCGGTTTTAAATAAACAATAAAACAGAATAAGATACTTAGAAGTAGATATAGCTTCCAATTCATAGTATTTTTATTTTAAACAGGACTTTCATATATTTTAACTCCATTTCTAAATTTACGAAATTGCCATTATTGTTGTAAATCATCAAGGGTAGTTAATATTTTATATTTAGATAATTCTTTTGGGAGAGTATCAGTCAATAAATAAGTATTAGTAACTACGAAAGAAGGTCGTTTTTCTGTTTATACAATTGCTGTAGTGGCTTGAGAGATCTCTTCATGCCATTATTAAGTTTCATCTAGAGTTTCACCACTGAAATAGAATTGCTTATTATTTTAGGCTTCTACTTCTAAATAAAAGCAATGTTCTCTATCATCTAAAGTAGAGATAGGTGATATGTAAGCTTCTCTTAGATTAATGGCACCTCTTGGTACTTTATCATTTCTATCTTTAAAATATATCAAAGTTTATCCATCTAAAACTAAATATCTTTAATTCCAATTGTAATCTATAGGACCATCTCCTCTTTTCAGTATCATTCCTGCTTTTTTTCTCTATAATTAAGGAGTTTTAGTTAGAGTTTATGAATTTGTTAGACTAACCTGAGATTATTTGACAGGAGTAGAGAAAGTTGATTAAGATAGATTAGGATAATGTTTAAAGTATTTTTTCTTTAATCTAAATGTTGATGATATATAAATTACTCTTTATATGAGGTCTTTTATAAATCTTTAAGAGAGGTTATTTATTGATACACATTTAACTTGATCTCTTATTATTGTAATAGAACTTATTTATTCATTCTAAACAATTCAGAATCATTTATGCCTTACCAAACATTATAAGTAAGTAACATAGACTTATAGAAATACAATATGTATTTTCTAATTATTTCTGTTAAGAATTATGCAATTACATTTGACTCATCACCATACTGATAGATATTAATTTCAACATTCAAATTAATAGCAACAATGTTAGGACAGAATCGTTACCAATTATTCCTCTCTAAAATGCCAAAGTTGTCTCTTAATTTTCTCTCAACATCTTTTTCATATCCCTTAAAATAATCCAAATCTTCTGCAACCACATCAATGACTTAAGCAGCTCTATTTGGACTTTAAGTTACTTTAGCAATTAAAGCAACTTCAATTCCTGAAAATTGAACAATATTAAATATTCTCTATTCACAATTTTCAAATGAAGTCTTACGCTCTTAAATTTGAATCTATTTCTGATTTGTCAATTGTACCATAAACTCTGGTAAGTAATTAGAAAGTATGTACATTTTAACAATTGGTGACTAACTTAATATCAAATTCATACTTATGATACCAATTCAACCTTTTACTAATTTTGCTTACTCAGATCGAAATCTATTAAATAGTCTACAAATTTGCTTCCCTTTTAGAAACTCTAAATAGGATGAGCAAAAAGTTTACTTCAGCACTAATTGGTAATATCACACTATATTATTATTTCATTAAATTAATGGACGTATCAATAGAGAAAGTCACACAAAGAACCAATCAATAAACCATTAGATTACTGTCCTTGATCAAGAAAGATATTTCTTAAAAACTTAAAAAAAATCACTTCTCACCTCCTTCATCACCATCTATATTAGAAGCTGTTCGATCTAAACCTTTAATAAAAATTGAAAAATAACAAAGATCACCAGTAGTTTAACAAATAAATGATCTAGATTTTGGTTACATGGAAGAATTAGAAAGGAAAAAAATGTTTATGATGATTAGACTTGGTCATCTTAAGGATCCTGCAAGAATGCTTCCAATCCATAATTATAATAAAATACCAGTACTACCTAAAAAAAAGAGAAGAAAAAACCATTAAACTCCATCACCAAAGGTATCTCCTTTGAAAATTACTTTACATAATCCCAATGATATTTCATTACCTGCTTTAAGTACAAAAATACATGAGGATCCATATTAAATGAGTAGAATACATAATACTATCAAGCAGAAATTAGATAAAAAATAAAGGAGATTAAATGTTATCAATAAAAGAATACTAAATAAATTCTCTATTGAATGAATAATCAACTAATAATGTTAAATTTGATTATCACTAATTATGATAATTCAAATTGATACTTTATTTATTCAATATACTTTCAACTACATTCAAAAAACTCTAATAATTACATATTTTTGCTCATTTTATTGTTTTTGTTTAAGAATAATAGGAATTAAATCCTATTAAAATGATTTTAGATTTTTTAAATAATATTATTTAATTAAAATGGGATCCACCTCAAGATATACATTTACATTTGAAAAATTAGTAGAAGTCTCATCTAATGATTTTCTTGGTCATTCTGTGGCTGGTACTCTATTTGTTTTGGCCTTGATTACACACTTCTACAATTATCGTAAAGGTTTGGGTTTTACTTATTGGTGGTTTTTGGTAAATGGATATTTGATACATTTGTATATGGATGGTTTGGCTGCTTATTTTGAATATTCAAAGACGTATTCAATTATTATATTTTAGTACTCATTACTTATATTCTCAAATGGATGCAAGATTCCTTAGAGATGATAAGATGGTTGCTATAGTATCAATAGGTGAGACATTTGTTATGGGACCATTATGTATAATAATTGCATTACTCTATAAGTCTTCAAAACAAGAGCATAATGTATCTATTAAAATAATATTATTAAGTTATTAAGAGAAGTATTGATCCTTGTAGTTTCATCATTTTAAATATGTGGAACAGTAGTATTCTGTGCTTAACCTATTTGGGCTGGCTTTATTGAATAATGTGGAGCAGAAGGATGTTTTACATTCTCAATTTTTAACATATTCTTTTTCTGGTTCTCCTTTGTGTTTTGTGATTCTATCTGGATTTGGTAGCCAATCAAAGAAATTATTAAATCTTATAAGAGATTGGAATAATTAATCAAACCCTAACAATAAAAACTGAAGAAGAATTGATATTTATTAAATGTGCATGTGATTAATTATTAAAGAATATATATAAATATAATATTTAAATGGATATCATTGATTTCAACAAACCAAATTCTGTCAAGAAGGTCAAAGTTGGTAATTGTATTTAATATTATTGACATAGTTAAAAAGATTGTAACATAAGTACCTACAATTAATAAATAATAATAGAATAAAGAGTTTTACAATAAAGCTTTAGAGAAAATCATTCAATTATTAAAAGAAAATAATCCTTCTTTAGCCACTCAAAATAATATATAATTAGAGAAACCATAGATTGATAGATTGGGAACAAAGAAAACTTTATGGAAAAATTTTGATTCTATTTGTATATAAATGAATAGAGAAGCATAACATGTTAGTTAATATTTGTTAATTGAGATGGGTACTGAAGGGTATTCTATAAATAATTATATTAGATCATTAGCAGATGAAAAATTGATAATAAAAGGTAGGTACACAAGTACTTAAATTGAAACATTAATAAAAAAATATTTGTGTATTTATTAGTTTAAAATCTATAGAGGAATATGTTTTATGCTCATTATGTATGAGTTCAGCAACTATATTAATAAGAGATGTTGAATCTAGACTATACAGTAAAGAATGTAAAAATTGTAAGGCTACAAAAACAGTTGCAACACTCAAGATTTCAAATAAGAAATAAAAATGATTGTTAATATTTTCATGTTATTAATGTTCATAAATTTTGATTTTAAATTATAAACTAAATAATCTTATCCAATTTCTAAATAAATCAAAAAAATATTATAATAATTCAAAATATAATGAAACTATGAAAATAGAATATTAATATATTAAATTATTAATTCATTTAAATTATTAGATTTATAAGGAAATACTAATTTAAATATTAATTTAATAATTAAATCATTATAAAGTATCAAATCTATCTAATAACTACTTTTTAGTCATTGATCTAATTTCTAAATAAGCATCCATAGTTGGATCTAAATTATATTATTATAATATATATACCAATCATAGAATTCATAAATTTATCAACTTATAATGCATCTAAAACTTAGACACAATGGGTTAATAAGGTTTTTTCTTAGTTAGTATCTAAAAAGGCAACATAATTAGATTATTTAATTTGATTTACATAATTTTTAATATTTTATCTATAATTATCTTTAATTTCTAATGATTAAGCATCTAATATCACTTTATATTCTTTTAATCCAATATTCAATTAATCAACTTCTTTAGAAATAGTTTCAACCAATCGTGTAAATTCAAAATTGGATTATAATCTATTATCTTATGATTATTTTAAATGAATTGATAATTTATTTAAACTAAAATATTCAGTAGCTGTTGTACATTAGTTTTTAATAACACTTAATAATTGTTGTCCTCTATTATTAGCCAATAATAATAGATAGTATGCAATTAATGGTGATTCTTTATTCTATGATTATTCTAATATAGTATGAGCAGTTTAACACATGAATTAAACTTTGCATCTTTCATTTACTATTTCTTATAAGATACTTGCATTGCTAATATTATTATTAACTGGTTATAGAATATTCTATTCTGGTTTCTCTGAATAAAGTTCCAAATCTCCACTAAACTCTCCATCATTTTTTAAAGGAATTTTAAATAAATATTCCCAAGTACATCGTTTATTGGGATCTTTAATAAGCATTGATTTCATAAGAGTAATTGTTTATTTAGTAAAATGAAATTATGGAGGTATAACCCAATCAGTTTCATCTTGAGCAGTTATTAATTTAGCAATAGATTTTTCTTCAAATGGACACTTACCAATCAATAATTCATATAATACTGCTCCTAAACTCCAAATATCTGCCTTACTATTATAGGAAAGACCTCTTAGTACTTCTGGTGCCATATATATTGGTGAACCTAACATAGTGGCTGTAACATCATTTTTGATTGGTTTACAAAATCCAAAATCTGCTAATTTGTAAATTCCATTATGAATTAATATGTTAGATGGTTTTAAATCTCGATGAATAATTGAGTTTTCTCTAAGAACTTTAAATGCTTAAATTAATTGATATATTATCTCTAATGATTTTCTCTCTGTAAAATGTCCTTACAATAATAATAATTTATCAAGAGGACCTCCTGAACAATATTCATATACAAAATGATATTGATGAGTCATTTTAATTAATTCAATGAATTTAACAACATATGGACAATGTTAAAGTTTTTAAAGTACTTCTATTTCTTGCATACTTAATTCAAGTAATTTGGGTGTTTCATTAAATTTGGCCACATCCACACTTTTAATTGCAACTACTGTTTAAGTAAGAAGATTGGTTGCTCTATAGACTTTTCCAAACTCTCCTTATCCAATTTATTCATGAACCTTATATTATTCAATCATTTTTTTAACAGTTAAATTAATAAATCAAAACTATATTGCTCATTTGAATTGTTTAATTGTGTTTCAAATTATTAGAGAATATTCATTGTAATAGGACTAACTTTCTTCATTTACTCTGCTAATTCATGTAACTCTCTCAACCTTAAAGACCAAATAATGATTTGAACAGCTTTGTCTATGGTTAGCATTTCATCATAATTGTCAACTATGTACTTTTATAATAATGCTAAATTATGTGGAATAAAAAGTAAAGTAAAACTAGTTATCAAATAAGATCTTTTGACTTTTGTTAATTGATACTATTCTACCAAGAGTTGATAGAGCATAGATTACAATTATTGTTTTGTTTGATTATTTGTTGTTAGAAAGTATAAATAATGTGCTAAATTAGAGGGTTGTTCATATACGAATAGCCAAGGATTAGTTGGTAAAAAAGCTTCAAATTAACTGATTTATTCTTAGACAACAGCATTCCAATTTGAATCTTTTATGAATTACTTAATTTCATTCTAAAGTTCAGATTAACTTATCATAATTCTTTATAATAATATTTAATTTATGAATGTTGAAACACAGAGCAGTTTATATAACAAATTCAAAGAATTATTAGATAAATTGAAGTATTATTAATCTACATATTAGAAATAAGGAAAAACCTAATGTTGTCTTTACACTTCAAGAATTGAATTGTGATGATACAAAACAATTTTTTTAAGTAACTACAGAGTTAATCTCATCTGGCATTAATTTTGCTATTGCTCAAGTAATATTTAAGGCAATAATTTTAAGTAAATTGATAAAAGAATGTGGCATATTCTTAAACAATAAATTGATATTGAATTAAAAAGCATATCTCCAGATGTAGATTAAGAAATTAAATAATTTTATGATCTTAGAATAAATTTCCTAAAATCTATTATCAAAAATCTAACTCAATAACAATAACTAGGAGAATTGAATAATGATAATGAATTCAGATAATTTTTAGCTAATTTATATTGTTATGCTGGTGAATTACATGAACATCTTGGTAGGAGATTTGAAAAGATGAATCAATAGCCAAAGGATAATTTTAAATTTGCTGATTTATTCTATAATAAGGCAATATCTATCTATCCCTTTTAAGGAAAATATTACTTCTTAGTAGCTACCTTAATGAGATAATTTTAAGACACATTCAATGCAGCATGTTATCTATTAAAAGCCTATTTTGCTCAAATATCTTACAATTGCAAAGAGAATATGAATGAAGTATTTGAAATTAATAGAAATCATTATAATGAATGGGCTAAACACATTAAACCTGCAAGTGAATTGGATAGGGATACATATTTAAGAACTTTTATGGTTTATTTAATAAGATATAATACGATTGTTGTATGAATTTAGAGTTAATATAGTTTACTAAAATTGGTTTTGAAGAGTTGCCTTAATTAACTAATATGTTTTATCATTTATAAGAGTATTTTAAGATAGTCAAAACAAATGTACATAATGATCATAAGCAATAATATCAATTACTTTAAAAAGTAATAATGATGACAAATTTTGGTTTACACAATAGTTTAACTACATTCTAATTGAAGACTGTTCAAGATATCAAAGATAATGATTTAGTGAGAGAATCAATTAAATATGTCTATGGATTATATGTCAATTCACTTGATTTTATATTAAAATATTTGCTTTAGAATTCAATGAAGAATTTAGATTAAGTGTCTCCAGTAACATTTTTATAATTAGTAATTCCAATCATTTACTATTTATATGATTAACCTTTAATTTGTACATATTTATTGTCTGAATATCCTTCTTTAAATGATAAATTGGCATAGATATTTTTATATTCAAGATAGAACTTGTATTAGACAGAGAATATGAATAATGATTTATTTTAATTTCAATCTTAATTGAATGAATAATTTCACACTTTTTTGTTTCCATTTGAAATACCATTAGTAGGATTCATTTGTTATAATCATGTTCTTTAGACATTTAAATAATAATCTTCAATCTATAAAGAAGAAGATAATTAGACATCAACAATACTATTTTATGTTTGTGAATAAATAATATAATAATTACATGGCATTTAAATATAAACTGTAAAAGAACCAAAATTGGAATAAGAGATACCTAAAGAATTGATTAAGAAACTTATTATAATAGATGGAATGAATGTGGCAATGAGATATGGATAAGAGTAATCTTAGATAGCAAAGTTTTGTTCTTAAGGTTTAAAATGTGCCTTAGAATTTTGGATAAAGAGAGGACATGAAGTTATGATTATTTTACCTGATTTTTGTTTTAATGAAAATGAGATAAATAAAAAAAAAGAATCTAATGTAATATAATTAAATAATTATCAATTAGAAAAATAATATTAACAAACTACCTGATGATTTCAAAATGTTATTAGAAATGAAGAATAAAGGTTATGCTTATGGAGTTCCAAATTGGAATTATGATGACTCTTATATGATTCAATATGCAAGAGAAAAGGGAGGAATGATTTTAACTAATGATCGATATAATGATCATATTAGAGCTTTAGAATCAAATATTGTAGAAAGAGAAAGATTGAAGGAATGGATTAGAAATAATTGTATAAGTTATACTTTTCTATAAAATGAATTGGTACCTAATCCTGATCAATTAAAGAGAATTTGATTATTATATATTAATACATAACATAACATAACATAAAGTATGTATAAATAAACAAATAAACAAAATTATTATTATATGATGTACTTATAATTTATCAAATGTTATTGTTCAAATTTGATCTGGGGGGAGCTTATTATTAAACTTATTATGGTGCAGGTTGATATTAAGGATATTATGGATATGTTGGGTATGATGGAATCACTCTTGATGATACAATTGGAGCAGCATATTAGACTGGATAAGTTTATACTGGTTAAACAACACTGACTGGTTATTATACATATTATTGAACAACTGGTTATGGTGCAACTGTTTATACAATTGGTTATTAGACCACTTATTAGACAACTGGTTGTTAAACAACTTATTACACAACTGGTTATTGAACAACTTATTACTAAAAATTAATTTAAGGAAATAATTACATGAACAACTTATCTTTCAACTGGATAATATTCAACTCTTTCTTAATATCTGTCAACTGGAACATATTCTAATAATTTTTAATTAATTATATTTACCTGTGTATTTCTCTTAGAATACTTATGGGACGTATTCTGTTTAATATTCAACTGCATAATAATCTGTCACTTTTCTTTCTCTTGGGACATATTGAACGACTTCCTGTTCTTCATATTCCATAACAGCCTTTTAGTATGGGACATATTCGATTCTTGATTCTCCTTTGATTGTTGCCTAATTTAAATTTGAATTTTTTTAGTTACATGAACTGATTGTTAAACGACTGGTTAAGCAATAACTGATTATTGTAAAACTGGGGCTTAAACAACTGGTTAAGCAACAACTGGTTAAGCAACAACTGGTGCAACTGGTCTAGCAACACTGTATGTTAATGGAGCAACTGGAGCATATGCAGGAGCATATTATGTTGGATAGGTTGCTAATGGGGCAGGTGCATATTAAGGTGCATATTGAGGAGCATATTAAGGTGCAAATTAAGGTGCATATTATGGTTGTTATGGTTGATATTATGGTGCTTATGGTTGTTGAGGAGGTTGATCTAAAAAAGTAGAGAGATTATTTTACTTGATGGTGCAGGAGGTCTTTGAGACATTTTTGATAAAAAGATTTTTTTCTTATTTTTATTTATATATCCATGCCATAAATTTTATTGCTTAAATATCCTAAACAAATAATTATAATTAATGTAGTTAAGAAGTATCTCAAATAAAAAAAAACCAAGTTAATTGACTCAAACTACTCAACTATTGGAGAAAGAAACTAAACATATGGTATTTATCAATCTAACAAAATCAATAGGAAGAACAATTATAACAACTTAAATAAATAATGCAATAAGAAAAATTTAAGAGGGAATCAGAAAAACCAACCGGATAAAATGGTACTAGATGGAAAGCTGCTAAAATAGATAAAGGATTAAGAAATTATACTCAAAATTTACTACAAAAAAAAAATAGTTTTGAAAAGAAATCTATCCCTACAGTTGTTAGACCAACATCAGCTAAATTACAACCTTTAGAAAAATCAATTAAAACACCAGCAATAGACAAAGATATTGAAATATTTTTTACCTAAGTAGGATTGTTGCAATATAAAGAAAAATTTTAAAATTACACAATTCAAAGTTTAAGTATTTTTTATTTCTTATTTAGAGAGAATGTCACTGTTTAATAGTTAAGAGAAATGGGCATATTACCAGGTCATTAAATAAAAATAATGAGAGCATTAAAAGAAATGCCTGAAAATATATAATAAATGCAAGAAGATAGTTTCTGTTAAAGTAGAGTAAGTATGTCAGTAAGTGGAGTATAATGTAATTAAGCAAAATTAGCATGTTGGTTATGTTATAAGATTTTTGATGATACAGAGATAAATTGTAATGGAAGGAACTTTTGTAGTTAATAATGTCTGATATAATTTAATTAAGAATATATGATCAAATGTTCAAAATGCAACAAGAAATTTTACAAGAATGATGGCTGTGTCGTTTATGATAATTACTATTGTTCTCAATCTTGTAGTATAGATGCAAATGATTCAGTGAAAGGATGCAGTACAAATACTATAGAAAGTGAAATAGAAGAGGATTAATTTCAATAAACGAATTATGCAGAATAATTTAATGAATTCTTAACTTCTAGTTTATTAAATAATTGATCAATCATCCTCTGATTGTTCTGAACAGTCTTCTTTTAATTTTAATTCATTAAGTTAATATATTAATTTATCTTGATCTAAGTTTGATTTGCTTTTCATTTATTACACATCATCTACATTAGATTCTTCTACTTATTAAACAGGTTTTTTATCTTTTTCTTCTTCAGGTTATTATTATTATAATCGTTTAAGATCTTATAACTGCTACTTTTTTTCATTAACTTTCTTCTTTTTTTTAACTTCCATTGGAACTTAAACTCTTGGAACAAAGCAATTATATATGCGTCGAGAATTTGCAGTAAGATTCTTTAAATATACTTTATTTTTCTTGTATTCTTATTTTATTTTATCAAAGTTGATAACACTATTAGTTTACTTTATTCTCTTTTCAATACCCTAATATTAATTTATAGTTAATACTTCATTATCTTCAATTAATTTTCTCATTTCTAATATTTTCTAACCTAAATTAGATGGTTTAATAGGTAGATCATCATTTAAAGCATAAGATGAAGGTTAATTATTGATGGTTAAGATTTTCTACACTAATATTTTATTTTCAGTGTTTTCAGGATGTTTGATTTCAAGTAATTTTTTTGATGTAGAAGGTTTTAATTTTTTCTTATGGAATGGTTTCTCTACATTCATTGGTTATTCTTTGATATTTTAAACTTGATTGACATGTTTATTATATTACTACAATGAAATATAATTCATACATATAGCAAATTGTACTCTGACATTGGAGTGATTATTTCATTTTTATTCCAAATATTAGTCATTAAATTAAATGGACAAGTTTGACACAATTTAGGGAAAACTGTTCTATACTGTTTATTGTATGCATAAATCAAATGAAATTACTCATTACTAAAGAGGAAGAATTAAAGGTAGATAATCAATAATAATCAAATAGATCTGATTGTATAATGGGATCCTCAAATTCAAGAAATCATCAAAAATCCAAATAGACTTAAATAGAACCTTCTCGAAATGGCATGCTCTTACTCAGACAATGAAGACTCTAAATAAACCAAAATAACTCCTAGGAGTATCAGTCGATTGAATGTAAGAATAGGTCATAGTAACTTCAAATTATCAAGTAAATCTTACAGTTCATTATCATCACCATTGGATTAAAGAAAACAATTATTAATATGATAATAATCAGATTATTTTTCTTTCTAAATATTTTTCAAAATTTTAGAGTATGTGCAGATTATCATGAATAACTTTTTTTACAAATCCAATCATTATATCATATCGCATTAATACTTTTTTTCTTTATGGATTTGGAAGATATGATCTTCTTGCTTAAGTAGTTTTTCGAAGAGTTATTTTAAATGGTTTATATCCATCTGAAACATCAGATTCTTCATAAAACATTGATCTTTTTTTTCTTAATTAAAATTCCAATTTTGATGGTTCTTCAAGATTAGGTGTATTATTGTACATAATCCTATCTTTAGTTACTCGAGATAACACCTATTATTAATCTGTTTCAATGAATCCAACATCAGGTTCTAGATATCTTTCACTTCCTATCCCACCAAAGACTGCAATTTTAGAACTTAACAAAACAGTTGAATGAGCACAACGAGGAATCTTGAGCCCTTCAGCAATAACTTATTACCAAATATTCAAATTAGGATAAAAGATATAATATTCATCTGATTCTAAAGTACCATTTACAATAAAATCTCTTAATCCACCTATGACAGCTATACCTTAAACTTTTCTTAGATATTCAATAGTGTGATTGTGCATAGGATGAGGTCCTTTACCAATAGTCTCCACAATATCCCATGAAAGAGGAGTATTATTAGAGGAACAATATGTTAGTTTACGCATATAATTAACAGAATTCCCTTCAACATCTTTACCTCCAAAAGAATATATGTTATCTGATGGCATTATATCAGTAGTCATGGTTTCTTGGAATTTGCCTTGAGATGAAATATTAACTATGGCATGACAACTTACAGGAGGAGATTTGACTTTAAATAATTTCCACACCTACTTTTCCATATTGTAAACAGCAGTATCTGATAGAACTTCTTCATTTGAATTAATTCCTCCATATACAAGCATCCATTTTGGACCAACTAAACATGCTCTATGTTATCTTCTAGGTTCTATATAATCTCCTTAAGGATGAATCTTTTCCCAAGTCATAGTACTTACAGTGTATTCATAAATAGAATTAGTGCATTCTCTTAGTTTTAGTTTAGGATTGAATTATCCACATCCACCAAAGTAGATAAATTTATTTTTATATTGAACCACTGATAAACCTGCTCTTCCTTATTTAGGATGATCTCCATTTCCTTATACTACTTGCCATATCTGGAATTCTGTAAATAATTATTTAATTTTACTTATATCATATTTGAGCATTTGATTTCTAACTCCATCTCCTCCTATTCCTCCGTATAAATATAATTAATCATTGAACAATGTAAATGCAGCTTGTTCTGTGAATGATGGTTTGAATGTTCTTATATCTCTTGTGAGTCTTTAAGATTCGAAATAGAAAGTAAGTTGAGTAGGAGTATCCATGATTTATTCTATGGGTGCATCCAATTTAGGAAGCTGGAACACTAATTATATTGCAATAATATAAACCTTTTTATTATGGTTTTAATTCCATTGCCTTTTTTGGTGATTGATCTCTACGCTTCAGTTTTTAATAATTTCTAAATTTCGTCTTTTGAGTTAGAGATAAAGCTTCAGTCATAGCATTTTCTTATCTTTCTCTACTTTAATTTATAATGGTTTCTCTTTATTTTTTATTGTGTTATAACTAAACTTACAATCTTTCCTTTGGAGATGGTATTCTTGAGACTTAATGTGTGAATGCAGCCCTATATCAATCAAATTAATACATTTAAGGCATTTCAGTAAATGTTTTAAAGAAGGTACTTTGAGTAAGTGAAGCATTTTTTTCAAAATGTATTATTTCTATTTGAGGTTGAACTGTTACAAGAGACGATGATCGTCTCATTGATTATTATTATTGTGGCAATTATTTCAATTTTTTCATTAAATGCAATAATTTTTATTGTTAATTAATGTTCAGCTTTTCACCAATCAAACAGAAATAATACTTAAGTGCATCTAACTAATTTGAATAACCATTAGATGATATGAGTTGTATAATAGAATATGGCAGTGTTGGATCTTTATATTTAGGAAACATAGAGTCAGCTTGTATTTAATTTTAATCAACTATAATAGCCAGTTTAGAAAACTTGAAAAGACACAAAATTAAGGGAGTTCTATCTATTTGTATGAATAAGATTCCTTTTGATGTGTAAACATCCTTATAACATTATTTACACATTTATTTGGAAGATTGTGAGTCTGAAAATATAGCAAGACATTTTGAGAATTCCAATTAATTCATTGATAAAGCTAGACAATCTGGAAATGTCTTAGTTCATTGTATGGCTGGAATATCTAGATCAGCTACTCTTGTTGCAGCTTATTTAATGAAGAAAAACAATATGAGTGCTTAAGATGCTATAAGATTACTTGAAAGAAAAAGATGGTAAGTCTATCCTAATAATGGATTCCTTAGACAATTATAATAATATGAAAAAGTATTATTATAATAAAATGGAAGATCTGATATCTCTTCTCCTCTTAGAGATTAATGGTCTAAGTAAATAATAATAATTATATTTAGATAATTTTAAACACCAACTAAGGATAGTTTATTTTCTAATAAATATGATGAATAACAATACTCCAGTCAAAAAACTAGACCATTAGATGAAATATGCTTTGATAATTATAAAAGAAAATCTGTAGGTTATGATGATTAGCTTAGAAATTCAGAAACTAATGAAAAGAAACCTTTTTCTTTAACTGAACATAGGCCAAGTTCAGCTACAAGAACATCACCTGATCTTATTAAAAAAAAGAATTTATTAGCTGATGCAAGTAATTTTATATTTTAATTAATTATAGTTCATGGAAATAAGAAAGATGGTTTAGCTGCATTGGCTTTGGAATTAAATTCAATTGATTGGTAAAGTAAAAAATTAGATTTTGAAAGCAAATATTCAAAACCATCCATTTAATAAAATAATACCAAATCATTCTTGACTCCTAATCGTCCTTTATAATTAAATCAACATCAAAGTAAATTGGATGAATTACTAAATTCTTTCAATAGAAAATCCATACTATGATTATAGATATATATAAAATATATATCCAAATAATCTTAAATCATTATTATTATTAATGAATTCCCTGTCCAAGCGTATTAGAAAGATTAAGAAAACCCCTAAGGTGACCTAATATGAAGATTCCAATGATCCTCAATAATTCACTGCTTGCATCGCAAACCTCAATTAAATTGTGGCTGAAGATCAATGTTTCTCTAGTTTCACTATTTTCTAGTCAAATAAATTATAACTAAGGAGTTATTGGTTAGATTGATAGAATATTTAAGACACAACAATCCATAAGTTGTTATCAATGCTCTCAATGCAATCTAAAATGTATTACGTATTAGTGATAATTTTGGTTCTGAAGTTAGAGATCAATTTAAAGACTTAGGTTTATTGGGCATTTTATTATTATTTCCTATTTAAGAAAATACTTTATCAAGTTACTTAAATTTGGCAATAGAAATATTTGAAACTTGGAATATAACATTATTAATGCCATTTTATTAAAGAATATTACCAATATTAGATAATTGTCTATAAAAAGTTTATAATGAAGATATCATATCAGAAACATTAAATTTATTATAAGTACTTACAGAAATACCTTAATTTAATTTAAAGAAAATAAATGTTGATTAAATTTTCTAAAATGATATTATTAAATAATTACATTTTGCTAATCAAATGAAATTAAAAGCTTTGACACTTTAAATATACTTAAACATAGATAGATTAGATAATGAAATGTTTTAATTAATAAATGAAGTCATAAGAATCAATATTTTCTAAGAATTGGATAATATTGAATCATTTCTTTAAAAATAAGTGACAATGGAGGAAGAATCTGAATTTAAATAAGATGAAAGATTACTTAGTACACTATAAATTTGGAAATGCTCAGCTTAATCTATTATTTAAGTATTAGTTTATTTAAATCGAATTTATGAAGAAGATAATGATGATCAATATGTTAATAATAAGAGATTTTAATAGTTTTTCTAAAAGAATATTATAATTGAATTGGAAGAATTAGTATTAAAGAATTTCTTCAATTATTCTGGAGTCATTCAAAAAAAATTATTTACTGATCAAACTACTTTCACTGATGAAATATTGAGTCTAACTCTTTTAATTTTTAAGTAATTGTAAATTTAATAAATTTTAGTTTAGGAAATAATTTATTAGCCAATCTCTAACCTTTAGTATGTTTATAAACAATAGAACCTATTCTACCATAGATTTAAGCTATTCTACAAGTAGATATAATTTCAGATGAGGATAAAAAAGAACTTGCTTAATCTGAATTAATATTTTTGATAAAGTTATTAAAAGTGAATCCACAACTTGTTTTATAAATTCCACCATAATTTATTGTAAATTTATGTGAATTAACTGAAAAAACTGATATATTATTTCACATCATAGAAGTTATGAAAATTAGGTATTCTAGCAAAGTAAAAAATGATATTGAAACTATACGTCAAGTAACATAAAAATTACTAAAATTAATGAATTAATCAAATATTATGTTGGCTGCTTAAGCTTTGGATTGTCTTTTCGATGTTTATACAGAAGAAGATTTCAATAGTCTTTTAGTGGAAATGAATATTATTGAACTTTTATCATAGGGATACTAATATTTATAATCATAATTGCCAAAAGAAAAGAAAAGTTTAGAAAAAGATGATTGGAAATTTTTAAAACTTACCGTAACCAATTTAAAATAGTTTATTGAATACAAAGTAAAAATTATTAAGTGATTTGATGTGTATATTAATTAATATAAAATAATACATAATTATTAAAGTTAACAAATTAAAATTCAAATGTCACTCATAATTTTTTATTGCCATCTATAAATTTACCTAACAATTCTTAAATGCCATAATCACTCCATTCCCTTTCCTTTTCTAATTTAGGTAATGATTCTGGAAGATCCAAATTAACATTATCTTTTTTATCAGAAACATAAATATTAACATCTTTCAAAACATCCTTCCTCCATTTTGTATCAACTTTGTAACTCAATTATGGATTAAGTAAATTGAATGAGAAAACTCCATCTCTTCTTTGTGATGAATTCATAATTTAAATTTATAATTATATATTAATTATAATATATTATGAACTGATTAACTAAAAAAATTAGTTTATAAATTAATTCATTATAAAATGAGCTATAAAATTGTATTCACATCAAATTTGAATTCAAGTTCTTTATTAAATTCAGGCAAAGGATACTCATCTTCAAAATCGAATTGAACATTGTAATTCTGTAGTTTTCTCCTTAATTTAAGAACCTTTTTAGAGACAATAACTTATTATTTAGGAAATCTCTCAATGGGAGCTTCATATCCTTTTGTTTTAGCTCCAGGAATAGCAGCAGCTATAAGATCATCAAAAGTGTTCTTATTTTTGTCTAGTTTGAGTACAATCCAAATCATCTATTAAAAGAGTACATCCTTCTGATATTAATTAACCAATTTATCATATTTATCTTAATATCTATAGGGTTCATAATCCTATAAGAGGATGGCAACCCATTCACTATAATTGTATAAATCCTTCTCTTCAGAAACACTTAAGTATAAATCATCATCATTTGAGTTCATATATGATTATTTAATTTGTACACATAAGAATATTAATTTATTATGGATATAATCATTTCAGTAACAACTCTTTGGCTTCATTAATTTTAGTGGCCACATATGTAGATCCTCCTTAATCTGGATGATTAAGCATCAATAATGTACGATGACGAGTCTTTATTTAATCTAGAGGTGTGCCTTCTCTGACTCCAAGAATTAATTAAGCTTCTCTTCTAGTAAGTTGAGTTGAGAAAGTTCCTTTATAAAATGCCCTTGAAGTTTCCACAGTTTTGAAAAACTCTTTACTTTTGATTTATCTGTATGTACGAATCAATAGTTTTGTTCCTCCTCCAACTACAATTAAACCACAACCTATAGCAAATAGAGCAGATGACATAAATTTAATTTTATTTATGATTACAAATACAATTTATATATATAATGAATGTTTCTCTTAAAGACATAATTCCAAACAAAAACCCTTCATAATTCAATCTAAACAAAATTCGCTTTAAAATCTCAAAAAAAGTGGAATCTTACTGTTAATGTAATCAAAGAAACTGTCTAATTTGTGCTCGTAAACGTTCTTCTTCGATGTTAAGCATGAAAAACTCAATTGTATATGATGAGAATTCTCCTGTTTCCAAATGTACTATTGAATAACCAAAACCAATCTAGCCATTCAATCGATCTATCTCTAGACAATAATCAAATTATATGGGGAGAGTCTCTGTCAATATCTCAACTACAACTAATACAACAAACAATTATAGTAGAACTAGAAAAACCTCAATGGAATCATCACCTCCAAAAGATAATAGTATAATATTTATCTTATTTAGTTATTGGCAAACATTCCTTTAAATACTTATATGTAATAGGTAAAGGAGGATTTGGAAAAGTATGGAGAGTTGAAATGAAAGCCAATAAATAGGAGTTTGCATTAAAAGAAATGATTAAAGCAAAGTAAATCATATATACATTAATTAAGGATCATATCTAAACGATCTGTTAATTCAGTCATGAATGAGAAATACCTTCTCGAATATCTCAAACATCCTTTCCTTGTAAATATGCATTATGCATATCAAGATAGAGAAAATCTATTCTTAGTTCTTGATCTTCTCAGAGGAGGAGATCTTCGTTATCACATAGGTAGATAAAAGAGATTCACTGAAGAATAAACAAGTAATTATATAAACATTTATATAAACAGGATTTTTTGTATGCTGTATCTTATTATCATTGTAATATTTGCATTAAAATGGTATCATTCATAGAGATATCAAACCTGAGAATTTAGTGTTTGATAAAGATGGTTATTTAAGATTAACTGATCTTGGAGTCGCACGATTAAATAAAGATTCTTAAGCTAGTGATACATCAGGGACTCCTGGTTATATGGCTCCTGAAGTTATGTGTAGAATGGATCATTCATTTCCAGTAGATTATTATGCTGTAGGAGTCATAGCGTTTGAATTACTTCTTGGAAAACGTCCATATAATGGAAGAAATAGATAAGAAATTAGGGAATAAATATTATCTAAGCAAGTTTAAATGAGAGATGAAAAATTCTCAGTTAAAGTTTAAGATTTTATTAATAGAGTAAGTTTTACAAATAATATTAGTTATTAATACGTAAACCTTAATAAAGATTAGGTTTTTAAGGAATACATGAATTATTTGATCATCCTTGGTTAAGCAATTATAATTGGGCTAAACTATTAAACAAAGAAATTTAAGCACCATATATACCTGGAGTATAAATATAATTATGATTTAGAGCATAGATGGTAATTTTGATTATCAAAGTCAGATATCTGCTGATTCTGAACCTTAGGAAGAAGCCTCTACTTTATTAAGAAGAAAGAGTGTTTAATGTTTATTTGAAGGATATAAATATTTTTGATTATAGTATCATTTTTATTTACTTACACCTAAATTGGCTACTGTGATTCCTGCATTTAACATAGATACTAAGTAATTTGCATATTCATGAGCTCCTCTTTCTAATTCTTCAGCTTTTCTTTTTTCTAATCTTTTATGATGATTAACAGTTTCTTATTTGATTGTTTTTATTTCTGATTTCATCTTCTTTTTTCTATTTTCATTATCATCTCTCATAGCAATAGCTTCAGATTTTAATTGATCAGCTAATTTAATATATCTAGCAAATTTCAATTCTAATTCATCTTAATTTTTTTCAGATTCAGTAAATTTCATTTTGTATTCTTATATTTAATTTCTTGTTGAATATTTATTCTCAGCTAAATAGATTTATACAATAGGAGAAACTATAATATATAAAATAAAATTTACATTTAATAGGTACCATAACTCTTTTGTTTCTAGCCTTAACAGTTGTTTAACTTAATACAATTGGAGGTAGTGATTATTCATATTATTATTATTTAGCAAATTTCTATTCTGCTTATTTTTTAAATATATTGCCAGCTCCTAAATCAAGATTCCATTCTTTAAGATATTTTTAACTATTTGCAATTTCTATTCCTGTAAATAAATAAGAGAATTCATCCAATAATTACTTTTTTAAATCATCATTAAATTTACTTCTACTTAAAGGAAATGAATAAAATAAAGCATAAAATACACTTTAAGCTAATATATCAAAATAAGTTTTAAAAAATAATTGTCTATCATCTTTACGATCAATTGTTAAAAATAAATTGATATAATTTCTAGATATTCTTGTGAGTAATTTTTAATCTTCCTTTGGTAATTTATTAAAGTTTATTTTGGGATAAGTTTCAGATGTTTCATCAGGTTGAATATCTCTTTTAAAAAATTTAGTTACAACATACCAAAAAGAATCTGAAACAACAGCTTTATGTTCTTCTAAATTTAAATATTTCTGCCATTAAGTAAACATGGATTTTACCTTTATAATATGATCTTTAGTTTACTTCTAATAAACCATCTTCTTTATCATTTGATTTTGAAGGGAATTTCATACTATTTAAAACATTTGTGTTGATCTTCTTAAATTCTACTTGATTTGGTAGTGGTGTATAGAGTTCATCAAAAGTATTTGGTGGTTATGCTTCTTCAATTTTTAATATGGTTGTGGCTTTATTTTATTCTTAAGGTTCTGTTATATAAGTAGCTGTTCCTAAAAATGTTGTTGTTGTTGGTCCTCTTCTTAAATCAGGAGCATACATTGTTAATCAATTATGTGAATGAATGAAAATTATATTGAATTATAACTATATTTATTTATCAATAATAAATATATACAAACTTTAAGGTAATAATATGATATTGAAATATTGCTTTGGAATCTATAAATTTAATCCCATCATAATTTAAAGAGTATCAGCATTGCTTAAAGTGAAACCTTATCCAATTAATGAAGATATTTAATATTAAGGAGAAGTCAGAGTTATTGATGATAAATATAAACTCTTAGGAGTGATGCCATTTCAATAAGCAAAAGAATAAGCAATCAAAGAAGAGAAAGAGATTATTCTTATGAATGAAAATGTAGATCCTCCATTATGTAGAATATGTGATTATTCTGATGAATTGGCATAAAGATTTCTTACAGAGATTTCTCCACCCTTTAAAAAAATATAACCTTAAAGAAATATTAAAATAGGATCAAAAATCACATTCAAAGATTTATAGGTTAAAGTAATAGCAGCAGAAACTATTCTAAAAAAGCAAAAGAGAATTATTATTAGTACTGTTTGTTTTGAAAATGAAGTATTAATATGTAAAAATGTTTTCTATAAAGTTAAAAAATTTATGTTAATTTTAGTTTAAAGACATGTGTGAATAATTTATGAAACCATTAGGTAGTATTAGAACTCGTGAGTATTAGGACACTTCAGAATAATATGGATCTAAAGATTAAGAGAAATAACCATAAATAGAATTAGAATATGAATTTGAGAAAATTGGTGAAATAGAATAACCTTAAACAATTCCATAGTTGAAGATTGAAAGATAAATTAATCAAACATATTCTTTAACTACTAGGTAGATCTTAAATGAAATATGAAAGATAAGAATTATTGAATGCAGATGAAGCTATCAAAGAATTCAATTCATTATACAAAGATATAGATAAAGAAGAGGGATAAATAAATGAAGAAGATTTGACCAATGAGAAAATTTGGCCCAAATAAAAAATTAAGAGAAGAATAACCAAATATACATATCCAAAATAAGATATTGATAAGATTATGATGGAAAAGGAAAAAGGAGAAAAGGAAAAGGTTTGATAATGTCAATTATTTATTATTTCTAATTTTTAAGAGTAAAGAAAATTACATTATAAATTTTCATATTTTTATAGAATACTTTGTATTTGTTAATTTAGTAGATGTTGTTGATAAATTAACTAATTCTTTGACTATTTCTTAATTCTTTCTTTCATTTTCGAATTTCTAATTTTAAATTCAAAATGTTTACTTTATAATATATAAAATATATTAGTAAGAGTATTAATTGTAATACAGAAATAACCATATATATTTCTTTAGCACTATATGCTGTTTGACATGTATCATCTTTATAATTTAATCCTTACATATAAATCAAAACTATATTTTAATATACATTTAATACCACATATTGATATCTAAATAAGAATTCCAATTGTTATTAAGAATTTATAAGGTCCTGTTACTCTTTTATTTGCACTCATAAAAAAATTATATGGAATTCCTAATACAATTAACCATACTGTTGAAAAAATCATTAAATAATAAATATTATCTTCCAAACAACTTAATTTTTAATTTACTAATATTAGATATAATGAAATGCAAGTTATAGGTAGGCTTGTTATTCTTATAACAATCTAACTGAAAAAGAATCCTAATACAACCTAAATCAATTTCATTAAGTTACCCATAAAGCAGTTGTTGTCTAAAAATAAAATGTTAATTGTTGTATATTAATGACATATTCACATTCGTTAATATTTATTTCAGTAGTTTGATAAATCTTCATAAATTCTATAATTCCCCAACATATGTTTAAGAAGGCTAACAAAAAATTATCAGAAACTTGCATTTTATCTTTAGCTTTCACATATACAAATGCTATTAAATTGAGAATTATCATAAAACATGCACCTTTAAAAGAAATAGATTAAAATTATAGTCCATCATCTAAAATTTGATATTATTTTCTACTTGAACATATTTGATTAACTTTAGTCAGCATTTAAATTGATAGAATTGTATAAGCATTCATTCTCAAATATAAGAGAATTATATGCATTCCTCTATCTGCAACGTTCATAATAAATTATAATTTATATATATATTATTTATGTATATTATAAATGGAGTAGAATTAGTTTATATATATATAATTATTTAAAGTATTTTTGATTTATAATTAATTATTATTATGAAACCAATTCATACTCCAATTAATTTAAGTCTATCTTAATTATATCAATCGGAAATCAAATAACAATAATAACCAGAAAGAATTTTAAAAGATTTAAATGGTTCTGCTTTTAAATTTAAATTTGACTCAAATTTTAGTGATAGAAAACAAAGATAACCACAATAATAATAATAATAATAATAATAATAATATTAGACTAATTTAGATTGTGGATTAAGGAAATCATCTATATTTGAGGATTACAAATTTGAAATGGAAAATGGTAATAGTTGTAGGAATAACAATTAAATTTATAAATTTAATCACTTAAATTCTAGTTCTGAATTTAATTATTAAAAACCAAATATATAAAATGTTTAAGGATAATATCAATCAAATTAGGCATTAATTGGAAGCAAAATGTTAAGTCCTCTTTAAAAGATGAATCATTTTATTTAAGAAGATCTTGAAAGTTTAAGATTTAGTTAACAATTCTAGAAACTTCATTTTAATGATAATAATGTAGATGATTATAAAATATCACTTTATTATTATAAACCTTAGATTGGTATTACATATTAAATGAAAGAGAACTTATTGTTAGTGACAATAGATTAAAGTTAGATAACAAAAATTAGATAATATTTGAATGAATTTTAGATTGATACCTTAATAATATTTTACTCAATAAATTTTCCATAATAATTACTAATGTCTATAAAATAAATAATTTAAGGAGTTGTTAAATTTTGTAACTTTATGTAATGGGAGGAATATAATATTTAAGATAAATTAACATAAGTAGGATTTATGCATCCAGAAATATATAATGAAACATTAATAGATAAGTAAATATATATAAATTTATGTTCTGCTTTACCTATCTTATCTAGATCTAATTTAGATACAATAATTAATTAGTTATAGGAAAATGAGAAATGCTGTAAACTTAAGTTTAATGATTCATTATAAAATTAATTAGGAATATTAAAATAAGAGAATAAATAATTAAGTATATAATAATTATTTGAAAAATACTTTTAGACATTTCATGCTAAGAAAATATTTTTGGATTATTTAAAGAATCCAATATCATCTTATTAGATAATAAATAAAAGATTATAGAATTTATATATATTTCAGTAATTATCACTCTAACCTTCAAATTAAAAATTTATAAAAATGCCAGGAAAGATTGGATCATTCACATAAAGTATTAAAATAATGTAATTTAGTTTTGAAGGTTTTGTCAACATATTAAGAGAAGAGTGAACCATACTCTAAGTTATTTACATAATTATAATATTTGATTGAATTTGTAACAGTAGTGAAATAATTGGTAGTAATAGATAGAAGAGCATAATAATAGACATGTTAATTATTAAAAGATTTAAGTAATGTAAATTTAGAAAGTATATGTCAATTATCTGATATTATTGAAACATCTTTGTTATTCAATTAATCAAATGTTTAAATAAAAGAACAAAAATATCCTTAACTTGAATAGTTATTATCTTTGTAAATTAATTTAAAAACAAGAATTTAATTAATAAAAAATAAACATTAATCAGAATTGGCATTAGTAGGTATTAAACCTTAATCTATTGAAGTGAAATATGTAAATAATTCTTATAAGTTGGTTGTTTAATCAAATTTAAATTTAGAGGATAAAGTATAAACATTAGGATGGGAAATGATTAGTGAAAGAGATGCTGAAAATTTTGTAGTTTTTAAAACTTCTTATACTCTTAGTTTAGATGATTAATTTGGTGATTTAGAAAATTAAATTATATCTATGTAAGAAAAGATCTTAATAGAACTTGTGAAATAAATTTAATCATATTCTGATTAATTATAATAAATAGAATAATTAATTGGAGAAATTGATTATTATATAGGATTAAGTATTGCAATTACATAAATGAGATTATGTATTCCAAAATTAAATAATAATAATCAAATGAAAATTTAAGGAGGAAGACATTTATTAGTTGAATAAACAAAAAAATAAAATGTTGAATTTTAACCAAATGATTTTGTATTAAATGATAAAAGAATATTTTTAATTGTTGGTCCAAACTTTTCTGGTAAATCTGTATTTATTAGATAAATTGGTATTATAATTTATTTGGTTCATTGTGGATTACCAGTTCCAGCTTTGAATGTAGATACATATCTATTAGAAGAAATTCATGCTCTATTTCCATGTGAAGGTAAGTAATAATCAAATTTAAGTATAACTAATCTAGAATTATTATAATTGAGTTCTGCATTAAAAGTTTCAAGTAGATCTTTAGTTTTGATGGATGAAATTGGAAAAAGTATATATTTCTATATATATTATAAAGCATTTAAATATTAAGTTGGATCTAATCTTCATAAATCTGCATTAGAGTATTTTATGTAGATGTCTCCAACACCACCTATAGTATTATCAGCAACTCATTATCAAAATCATGAAGAATTACTGTAATAAAAGTGTTTGCAATAAGGAGAAATGGAGGTAGCATTTGAATCAAATAAAAATCTTATTTTTGTTTATAGAATAGACTTCCATTCTAAAAGAGTATAAAAAGTATCTTTTGGATTGGAGGTAGCTTTATTGGTCCATTAAAATGAGGAATTATATTAGAGAGGCTTATAATTATATGAATTATTAACTAAATATAAGTATTTATAAAATAGTTGAATAATTTATATATATATTATATCACTCATTCTTTAAAGTAACAATCTAAATTAATGATTAAGAACAACAATTAAATATTATTATTATTCTATATTAGATTAAAGGCTGTTTTAATTGTTTTATGTTAAATTATTAATCAAAAGGATTTGTATATGAAACTTAAAAACTTATTTAGAAGAGTATATTTTGATAATCATTTCATTTTCATCCTCTATTATATATTCTTAACTAAGATTAAATAATGAATTTATTTTTTTATTAATGGACACAAGAAAATATAAATAATTATCAAGCAAAACAGAGTATGTTCCTAAAAATTATAATGATCAAATTCTTGAAGAATAAGACACAATCCTCAAATATGATAAAATAAAAAACGATTATAAATATTTAGATGCTACCATCTTTAATCTTTGTGAGAAGATTGCTATAGGAAATAAACTTTAAGAATTATATTTTACAAATTAATAACAATCATTAAATAAATCATCCTTGCCTAAATTTTTTAAGTTTTATGTGCATAATACAGGTTTTTTTATGATCATTAATTATTAGCTCTTGTTCCGATTTTTTGTTTTTCTATTGTATTAATGAAGTGGAGAAAAACACTCACATTACATAAAACAGTTCTATTATTATGTGGATTATCTTTAACTAATGAATTTTTCAAATACTAAAATTGTATAAGGATGGATGAAAATTTAGCTAAAGCTTATTAAGACCATACATAAGCATATGATGATCTCTTTGGAAACCTCATCTAAACATTAACATTTAAAGATGTTATGAGACTCCTCTTTAACATTGATTTTACAAAAGAAAAATTACAAAGTGAATCACACTATGATAATCTCTTAGTTGAAGATTTTGCAATGAATTATTATTGAAATTCAAAAGTTCATTATATTATTAAACTTATGTAATTTATTTCTCATATTATTTGTATTACATAAACATATATATATATATATACTTATTTAAATGAAAAAAACTATTTCTAATCAAATTTGTTTACATCATATTTAATATAAGTATGATAGAATTCTATTTAAATGATCAATATATATATAAGGTCACAATATATTTAACAATTAAAAAATAAATTTATGGAATTTTCTAAATTCAATTAAATTGTCAATCATAAAATAATTATTCTAAATTTAACATCTTTGAACCGTTTTCATAGTATTTCTATTGAATTTTTACATCAAGTTGTAAGATACATACTATTTCTCATAATCTAATTACTGTCAAAACTTCTTTCTTCTTTATATATATATTAGATCTATTCTATAGTATTCAACTACTTAAATAAACTTATTATAATGAGTTTTAAATTCATAATTTCAAATCAATTGGAATTGAATATTTGTAAAATCTGTGATAATTAGATTATTTATTTTTTTAATATTTTTTTATTAGTATCATATAATTTTCATTTTTAATATAATATCATAAGACTAAGTTTTTAAATCATTAATATTTTCTTTTAATAAGAATTCTCAGGTTTAAGATTTCATAAGGGATCTTCTTAAGAAATTTCCAAACTACTGATAGGTATAGAAAAACATTCAACAAAAATTATCTTTAATAAATGAAGAAAAAATGATCTAATTTAAATACTTCAAATATTTTTAATAATTTTTGAAAGTGAAATTATGAACCTTTTATTAATGATTATTCTTTACTAATTCAATTATATTTTATATTGATTTCTAAGAATTTTTTAGAAATTCAATAAAGTATATATTATTGATAACAAATATTCATCCAAATATAATCATTATGGGAGTTTAATGTTCTTAAACCTAAAATTCTATGGTAATATTTTAATCTCTACATTCATTTGATGAAAAAGAATAGCAAAATCATCATCAAGCTAGTTAAACTTTAAAATATAGTTTTCCCCAAAAATAAATTTTAGAAATGAATAAAACAAAATTATAATTGCAATAAGAACAGAATCATCCTTAGTAACCTGAAGATCCAGGTAGTCCTATGTAGGCATTATCAGAATAATCTTTTGAAATCTGTGAATTAACTTAATTTAATAATTCATGTCCTACAACAATAAGAATCAGTAGGCAATATCCAAATGAATTTACAATATAACCCAATAAGACATTAAGTATTAAAAAAATAAACTTTTCACCTTCAAAATAAAATAAACCATATAATTAAAAATAAAAAGGGATAATAAAAAAAAGTAGATATAGTGATTCACAATCCCCAAACTCATCATAGACAATAAAATCAGTTAGATTTTTAATAACAGAATAAGTAAGACCTGAAAGAAAGTTAATAAGAAGCAAAAGCTTATCAAGAAGATAGTCTAGCAAACGATTAAATTAGTCAACTATTTATAGTAATCGTGATTAATCATTTTATTACAAAATTGAATTGTGACAACTTTGAATATATATTATTTTATCAAAATTAAAACTTATGCTTGATTAAACTCTTAAGTACTTTTCTTAATTGATTAATATTAGTCTTATTTTTAAAGATGAACATAATGGATGCTTAGTTAAATTATATCATTTTAAAACAATTTCACATGCTATAGTACCTAATAAATTTAACTACATAAAATAATATTTTCATAAGCACTCTCCCATTTTAGTATCTGCAAGAGAAGAAGAAAATGAATTTAGTTGCAATAATGATCTAGAAGAAATGACTGGAAGAACTAGATCAAAAACTTAAGGTACTAAAAACACTTTGAAGCCAAATAAACATTACGATTTGACTGAACAACTTGATTTAGCTATAAAGCCAAAAGGATTATTAAAAAATCGTTGTAATAAGGAAACGTAGAGTTAGAAAAGAGTCTCGTTTTCCATTCCATCTCGTTGTACTTTAGAATATAGATAAATTGTTTAGACAGCTATCAATAAATATTAAGTGAAGTAGAAGCAATGAATCTAAATTTAGAGTCATCCAAATTTATTTTTCTATAACCGATTTTAAAATTCTAAATATATTCTTATTATTCAATACATTATTAATGATGTCAATTCAAAAAGAAAGATAATATTTTACTCTTAGAAAATTTAATTATTTATACTTGAATGAATCAAATTCCTCAAAGTTAGTTTTAATTTATCAAAACTTATTTTCTAAAGAGTAGCATAGCTAAATAAATAATACCAGATAGTTTAGATGATATTCATCCAGAGTAATAATTAAATATACATTTAGAATATTAGATGGGCATTCAACAAACAACTCATAACATAGAAGAATCAAATCTGATGTTGTATAAAAAAAGGAAGCCTAAAAACTTAGGCTTATTTAATAGTAGTATTCATAATAAACAGATACTTCGACATAAAATCAAAGTTTTATTTCATAAGGAATTTTAAAAAATAAATCACAAAGAAGTATAAGCAATAAAGGGTAAATAAAAAAATCTCATAAAAAAAAAGTGCATTTTATATGAATTAATTAGAGATTTTAATAAATTTTGACTAAAAATTGCATTTATTATCATATCCTTATTCACTACAATATTTCACATATTAAAGGTTTAATTCCTCCCATATCTAAATTATAAAATAATAAGGGGGCTTTATTCAAGATATAAGATTTTAATATGATAAGTTATTAAAATTAACTATTATTTGTTAAATTTTTATATTAATAACTTTATTTAAATTTTGTTCTTTAAATCATCTTTTTCACTCAAAATAATATATTTAAATACGTCATTTCTATTTATATTTCTGCCAGATCCAATAATATTTGGTATTGATTAATTTATAAAGAAAGTCTTTATTGATGCATAATTTAAGAAAAAAGATTTAATTATTAAGGAATAACTAATAATTAAAACATGAAATCAGTATAGAACTTTTAAATTGTCTAAAACATGAAAGCATACTTTTCAGATGATATTTAAAGTCTTTAAAAAAGAATAGATGGTCCTATTACAAGCTACGATAGTATTAGTAGTGATCAAATGTTATTGCCGGATTTGAAATCAATAATCTTAAATTAGAATGATTTAATACGAGAAAATTATTAAGGGTTACTTCCAACTGAAACATACTCAAGAAGCCTTACAACTAATTCTTCAAGTATTTATTTATATAAAAATTAGGTCAACTTTTTAGATTTGAAGAACAGTTTATAAGTGTTAATTCAATATCTTCAGAATCAGTATCAGATGAATTTTGAGATTGTCCATCTTTGTTACTGAATAAAGGATGATCTGTATTTTATATTCAGAATTTATCTGATTAATATTTAATTAAAATCATATACATTATACAAAGTCATACTTTTATTCCATTACTCAATCTGCTAAAGTGATTCCATACTTAGATTTAAAATGATCATAAACTGGAAAATAAAAGATAGAAAATAAACTGCATTAAAATACTCTTGTTCCTAAACCTTTAAGAAATGCTTTTTTTCCTTCTTAATGCCAAGCTTCTAAAACCAAATTTTTCACTGATAATTATTGCTAACTACTATCTACAAGTTAGTATCTAGTAATGATAAAATCAACAGGATTGACTATGGCTGCAGCCAGAGCAGTTGAAATCATTGTTGCAATAATAGATTAATGAATTGCTAAAGGTTGATTATGTAAAGTTTAATCATCCCTTTATCTTAAGATTTCATATCTCAATAATTCATAGAACCACATTTAGAATGTTGTATATACAACTACAGAGGCCATGTATAAATAAGATGCTTAGAATAAACGAATCCAACCTTCTTTTCTAGAAATTTCCATTAATCCTGAAAATATTCCTTTATAATTATATTCAGGAACATTCATCTACATTCTGGTTCTTAAAGTATCAAAAGGTATGTAGGCTTAATAGTTATATATTTATACTTATGACTGACACAGCTTCGGCTAATGGTGAAGTGATAAGAGGAATCAATAAGTTAAGCTTACTTTTTTCTCCATCTTTCTCTAAGCATTTTGTTAATTTGATTGCATAATAATTCATATACTCATAAGCTAAAAAATATGAACCATATGGTATAAATGAACCTATTGATAATTAATATCAATTACCCATTACTGTTGTGGAAAACCCTTTGAATAAATATTTAAATCCTTCATTCTTAACAATAAGATTATATCCTTGCTTCATCCCCAAGAACTCAGACTTATGTGCTTTGATTCTTGTTCCAATGGTATCAAAAGGAAACATAATCATATCACCTACCATAGATGCAAGACCTGAATAAAATGCTATTAAGAAGGGTTTGAATTGTTATTCCTTTTCTGTCATATATATAAAATTTAATTATTGGTAATTTTTATGATTGTTAATAAATTAAATAATCTAAGAAATCTTCTCCATAGCATACAGCATCTAATTATTAAAATTAAGTCTCTCCATATTTGATGTAATATCCTCTCAATATATATAAATAGCATTTACTTAACTCTAATATAAATTAACCAAATCTTTATATGATTCATATTATTAATATAATTATTCATAAATTAAAAATGTTTATTTAAGGATTGCCTACATCATTCCAAAATAGTTTAATTTTTATTCTGGTTATTTTAAATAAAGGCTTTAGTTGCTGTTTAAATCTAACGAGGTTTCCATATATAAATTTTCTTGCTTTCTTTAAGATAATCATTTTATAAGTATTTGTTTCAATTTAATCAAAAGAGGCTTTATAAAACTTTTAATAAAACTTATATGGATTGTTGGAAAATCTCACTTATTTTTTAACATATCAATCTAATTCTATAATGCAACAAGAGTTTAAAAAGTATATAGAGTCTATATCAGCAAAGTTTGCATTTAGTCTTACAATGGACTAAATTATTTATTAATTTTACTCTTTTTCTACTCTATAATACTCAAATTCAAACATTTCATTCAATATATTAACAATCATATAGGAATTTGACTTATAATTTATTAAAGTTATAAAATTCTAATTTGATTCAATCATAATGTTATTAATGTTTAAATTATAATGGAAATAATATTCTAATAAATTATTAAATAAAATAATATTTGGTTCATATTATATAAAATTAGATGAATTCAAAAATTGTAATTTAGAAAAGCTATTCTCAGCTAAATAGTAAAATAGATAAAAACTTATTTAATAATATAGAAGAATTAAATCAAATATTTTTGCCATAAAAATGTTTATTGTGAAAGGAAACTAATCCAAAATAAGAGTTTTAAGATTTATTAAGATTTCCAATAATAAATTTACAAACTCTTTCTCTATTAAATATAAAAATTCACGAAATGATTGTTCCTTATAAAAAAATTATTTTTATTATTATTATTAAATGCTCCCAATTAAAAGTCCTCATGAAAAGAGGGTTAGTAAGATGAACCAATTTAGCAAATAAGCAGGGCCATTTGTAATCTTTTTCACTGTCTTAATGCCAACAAATTGTGTGATTTTAGAATAATATGTAAAATGAAGAATTAAATTAGTACTTTGAATTAAAACTAGACAGTGTTTCTTAGAATATACAAAACTTTATGATTTATTTTATCTACATAATGGCTATGTGGTCATACTATTAAGCAATTACAATAAAAAATATTACTGCATAAAGAGCTCCATTAGCACCAGATCATAGAAGAATTGATCCTATTTATAAAAATAATGCAGCTTGTGCAACATGCAATAAATGGAAACCTATCAGAGCTCATCATTGCTCTATGTGCAATTAATGCATATTAAAAATGGATCATCACTGCCCTTGGATTGATAATTGTGTGGGGCTTAGAAATCATAGGGCATTTTATTTATTTACAATGTATATGACAGTACTTGTTCCATAATTATGTTTAGATTGGGGCAATTCAATATAGCTGGGCATCTTATGTGTATTTTAAAGATCTCTATAGAAATGATCAAGGCTTTTTTTCTTAATAAAGTACTTTTTTTTACTTGTTTTGGACCTTTTCAAGTTTAGTTATGTATCCAACCTGTGCTATGTTATTCTTTTTGTTTTGCTATCATTCTATTTTAGTTATAACAAACTAAACAACTTTAGAGTAAATGAAAAGTGGATAAAATGGTTTGTTCTGTTGTTCAACTTCAATAAAAAAAAATAGTAATCTATATGATCGTGGATGGATAGCTAATGTAGCATGGTTTTTTAATTATTCCTATTTTTGGTTCCTTCCTTTATAAAATATCTATGAAACAGATGGTAAATATTAATTCATTTATAAAAGGTACTTCATACCCTATTGCACCATTATGTACATTTGCTGATATAGAAGTTTATGATCCATCTATTGGTAATGGACTTCCGCCAAACACTTAGATAGATTTAGAATAAATTGATTCAAAATTTTTAGATTATATTTAAATTGCAAAAGAAAAATATAAAGGAAAAAAAGTACAATTAAATGGCAAGGAAATTATACTTGCTTGAAAATCTAATGTTGATGATTTTATATAATATAATAATATATCAAGTATTTTATAATTAGCAAATTAGCTGAACAAAAGAAATTAATAGTTTTTGATGAATTAAGAATATTAAAAAATATGCTTAATTATATATTAACATAATTACTTAAATTTTTAACGATAAAGCTTATATAATTTTTTATTATATATTCATTTTAGGGATGTTTATGATTATTCAAGGTTTATCACCTATAAATTAATATTTAAATTTTGTGAACTATCTTATTGTTCTTAAATTTTAGTATCATGCTATTGTAATTTTCTGATATTTTTATTAATTAATAACTAGATTCTTTCATCTAATTCTTAATCTAAATTATTCTCTTTTTGTTATAATATTTCTGTTTCAGAACTCACTTATTGTTGCGGATTTCTCATATATTGTTGGTCAGATGGAAGCTTGTTATAAATAATTCAAATACTATTTAATTGATAGACTAAATGTTTTTTTCAGGTACTCCTATTTTTTCAAATAAATTTTCTAATTTATATTTTGATTCTAAATATTTTTTAATTTATTGTAATCCTAAATGTTCTTATATAATTATCTATAATCTTATGTAATTTATAATATACTTACTTGGCTACTTCATTTTATAAATTTAAATAATTCATTTTTGCAATTGCTATTTGATGTAATTTATTCAAAATTTCTTCTGATTTTTAAGGATCATAATCTCTTCCTTTGAAATTAACACCGATGATTTTACCCAACCAATTCTTTTTTATTTAAAAATCAATAAAATCATGATAATACATACTAATTATCTCTCTTTAGGCTTTTTACAAGCAAATATTCTCATTATATTTTGAAACTAAAAAAGATATTGAAAGTATCGAAGATATAATTGATCCAGTGTCTGCTAATATTTCTGATATTTTTGGATATTCAACACTATTAACTATTTTTATTTCATCTAAAGTAAAATATAAAATTGAAATTAATTCTTCTCCATAATATTTTTTTGAATATGCCTTATCATGAGTTGAACTTATAAATTAGAAATCAGATAGATATGTGTACTCATTTGAGTTTGGAAATAAAAATCCATCATCTAATTCCAATTCACCAACTTACAATGTAAATTAATTATAAAAAAGCTAACCTGGCATCATATCTAAAACATAAGATTTAGGAACTTTTTTGAATTGTTTTGCTTTTGGATCGAATTATTCAATAAATAATTAAACTTGAAAAAAGTTTTCTTATTTATAAAATTCATTTATTGTGTCTTCATCAGCACATTATTGCCCTTCACTTAATTGATTTTATCTGCAAAATCCAAGTAATAATTAATAGTCAACAGAATTTATTTGAGATAATTCTAGAGGAGATTTTGAAATTTTTATATCTTCAACATAAAATTTATTGATAATTTTTCCATTTTCTGATTATTCTTACTAAAAACGAAGAGTTATGTTTTATGTCTATAAATAATGATCGGAATTTTACGTGATCCCAATTATTTGGTATCAACTAGAAAATTGGATTATAGATCAATTATTTCGGATTAAAAGGATCTATTGAATTATTCAGTTTTTTAAAATAACAAATCTCAAAAAATACTCCTCTTTATAAAATAGTTTAATCTGCTTCAATCTATTATTAAAGAGAAGTAATTTTAGGAAGTTTATGATTTGACTGCCAATCGATAAATTGGAATATAAAATATCCTAAGCTAATTCCATATAAAGTAAGAGTTATTAATCCACCTAAAGCGCTTTTTTATGTGGGATTAATAGGAGGAATTTATAGTTTTTACTCAACCCCAAATTGATCTATTGATTATAAGAAGTATAACATTTAATTAAAATTTATTATAAATCTTATTCTTTTATTTCATCAAATAATTATGTTGTAAATAAGAGATTTTGTTATTTGTAAAATTTTGAGCCGTATTTCGATATAAAGAATTATTAACATTATGCTTGAGTTCTAAAATAAAAAAGTAATGATTAGAAAATATAAGAAAAATCTAAACTGATATATTTCTCATATTCAATTTCATTTGTAATTTAGAAATATTCCATTTTTATAGTTTTATTATAAAAAACTGTTTAAGCTAATTAGATTAAAATAAATATATAAAAACGATTAAAATAACCAATTTTCATATAAAATTTTCCATTATATTTATTCTTTATTAAGAAAAATAAGAAAATTATCATTTTTTATAAATGTATTACAGGAATTTATGTGGAATTGAGAAATTATTTGGATTAACTATTTTTTTTTCAAAGATTAAGTGAGTTTTTGAAGAATTTTTTAAATTATTTTAGATTTTTCAAACATATCTTTAATTTTTTATATTAGAGTTATATAAAATATTAAAAAAAAAAATATACATTGTTATTGTATAATTAATCTTTTTAATATCATTTTGTATCGACAGGTTTCTCAAAATTATTGACTTTTAAATAAGTAATCCCATTTTAAAATGACTCCTAAATTTAAAGAATGCTGTTTCTCCTTTTTAATTGACCATTTTCATCCATTTGGATGTCTAAAAGCCCCATTCTTGATTCTAATTCTTATTCTAAAATTGTAAGCTTATTAGGTCTAGATTCACTTTCTCCATCTATATTCATTTATGATATTCCTTCTAATTATTATTCATTTTAAGCATGCTGAAAATATAAAAAGCAAATACAATTTAATTTATTGCTTATTATGAAGTTTTTTCAGGTATTCCGATTTGATCAAATAAATTTTCTAATTTATAATCAACTTCTAAATATTTTTTAATTTATTGTAATCCTAAATGTTCTTATATAATTATCTATAATCTTATGTAATTTATAATATACTTACTTGGCTACTTCATTTTATAAATTTAAATAATTCATTTTTGCAATTGCTATTTGATGTAATTTATTCAAAACTTCTTCTGATTTTTAAGGATCATAATCTCTTCCTTTGAAATTAACACCGATGATTTTACCCAACCAATTCTTTTTTATTTAAAAATCAATAAAATCATGATAATACATACTAATTATATCCTTTTCAGTTTATTCCATACTTAAGTTTTCATTATATTTTGAAACTAAAAAAGATATTGAAAGAATCCAAGATATAATTGATCCAGTGTCTGCTAATATTTCTGATATTTTCGGATATTCAACACTATTAACTATTTTTATTTAATCCATATTAAAGAATAAAATTGAAATTAATTCTTCTCCATATATATTTTTAGAATACTCTTGATCATATTGTGCACTTACAATCTATAAGTCAGATAAGTATGTATAATCATTTGAATTTGGAAATAAAAATCCATCATCCATGTTAAGCTCCCCTACTGTTAGGATAAATTAATTGAAATAAAGCTATGCTTTTATCATATCAAAAATAAAAAATTTTGGTATATTTTTAAGTGATTTTGTTTTTGGATCAAATTGCTTAATGTAAATGAAAACTTAAAAGAAATTAGTTTGGCTAAAAAATTGATCAATAGTATCTTGATTAGCACACTATTGTCCTTCTTAAAGTAATTTTGTATTACAGTAACCCATAGATAATTAATAATTACTTTATTCTCGTATTGGTTAATTTACAGGGGAGTTGATTGGTTCAATATCTTGAATGATAAATTTATTTATTATTTTACCATTTTCTAATTATTACTAATCAAACTTAAGAGGTAAGGTTTAGATCTATAATAAATATGATATATACATTTTTTCTATCAAAAGGAATGAGTTTTAATTTAGGTGAAAATATAAGATTTTAAGGATTGAATGGATCTATTGGATTATTAAGTGATTACAAATAACTAATTTCTGCAAATACTCCTTCAAGCTTTAGTTTTTAAGCAAAGTTTATTTATTCTTGAATAAATGTGACTTTAGGAAGCTTATTGTTTGATTACCAATCAAAAAACTAAAAAAGAAAATACCCTAAACTGACACCATATAAAATTAAAGTCACTAATCCACCAAGTGCACTTTTTTATGTGGGTTTTATTGGAGGAATTTACAATTTTTGCTAAACTCCAAACTAATCAATCGATTATAAAAAGTATGACATTATTATTTTATTAAATCAAAAATTAAAAAGAAGTTATGAATGTCTAAATTATCTAGACATTCTAATTCATCATTTTTAATATATGTAATTTTTGCTTTTTGGATCCATTTTTATAACATAAGGACAATAAAATTGCTATATATATTAATATTATTATTCATTTTCATACTGTTAAGAATTTCTAAATTCTTATTAATGATCTTGTTCTATTTGAAATTAATTAAGAACTTTATAGTTCTATAAAAATTAAATAGATACTAATTCAATTGTCATATTGAATCTAACATTCAAAGAAGTCAATTATTTTTAAGACTTTAGAATATAACTTTTGATAATAAATTTTATATTTGATTTCTTGTATATATATCGATCATAATCATGCTAGTGGTTTAGCTGATTAAACCAACAATTGTTTTAGTTAGTTCACATAGGTACTATTTAACAAAGCAACATCTACTATGACTGCACTGACTAAATATGGATCAATGTTAGCAGCTGGTCTTCTGTCTTCTAAATAACTATCAAAATAACGATATTTAATACCCAGCTCCTAATTCTTTTGTTATAACTGGAACTCTGATAGATCCCCCTCTAGAACCATCACCCCAAGAGAATTAATCATAAGAACTAGTTTCATGATGACCTGTTAATCTTTTTTCATTATTAGCTCCATATAATTTTAAAACTTCTTTATGAGTATTACTTAATAAAGGGATCAATTCATTGACAATATACTTATATCCACCTTCACCTCTTGTTTTGACATCAGAATAGTTTGTATGGGCTCCAGAACCATTCCAATCTCCCAAGATGGGTTTAGGATCATAGTTGATATCAATACCAAATTCTTCACCTAATCTCTCTAGAATATATCTAGCTAACCATAGGTGATCTCCGATTTCAATTCCTTCAGCAATACCAATTTAGAATTCCCATTAAGATGGAGCAACTTCTGCATTGACACCTGCAATTTTGATTCCGGCATTCAAACAAGCTCTAAGATGTGCCTCGGCTAAAGCACGTCCAAAGTTGTTTCTTTCACCAATAGAACAATAATATCGTCCTTATGGATATGGAAATCCTCCTGTAGGCCATCCAAGAGGCCAGATGTGAGTTGTTCCTGTACGTTTTAATAAGAAATATTCTTGTTCGATTCCAAACCAGGGTTTGAAATCTTTGGCTTTTTCCATGATTTCATGAGCAATCCATCTATTTATAAAATTAATAATTACCTAAAGTTATATCTGGCTGGAGTCTTTTTGTCTGGCAAATATGTTTCACACAACACCAAAATGTGAGGATCACCTCTGAAAGGATCTTTTACATATACAACAGGTTTCAAATAGATTTCGGACCATTTAGTGTTGGCTTATTCTGTTGATGAGCCATCATATGTCCACCATTCAAGGTCAGAAATTTAAGTTATAGGTGTTGGATATACCTAGATAATTATTATAAAAAGTACTTTTGTTTTAGATCTCATTCTTTCTCCAGTTCCATCAATCCAAATATATTCAGCCAAGACTTGAGTAACATTCTGATTTAGTTTATAATAATTAAAATCACGAAGATGTTCAACAGTCTCGGTCATACAGGATCTAAAATTTATTCAATTAATCAATAAAAAAAACGTGTATGGATTTTGGAATTTAACTGGTTTTATAATTGGTCATATATTAATAATCACATGAAATTGATATCTAATATTGCTTATTATATGTAATTAAAAAACAAGATTACGTTTTTATTTTAATTATTAATTTTTTATAAGAACAAAAATCAGTAATAAAGAGCTTTTAAAAATAAAGGATCTCATAAAATATTCTTCATAATATAACTTTATAGAATGTTCTAATAATATAAATGCAAAAGATTTAAAGTTTTATATAAAAAATCATCTATACTGAATAAAAGAATTTAAACCAATAAAAATTCATATTCTTTTTTGTTATGGATTTATGATTTTTGAGAAATATTGAGAACATTTATATATAAACTAGTAAAAATAAATATATTTTTGTAATTATAATAATTTTTTTCATTTTCTTATTTATTATTATTTATTTGCCATTCAATTTGCTTATATTTTATTTATTATATAAATAATAATATATTGCATATTTTATAGTTAATTAATATATTTTTATTAATAGAAAATTGCAACTTCATTTAAGAAGCCAAAACCAATGTAAAATCACTAAATGGATAACATCCAATTTAAAATTTTCAAATCATCAACAAAATTTATTGCTTTCATTTTTAATTTATGATTAAATTTAATACCTAAAAAATATCCTAAAAAAATTTATTTCTAAATATAAATTTCTTAATAATATATATGTTACTTATTATTTGAATTTATAAACCTAATGATAAAATAGAATTATTTTATATTAATATTTTTTTAGTTAATTATTTTTAATATTATTATTATAACGGATTGACAATAATTATATGAAAAGTATTCTTAAGTAAATCATTAAATCTATAAATAAGTTAATCAAAATAAAATTTAATGCTGCAAGTCTCCAACTGTATAAGTAAAAATTAAAAAAATGATTTCACAGTAAAAGATTGTGATGTACCATAAATTAATAAAATTCCAACATCAAAGAGAATTCAGACTAAACCAAAAGAAAATACTGTAAATGAATAAAATGTAACCACAAGATGCGTAACTGAATAAAGAATAAGCTCTGGTATACTTATTGTTTGATTAGTCACCGAAAATAGTATTTATGAATAATAAGAATAAAAAAGGATTCCTTCTTACTGTGTGAAATGGTTGAACTATAAATATGAAAAGAAAGTAAAAACTTCATTTAAAATAGGAATTTTTATAATTAGAGCAGCAATATTTAAAAATTCTATAAATAAAGCCTGAAAAAGATATTGTTCATTAAATTGAACGGGATCTTACTAGAACAATCAAGGTAGAAAACAACTATACAGAAATAAGAAATATTCTTACTGCATATTCTGTTTACGATCCTATTATTGGATATGTATAAGGAATGAATTAAATTGTTTCAATTCTATTTAATCATGCAAAATAAGAGTGGATAACCTTTTGGCTTTTTGTTATTTTAATAGAATAAATGGAGATTAGAGATATTTTCTAATTGTCACTTAATGCAATTTACAAATACTCAAAAATCTTAGATTTTCTTTTGAGTAAGTTTTTACCCATAACTTATAATAATTTATCTCTAAAATAGGTGAATACTGAATTATACATTTAATAATGGCTACTAAGTTTGCTATTGTAATTTATTCCATTTGAATACACTTAAGTTTATCTGGATGGATTATTTAAATAAGGAATATCATATTTTTATATGATAGCATTAACAATCATCAATGCATTTGATAAAACAATAATTAAAGAAGATTAAACAGAAATCTTAATATTGCTAACTTCAAAATAATATGTAAAACAATTAAAAAATATAATTAGACTTAATTGAAATGGTCGTCCATTTTTATATATTAATGGGACCTAAATCCAGGTTAATTGAGAGTGCTATTAGATTGTTTTGATAGTGATACCAATTCATTTCAAAAACCCAAATTTTAAACACATTGTTCATAGTTTATAATAAACTTCTTCCAATTTATTAAAAGTACTTGAATTCTATCTTTTATATGAAATTTCTATTTTATATTTCTTTTTATTCAATATTATAGAGGTATAGAGTTGTTTCAAGAGAATTAAGAATTTAATACTCATCCAAAGTTTTATAGAAATACTATTATAGAAAAGACAAGGCAGAAATTTGTAGAGCATTTTATAATTCCATCATAAATTAGGAAAGATTAGAGTTGAAAATTTCTTTTAGATGAAATAATTGGGGAAAGACATTATAAACTTAAATATTAAAGTTACTTTCTTAATAATATAGGTAAATTTATTCATATGAATTAGTATGAAGAAATATATACTGCAGTAATTCATATTGCAGATTAAGATATTTTATGGTAGGTTAAATTGATTGAAAAATTTCAGAAGATTGAAACTCAAATAATTGAAACCATTATTCTTTAAATTACCTTAATTAGATGTGTTTTTTTTAAATTGATTAGGAAAATATATTTAACATCATTAAATTAATTAGGAAATTCTTATATTAGCTTTTTGTAATAAAAAAACAATCTATTTATAAAAGTTATATTACTATTAATCTAAGACCTAATAAACACTTACTAAATCTTAAGTTTGTTAATTCATAGATTGATTTTTTGGATTTTCTATTATTAAATTTAAGATTTCAAGAGCAAACAAGCAATATTATTTTTATTTCTGTTGCTCAGGTGTATACTCTTTTTATTTTAGAGCTACTTCAATTAAATATTTAATCTTTGTCAATTCATTTATTAATCTTCTTTATTTTTAGTCTCTAGTTTCAATATATTAATTCATCGGATCTGTACAACAAATAAATAAGTCTAAATATTTATCGTCCTGTGGTTATTTACTTTGTTTATTATTTATGCAGAAATTTAGATGATTATTTGCTTACTTTATTGAAATGAATTAATCACACATAGTACAATATATATACTACATTAAATCTAAGGCTTCTTAATCTTATCTTAAAATTCTTTAATCTCCATGATTAGGTTTATTGTTTATTTAAAGGTATTAATTTTTTATTGGATATTGTTAACAGAGATATTAATAAAATTAATCATAGCCTAAATTACCATGCAAATCCATAATATAACTTTATTATGATTAATTTAGTTAATTTAAATTTTAAACTTCAACAGGAAGAATTTATTCATTTTTATTTATATCATGATATTCAAATTATGATATATTAAGTATTTATTATTATTATTATTATTATTATTATTATTATTATTATTATTATTATTATTATTATTATTATTATTATTATATTATTGATTTATCCCTACTCAAATTGATATTCGATAAATCAAATATTTTCTCTTTTTAATGAATCTAACTAGGTTATTATAAATGAAAATTCTAAGGAAGACTTTATTAAGAATTTTATCTTCTACTTGGTGTTTATTATTATTGAAATAATTAATATTCTAAATCATTATTTAGAATTGGTTATTTTTCTATCGAAATTTCTTTAATATTTTAACCTTAATTTGGTTCGGTTATCCTTGATTTATTAGTGACTTATTATTCAAAAATAGGTTTATGTTTATGCATCGGAATAATTCCCAATTGATTTAATGAAGATTTTTAAGGTTAAATTTATTAATGCATTGACAATTCATTATCTGGTTAAGCACTAACATTCATTGGATAATATGAATTTCTTTAATCAGCTATATACTCTTCATTAGTAATGAGAATTGGACTTTTATTTAAATATTCTCCCTATGTATTAATTTAGTATCTGCCTTATTATTATACCTTATCATATTAAGATTTATATATATTATTTTTTTGTTGTTAATCAGAGTTATTATTTTCAGAAAATTCTATGATACCATAATTTTATCTTAATTAATTGAAATATTGCCCCTATGGTGTATTTTATGAATAATGAGTTGATAACAAAGGTGTATGTTATTTCTATTGTTAAATGCTATTGTAATTAGAACTGATTCTTTGATGACCTGTAGGTGACAAATAATTCATTTGAATTCTTGAGTTGGTTGGCATTAGATCATAATTGTCATATTTCTACTGTTTGTAGCTATCTAAAGTTTATAGATCTTCTATAATTTACTACTCTTATTAATCTATATAATCATAATAATTTTCAGATTGATTTTATTTATTTCCATTAAATTATTACTGTTTATTAGCTTATTGTCTTTATGCAATGGCTGACAACATTTAAATATTTTGTTCTCTTTGAGATTTTAATTCTTGTAGCAACTATTAGTAATCTTAGCGTGATGAATATTGAAGTTAATTTATATTGTAGGTTAATTCATTATAAATGTTGTCAATTTTGGTTACAATTTATTAATATTTAACATGATTATCTGTTCTTTGAGTATAAATTTCTTGTTCTAATTCAGAATATTACATCATCAATTAATTGTAATTATTGCTGATTTATTGTTATGGTGAAATTTAAACTTATTATCTTGGTGTTGAAAATGTTTGATTATAAATGGGTTACATATATTGAATATTATGAATTTAAGGAGGAAGTGATGATAAAATAAATTTATTTTAAGCAATAAAAATATTGAAATATATGTATATTTACATGTAATAATACTTCACATAAACTCAACTAAAGATTTAGATAAATAAATTAATTAAGTTTCGATTCTAGCTGCTACAGTTAGAAGTGTGATATGACACAATTCATCAGCTGATAGTTATAGTTAAATTTACTCAATATGGGATTTTGATATCACATTTGGTGTCCAAATAAGTATTTTGATGAATTATTTCAATTATTGTGGAAGTAGCTTCTCCATCTTTCATAATAAAAATATTTTATTTATGAATACCTATGCCCAATAATCAATATCTTCATGTTAATATCTAAATTGTCCTTCTCCATAATAACGTATTGCTTTTCTAAAAGCTGTTGTAGCCACTTCCTCATTTCCAAATGAATTTCTTGTCATATGTTTCACTTCTTATAATAAATTATTGATAGCATCAGCTCCTTCTAAAAATGCTTCTTTTAAAACAGGATAACTATTCAATTAAAATGAATATTCCTAATAATTTCAATAAGATTTTACTGAAGATCTTAAAACACTTTTGCTATCACAATATTATAATTCTGAGTGTGAAAAATGTTTAGAGAACTTTTCATCAAAATGTAATTTTAATTATTAATCTGTATCTTCAACATAAAAACTATAAGATTGAGAAGTCTTTTATCTAATTTAAATTTGCATTTAGGCATCTTCTGGTGGAAGATCCTCTTCAAGAAGTGCAGATTACTTAAGTTCTTAGAGTATAGACTCATTTTAAATAAAATCAATCAAAGATTCATGTTAGGCATATTGAATACTATTATTTACAGAATTATTATCAATAATTGCATCAATTTCTTTTACAATACCATTACCTAATGAAAAACTACCCAAATTATTGTAGAATATGAATATCATTAATGCTTATACTAATTCTTTTCTTCTCCACTTTCCTTTGAGTAATTTATGTAATTCTTATGAAAGTTGAGGATCCCATGGTTTAGTTATCAATAATTTACATAAAGGATCTAATTATTTAATATGTTCATCTACGCAATCATAGCCTATATCTATCCAATTCCTATCTCCTTCATTTAGATAGAATATCTGCGAGAGTAATAGATATAATTAATCACATCCAGATGCAGCAGCTCCCTTAATTATAAATAAATATGAATACCATTATAGCCAAATAATATTTTTCATCTTGTAATATTTTAGTCTTCGTATTAAACAAATTATCTAGTAGAAAAGTATAAGATTTTAATAATTTAGGAAACCACAAAAAAGGAAATTCATGCATTCCAACTCTTCCATAATTAAAATTAAATATCTTTAGCAAATGATCTTATAACTCTTATGCTTTTAAAGCACCAATAACTGGCCAAGGCAATTAGGGAATCTTACCATCAATGAAATCATTGGCTATTTTCATAGAAGGGAATTGATTGAAAAACTTAGATACTTTGTGATGTTTGGGCTATTTTTGTTTATAAATAATACAGAAATTTTATATTCGGCTGCCAAATTCTCATACAAACTTACAACTGAAGAAATAGGTGTTTGATTGATCACAACAGCTAATTTGGCTTCTATTAAATTTCTAATTGATTTATCTTAACACTCCTGTAATTTTTCAAATTATTAGATGCATTGATCTAGCATCTATTCATCTTCATCTTTATTAGTTAAATATTCAGGAAATGCAAGATTTACATCTTCATTTTCTTAATCCATTTATATATATATTAATATATTCTTTTTTATTTTGTACTATAAACTCATTATTATTCATTTTCAATTAAAGCAGCAGCACCCATACCAGTAGCAATACACATAGAAATAACACCATATTTAGCCTTCTTTCTTTTCATTTCTGGTAATAAAGTGGCTACTTATCTGGCACCAGTACATCCTAAAGCTTAAAATTTTATATACCTAATGGATGTCCTAAAGCAATAGCACCACCCTTTGGATTAACTCTGCTTGGCTCAATGCCTATTTTTTCAACGGAATAAACAGATTAGCTGGCAAAGGCTTCATTAATTTCATAGATGCAAATATCGTTTGGTTTCAAAGCATTTCTTTATAATAATTATGGGATAGCAGCAGCTGGTCCAATACCCATGATATTGGGTGGTACACCAGCAACAGTGTAATCAACAAATCTAGCTAAGATTGGTAATCCCAATTTTTTAGCTACAGATCTTCTAGCTAAAAGAACAGCAGCAGCACCATCAGTAACTTAAGAGGAGTTACCAGCTGTAGTTGTTCCATCTTTTCCAAAAGCAGGCTTTAATTTACCTAAACCTTCAAGAGTGGTTTCCTTTCTGATTCCATCATCTTCTGTAACAATAACTTCTTTAGTTTTATCTCCATCTTTAATAAAGGTCTTAACAGGGATTATTTCATCCTTGAATAATCCTTCTGATTATGCTTTATAAGCCTTTTATTAAGATTCATAAGCAAATTTATCTTATTATAATCTTGTGACTCCAAATTGAGTTGCAACATTCTCAGATGTTTATCCCATACCCAATAAACAATCTCTTGCACATGGATGATCAAAGATAGCATCACTGAGTAATTCAGCATTCATTTGACTTTGCATATCATACATAGTCATTTATTCAACTCCAGCTCCAATACCAATATCCAACATTCCAGATCTAATTTTGGCAGCAATTACAGCACATGCTTCAATTCCTGATGAACAGAATCTATTTATAGCTGTCAAACAAGTTGTATCTGGGAATCCAGACAAGAAGGCAGCCATTTTAGAAACAATGGCACCACTTCCAGGTTGATTGACATTACCAACAACGATGTCTTAGATCAATTTTGGATCAACTTTAGTTCTTTGTAAAAGACCTGTGAAGGCTGTGCTAAGAAGGATTTCAGGTGGAGTATCTCTCAATAATCCTCTTTTGGCTTTTGTTAAAGGAGTTCTAACAGCACCACAAATGACTACATCATTGTCACTTCTTGGTGGGACAGGTGTACAATTATTGACTTAAGCACTGAGATGTTGGACTCTTTACATGAATAAGATATTTTATTTAATTAAATTGGAAATAATTGTTTTTGTATTTGGATAAATCTCTATTCCTAAAAATTAGAATTCATGGAATGTTAATTGGAACATACACAAATGGGAAGAAATCTTCAGTGTCTTCTAATTCTTCCTTAGTTCCATATAATCCTACTTGAGAAGGATCAGCATACAATTTCAAAAGGGATTATTGAACCTTCTTTTCTTTTCCTTGATCTGGCTAATTAAAATTATAGGATCTAATCTTACTTTAAGAATGCATTAAATATTTGGTTCAGCTGCTCCGAATCTCATAGCAATATCCACAACCAATCTGAGGACTTTCAAATGAATATATGTAATATATAAGTCACTAAATGCTTTTTCACATGCTTATTTCAATGTAGTCTATATAATTATATATAAATATAAATACATTCATATGATCGGATTTAGATTTGAGATCTAATCTCAATTTCTCTCTTTCTTTAGATTCTTAAGATTTGTATTCAAATTCTTTAACAGTGATTCTCAATTTATCTCTTGCTTTTTAAATGAACTCTTCAACTGAAGTTTACTTTTACTTCTTTCCCTTATCATCTTCTTCTTTATCTACGACTTCAAGGTCATGATCCTTATCGAAAGATTGCTTTACGATCACAACTCTCCATATGGTTAAGTTATCCTTATCCTCAATTTAGAATTATCTATATATTAATTGTCTAATAAGTACCTTGCTGATTAAGGCACAACATTTTCACATAAAAATTCATAACAAGCTAACCATTCTTAAACCTATGTCTTTGGTACAATAGCCACCAAAGTTGTTAGATAATCGCTGTAAATGAAATCTCTTGGTTTCACTATTGGTTCCTTTAAGACATCAACCAAGTCTTTAACCAATAAATTTCCTTCTTTTCTTGCCACTTATTAACTTTGATTCTTCAATTCTTAATAACTTGTTGATTTTTATCTCAAATCTGTTTCCACATGTGTAGCTCTCTAATCAGCATAAATAAATTGTTATACCGATGAAATTGCCTTGACTAATTCGCTTAATGCTGATGCTCTTGGGAAGGTTTGGTCATTCCATTTGAATGAGAATAGGAAATTCTCAATACTCTCTAAGAATAATATTTCTTATCATACATGGACCTTCTTTCAATTCAATTACGAAATCATAACTAACCTTCTCTGTCACATCCAAATACTATCTTTCAATCTTCTTTAACAAACTCTCCACTACTGAGTCTTACTTCAATAAACTATCATTGATGAACATTAAGTGATCCAAATTCCCCAACTTGAATTTTCCTATCTCTGTCTGCAAAAGTCTTCCTTTAGCTTATCTCGATATTCCAGATGTCAGAACGTGCTTTTCCATCTCCAACCAAGCCTACTATTCGTTAGACTTATGAGGTGCACCAATCAAATAGTATACCATTTGTTATATTAAGATATTTTAATTTAATCTGCAAATAATTATTATTTATCAACACATTATTACTTCATTTGATCATCAAAATTCATTCTTCTATTAAACATACATGAATTGTAAATTATCTCTAATTAGAAAATAACTGCACATTATATGCTGTAAAAATCAATTTATACAGTCTGCTATAAACCAAATAAAAATTCAGAATATATTTTAAATTATAATAGTAACGTAACATAAATATAATTACTACATTAAATTTAACTTACAAATATTCCTATTCATTTCAAATGAATTACCGATATTTGTATAAAAACATCAATTCTATACAAGACTAATCATCCTTTGATACATAAATAGAAAATGATGTTTTAATAAAATTTTTATTGTATGTTCATAAAATATATGTTTTCAAAAAGTCGAAAATATCTTATCAAAAGCTAAAGTTTATTTATATACTATTTCTAATCTTACAATCTTTAATTTATGTTATCATTTTATTTGAAAAAATAGGAAATAAAATAATATGATTATACTCGATAAAAATACAAATAATCATTTTTTTTCAACATGGTTGGATTACATTCTATTTACATGATAATAAATAATAAGGTTGAGGGTGTGTAAAAACTGGATAGAATATTTAAAATTATGGAAAGCTATTCACTGGACTCATTGAAGGATAACTGTTCATATTAAATGGAAGCATAAATTATTAAGTATTACTCCAATAATTTTAAATTGAATAATCTTGAGTCTTATTTTCTTCTATTTTATTTAATTTTTAATCCATTTATATTGAATTTTCTTATTCTGGAACAATATAATAAGGGTTCTTTACTCCAAAATATTTGGTTCTAAGGTATGAATAAAATCGATTCTTTATACTATTTTCTGATCTGCCATTTAATTATTTCTAGATGGCACTCCATTTACCACCAATTTTATTATATATTTCGATTAATTTTTCATCTTCTTCTTAACTCCAAGGCTCGTTATTCAAATCTGGATGTAATTAATTTAAATAGTGCTCTCTGATTTATTTACCAGTTCTATTTGGCATTAATTTAGCAATTCTACTCCAATGATATCCATATTCTTTGACTAAACTCTTTAACTTATCATCTTCTTCTTAAGACCATTATCTTCTAAGTTTATACCCTTTAATTCGTTTCCATCTCTGAGCACATTGAGATGGATTTCTTCTTCCAATACGACGAGCGACTTCAATCCAATCCAATCCCATACTTTATCGTAATTCTTACAATTGATGATCTTCTTCGATAGTCCAAGCCTTTCTTTAAGGAGTAATCGTAACAGATTGTAACATTAACCTAATAATTTTATTTTTGTTTTACTTAATCAATCAGATATTCCTTTTAATACCAAAAATTCAGTTATTTCAAAACTCTTTTTTTTAATTCTTCATTTAAATTTACCTTCCTTTTCGAACATTCAGTAATATATCTTTCCTTCATAAACGAAATTTTATAAATATCTTATAATTATGAATATATAAAGAAATCGGAATTTAAAGAAAAGAATTATTAAATTGTGAAATTTCTTATTTAATATTAAATTAAAAAGCTATTTATTCCTGCAAATCGTTAAATAGGGAAATCCTACTACTGGATATCTCATTCAATGTATTATATAATTCTAAAGTTCCTAATTTTTTCTAGTCATAAAATATTATTTTTATTTAATAGTTACTCTATTAATTCATATATTACAAAATTTTACTATAGCTTTACTAATTCAAAATGAATGTCTCTAATCTAATTTAAGTTTCTGATTTATCCTTCAATTTATAATTTCAAATAAATAATTCTAAGAACGAGAGCATTTGTTTATTATAAAAATAAAATGTTCATTTAATTTTAATACAATTAATTAAATTTAATAAAATGACTTTGAGATTTTGAAAAAGGATTATTAATAATAAATATATATTATAAAATTTTTATTTGGAATAGGGTATAGATATATTATAATAATAATAATAATAATAATAATAATGCAAATATAATATATGTTCATCATTATATAGGTCTTTTTGATTTATAATATTCAATTTTGTTATCTTTTTTTTCATAATCTTCTTTAATAAGTTGTTCTCCTAGTCTGGCTAAATCCAAATAATGAATTTAAGTCTAACATATATTCTAAATATTAATAATAGTAATACTTCAGATAAATAATTTTTAGAAGCTTCACCTTATTCTAGAAGATCATCTATCATTTCATAATCTTCAATTTTTTCAAGTTCACATTTCATCATGTATTTATCAAAGTTTGTATTAAAATCTAAACATTTATCATCAATATCTCTTAATGACTTCAAATGTAAATATAATTTGTATGTTGAATCAAATTATTAAATAATTTATAAATTTTGAACTAGAATTTTATTGCTTGCTAATTCATTCTGATGTATTTAATTAACAATCATTTATTAGTACTTCAATTCATCATATTTTGGTTGAAGTATACCTCTTAATTTATCCAAAAATATTGGATGATATATTAAATCCTTTTCCCATCTTCTAATAACAGCATATGCCTTTTCTAAATCTGCTATATCATCCACTTAACTAAAACTTAAATTCACTTATTACTATGCATAATCCAAGATTAATTTCTTCAATTTTTGACCAAAACACTTCACATATGGATAATCCATTCTTTTAGCATTTTTTTCATCTAGAATAATCTAATGAATTAGAAACAAATATAGTTTCTTTCTCTCTTTTCTGGCACTTATAAACTCATTTTCAATAATAAATGCTACCATACCACTATGTTCTGGAAATGTTGAACAATAATTTGAAGTTTCTAAAAAATAAGAAAATGTTTTATCTTACATTTAATGGAATCCTATAATTCTGTAATTTCTTTAACTTATCTCTCTAATTGTTTGATATCCATAATTGAAAATATAATAATATTTTTGGAATAAATTATCACTTTAATTATTCTTCAAGTTTTAAATTTATCAACTAAATATTGTGTCTGCTCAAAATATTATATACATATATATCTACATGAATTTTAATAAAGTAATAATAAATATATATATAAATCACATTTTTATTGATAAAATAATATGTAATGAAATAATGATATAAATTGTATTTAAATAATAAAATATGAAAAAGATATCTTATAGTTTCACCTAATTAATGAAATTACATTTGCATGACTATCATGTAAATCTCAAAGCCAAAATGGTTCCATTTGCTGGATATGATATGCCTGTTCAATATCCATAAGGTGTTTTGAAAGAGCATTTATATTGTAGAGAATCATGTGGATTATTTGATGTATCACATATGGGATAAGTGAAAGTATTTGGAGAAGATAGAATGAAATTCGTAGAAACCTTAACAACAGGAGAGTTCTAAAGTATGTTTTATTGTTATAAATCAATTAATTAGCAAAGAAATCAGGACAAAGTGTATTATGTTTGATTTTGAATGAGAAGGCAGGAATCATTGATGATACAATAGTTGCTAAAAGAGATGATCATATGTATGTGTTGTAATCAATAAAAAAAGTCATATTGTTGTTAATGCTGGTAACAAGTTTATAGATATGAAACAAATGGATAAAATCATTAAGGATTATAACTATAAAGTTTAATATGAGTATCTCAAAGACAAACCATTGATAGCTGTATAAGGTATATAATTAAATCTATTTTTAGGACCAAATGCTCATAAAGTTTTGAATGAAGTTTTTGGAACAGAATATAATTTAGATAAAATACCATTTATGTTTATGGTGAATATATAAAAGAATGGAATAGATTATCAAATTAATAGATGTGGATATACAGGTGAAGATGGTTATGAAATATCTGTTGAAAATTCTAAAGCATAAGAATTATGTGATAAATTATTGGCAACTAAAATGGCTTAATTTTGTGGTTTAGGAGCAAGAGATTCATTACGTTTAGAAGCTGGATTATGTTTACATGGACATGAAATGGATGACACTATTTCCCCATATGAAGCCAAATTAATGTGGACTGTACGTAAACCAAATGTATAATATTCATTTATAAATATAGAAAGAAACTGGAAAATATAATGAATCTGCTGCTTTTATTGGTAGAGATGCTTTACCATAAAGACAAAAGGATGCTAAATTCAAAAGAATGGGTTTTATTACTTAATCAGGAATTGCAAGACCTCCTTGTGATATTGAATTTTAAGGATAAAAGATTGGATCTGTTACAAGTGGCACCTATTCACCTAATTTAAAAAAAGGTTTAGGCTTTGCTTTCGTTAACAATGAATATGCTAAAGATGGAACTTAATTATAAGCTGATATAAGAGGATCTAAAGTTAATATCACTTTGAGTCCAACTCCATTTGTACCATAGAGATATTATAAACCAGAGAAAAAGTGATTGACTGTTTATTTAGAAATAATAATCAAAAAATTTTACTATCAAATTTTCTATCAAAAATTTTCTTTACAGAATTACTTTCATAAAATCTATTTGCAAAAGATGATTCTTAATCTGAATTTATGTGATAAGATCTTTAAATAATATTTTTTATTGTACTTATTAAATTCTGATGTATACTATCCTTCAAAACTGGCATTGAATAATTTCGGAGTTATTGGACGCATTAATTTTGAAGGAATTCTATTAAATTGTTATTATTAGTAATACGAAGATGTACTTTCTTTGACTAATTACTCAGAGTTTTCAGCAAAGGGTCCTCTGATTAAAATTTAATTACATACAATTTTGCTATCTTTTATAAAGGAGATCTTTCTGTTTTGATATTTTTGAATTCTCTAGCATAACTACTTTCCGAAATAAATGGCAAGTTGGATGGCTCAACTGAAGATGTCTCTCTTGTCATTTTGCCAGGATATTGAGGTTTCCAATTTTAAAATTAAGATCTATAAGTTGATAAATAAGATGATTGGCTTAAATTAGGGTTGAAATCCTTCTTTGGAGATTTTCTCTTTTTTTCTAACTTAAATGGCAAATATTGTGACTTCTATAAATATTGTATATACATTATAGACACTTCCATTGTATAGTTATTTAAGGTTTTTACCCCACATTTAATCATGAGCCTTTGATTAATCCAATAGAACATCTTGATTTCCTAGATTCACATTTTGATAATCTTATTGGTATTAACTTTGAATAGCCTTTTATTGAAATTTATTTTTAAGTGTTTACAGTTTAGATTGCTATACATAAAGAGCTTATAATAAAATATATAAATTTACTCATTAACCCTAAAAAAAAAGCTGGATTTGATTCAATAACTTCTTCTATAGTCTAAGATTTTTGAACCAAATCATTCCAAATTGGATGATCTGCAGGAAATATTTCAATAACTGTTTGATATAAACTTTTATCTGATTCTAAACCTTCTAATTTTGGGAGTAAATTTATTTTATTTTTTTAGAGAGAATTGTGTAATCTATGTTCTTGTGATTTTTACTCTTCATTTTACTATTCATTATAATAACATTTTCTAATTTCCAACCTATCAGTAAGTGGAATGAGATTATGTTTTTATTTAAGTAGTGATCGCTTCTTAGGTGATTATTAATTAATCTATTCCTGAGACATTTTCTCTTAACTGACAGATTTATTACTTAATAGAAACGAATCACCACTTTGTAAAGCAGACTTCATTTCATTCCTGATAAACATTAATATATTTAGATAATTTAATAATTATAATAACATTATCTTCTTTGATTTTAACCCTCTATCTATAATAATTTTATGTGAATTTGTTGGAGATGGGACAAAGTTCTGAAAGTTTATTTTAAGAACTAGAAATCTTTTCAGTTTTTACTCTCCTTTTATAACATATTAAAAGGAGAATCAATTGATTACAAATTCCATTTTTATTAGAGTAATTAGCTTTATATAACTTAAGTAATATGATAAATGAATGAAGGTATAATTTTTATTTAATGGTATTAATTTACAATAAAATCTTGAAATTTATATTGAATTACAGTCAATGATATAGAAGACTGTATTCTTTTAATATCTTTTGGATTTATTTTTGAATAATAAAGTGAAAACAATCAAAAAATTATCCAAAAATACTGAGTTAGAGTTTTAAATGAATGAAATTTAACAGACTAAAATAATCCCTTTATTAAAATCTTAGGTTAATTCTAAAGTGTTATATCTATAAGTAATTAATTAAATTGGAAAAGATGGATATTCAACTTTATAATTGCAGATATTTGTAATTAATATAAATTACTTTAACTGAAAGACGTTTATTAAAATACAAAAATTTTATATTACTTTTGGATTATGTTTTACAATAAAATATTTTTATAAGACATTTCAAGACATTATATTTTCAATGTTTATTAGAAAATATCACTTTTACAAATTATTTATAAAAATATATGTTAAATTACTTATAAGTACCTATATTACATAATCAAATGGTAAAAAGCTCTTTATTGTTATTGTATGAGATTAGGAGGAATGAACAATTAAAAAATATTAAACAACAAATCTATCTTTTTTTAATATAACTAATATCAAAAATAAATTTACTAAATTTTTTTTAATTCATCTAATATATATGAATATCCTTAAAATTATATCTAAAGAACATTAAAGTCCATTTTTAGTTTTAATCATTTTTTTATATGATAGAATGAATTAAATCGAATGCTTATTGAATTATTGATGATATGATCATTTTTTTAATTTGAATATTATATTATTTGATGATTATTCAATTCATATAAATAAATCTTTAGTTTTTTTATCATCAAACCTCCTTAATATATGTAACAGTATTAATTACATAAGAGAATATAGTTTGATTAACTTAAAATTAAAAATATCCATCCATCATATTTTTCATTAAAAAATTAAATTAAATTAGTTAATCATTTTAATACTACTTAAATAATGTGCAGAAGTAGAAAATATTCTTTAAAATAAATATATTATTTATCTAATTAGAGATTAGAAATGCTTTTGTAGCTCCTCTCATTCAAAAATAAAAATCTTCTTATAAGGGCTTTGACTAATAAAATTCATGAATTGGAATATAATCAAAAATCAAATTAAACATATGTTTATGGAAATAATGAGGATCTAACAGTTGCAGGATAACAATTTCTGGAATTCTATTTCTATGATTATATGCTGCTTTAAGGGTATTAATGATTTTAACTTTAGTTACCCTAATCCACTATCTTGCTTTAAAAAGCCTAATGACATAATATAACTAAGGTAGAGATTAATAAACGATTAAAATTTAGCAGAAATTGGTTTATAATTGAATCTCCAAAAATTTTTGAAAGTTGGAAACCAAATTCAATTAAAGTATTGTAAACAATATAATTTTTAGGACTAATCAAAAAGTATTGGCTGATACAATAAAGGCTTTGATTATAGCACAATATTATGATAAGTTTTAGGACTTAGAGTCTTTAAGAAACCTTCTGTATCCAGTGATGGATTTTTTATTAAATAAGTAGGCTATAATAATAAATCTTGCATAGAGTGTAATAGGAATAAATAATCTAAGCAAAATACAATCCAAAATCGAGTTTTATAGAATATTTAAATACAATTCGAGAGGAAATAGATATATAGCCAAAATTGATAATTGAGTGGAAAAAGAATGAAAAAAATTACAATCAGTCAATATTTTAGATTTAACTTGAATTAGACATTTCAAATAAAATAATGGTTGAAAATTACTAACTAAAAATTTAAAAACAAGGAATTAGTAAGAGAATAACAGAATAATAAGTTTATTTAGAAGCATTGTAAGAATTAAAATAATGGTTGACAACATATAACAATAATTAATTTTAATAAGCAGAAAGAATTAATCTCTCTACTTCTTTAGATTCACAACATATCAATAATATGAATATTACTGTTTATGAATTTCCTCAATAGTTTGAAAATGATACAAATGAAACAGAATTTTATGATTAATTATCATAAATGTTAATTTAAATTGCAGAAAAAGATGAATTCTGAAAAATTCTAACTAAAATAGGTGATATCAAATACATTATTATAAATAAGAAAATATTGATTATTCTTAATAATTTCACCAAAATATTTAAATTAAAATAGGTTTTATTGATTTTTATTGATTTAGTTTGATTATTATATAATAGTTATCATCAAATAAGAAGAATAATTGGGAATTTTTAATATTTTTATATTATTTATAAATTAAATGTAAAGCGGATTCTCAGTTTGCAGAAGAAAACCTGGATAAACTTTTAGAAAGACTCTTGGATTGTATAATTATAAATTAGGACATCAGTAATATCATAAAGAACCTGGGACTGTGTCATTAAATGCAGTTGAGTAATTGAAAAATGTAATAAGTGAATAAATATTTTGAATAGACTAACACTTATGAAGGAATAATGAGGATTAGAAAATTGAGATAAGAAAGTGATAGAGTATTTGGAAAATTTATAGGAAGTAATTGAAATATTATAACATAAAGCAAAATTTGTGGTTGATAAGAGTAGAATCCCATAATACGATATACCAGATTTAACCGGATTTGAAGTAATTTGATGACTATTTTAGCTCAAACCTTATGTATCATACCATACTCCTTAAGTTGATATGGAAACTTAGACAAAATTAGCAAGAATGAATGATTTTAATTTAATTGAGAATTTAGTACCTCGATCGGAAACAAAATTATTAGATAAGAAGTGACGCATCAATATTAAGAATTTTAAATACCCTATCTTAAATATCATATTCTTCTATTCTATCTTTTTGTATTTTTATTATTTATATTCAAAATATGAGTTCCAAAAGAAGAGTAGGAATAGCCCATTTTCTCCTTAGAACCTTTGAAATGCTGGATGTACAAAAATATAATTATAGAATTTCCACAGACACCAAAGCTTAAACATCTGATAGAGTGGTCTCCTTGTGGAGAGATGTTCTATATTAAAAACTCTAGAGAATTTGCTAACAAAGTAAAGTCAAGATTCAAATTTATTTTTTAGGTGCTTCCATAATATTTCAGACATCGAAACTTTTAATCTTTCTTAAGATAATTAAATATGTATAACTTTGTTAAGAAACGGTTGAAGAATGGTTGGAATCAATTTTAACACAAGTATTTCAAAAGGGAAGCCAAGTATATTATTTAAGATTATTATCAATCTTTTTAGAAATTTACTTATACATGTTCACCGTCGAAGTAATGGTTAATAATCTGACGAAGAAGAACAAGCAGGTATTTTTGTATTACTATTTTATAGACTAATAAGACTCAATAAAAAAACAATAAGAATAATTGCAATAAATCAAATATCTCTAAAATGATATTGTTCTTACATCAAGTTTCCTATTTCAATAATCAGTAATTCTGTAAGGCAACTTCTAACATCTCAAGAATGTATTAACATAATGTTTAAATTAGAAATTATTGTATCAGTATATAGAGGAACAGAAATAAGAAAAGTTTCTCTTTAATACATTCTCTCTACTTAATAAATCACAAACGAATTCTCCAAAGTTAACTTAAACCATATTAACTTAAAATCGTAAAGAAACAGAATAGGAACCATAATTATTTGTACTCTCTTGAAAAGCAAGATTTTTTATATCATCACCTTCATAAAAATATTTATTATTATAAAACTTTAACTGTTACATTTCTAATCACATACTTCCAAATTACATTTTATACTCTATAATTACTATATTGTCAATTTCATATCACTAAAATGAGAATGAATGATGTAATTAACTTAATATAAATATCTTTAATTGCATAATTTATATTTTAAAATAGATAAATTATATCATTTTTATAAACACTTGTATATTATCATTATAAATTGTTTTTTATAAAATTTATGAAAACAGAGCTCTTTTTCATTTATCTTATAACATCACATTATTTAAATTAATCAATATAATCAAGTGATTTCTGAATTTAATTTAATTATATAATATGAGTTCTTAATAAAATAAATAGAAAGATGTTGTCAATAAATAAATGATATTTGCACTGAATCCAAAACCTGATTTTAATATAACTAATCCAATCAAAATCAATAAATCTAATACTTATGATCCTAACTATGTGAAAAGTGAACCATCATAAAAAACAACAAATTAAATATCTAATTCAAACATTGGAACATTTTAAGACATAGAATAATAAGTATATTCTATTATCATCATCTTAGAAATAAAATAATGAGTCTAAATGTTTAAAAAAATAAAATAAAATTAAGTACATAGCAACCAGGTAATTAAGTCAATATATTAGTTTAGATCAATTGCTGGATTGAAAGCCTATACTAAAACATTGAAAGATAATTAAGATTCCTTATTCTACAAGTTAGAAATCAATAAATAAATTGATAAAAATATATTCCTTTTGGCTGATGGTCATGGTGAATAAGGAGCTAAAGTATCTTAATTTGCAATAAAACAACTTTCTGATTGCATTTTTGATATGATCTAATCCATGAAAACTCAACCATAATTTATTGAGTAACTTAATTCAAATATTACAGCATTCTTCTAATAAATTGATTCCAATCTAGTAATCAAATCAATTAACATAATTATTAGGCAAATCTATCCAATATTGATATCACTGATAGTGGTTCTACAATGAATTTGGTTTTGACTTATGAAAATTATTTAATATCTGCAAATATTGGAGACACAAGAACATTTTATTTTCAAAGAAGTGATAAACCAGATTAACTTGGACCTTCTACATTAAGAATTAAATAATTATCAATTTAGCATACTCCTGAAAAACCATAAGAATCATAAAGGATTTTGGAATCAGGTGGAAAAATTGAGTAAGAAACTTAAGGTTTTCAAAAGACTGGACCATTAAAAGTGAAATCAAAAAAATAAGATATAAATGGTGCCACCATTACAAGATCTTTTGGTGATGCCTTAGCAAAATAAATTGGAATCATTTCACTACCTGAAATCCATAATTTCTAAATTTAGCAAGAAGGTTTTTTAATATTAGCCACTGGATCTATTTTGGATATGATTGATATTATAGACATTTGTAGAATCTTAACACCAATCACTCCTCCTAATAGTTAAGCAGCCATTGATCATGCAGCAGGATAAATTATAGAAGAGGCAAGAAAAAAGTCTAAACTTTAACCTGATATATAGGATGATTATTCATTGATTTTAGTTTATATTGAAATAGATTTAGCTTGAAATCCTTATAGCAATCAAAATAATATAATTCAAAGAATTCGTCTAAGTATTTAAAATAATTATTAAAATAAACATCAAAAATCCATAGTTCTTTTTGAAGATGGAGATTTTAACATTAGTTTATACTCTCTAATACTGTCATTTTATTAAAATATAAATAGAGCATTGAATTGTTTCAAAATTACATACATAATTAAAATTTGCATTTATTTTTTTGTTCCTATTTTAAATATATATTATTTCTATTTTGATATAGATTTTCCTTTAGATTAGAATAGTTTAATTGACTATTTATATATCTACTTTCTCTATTTTTGATCAATAATATAAATAGTATATCTGCCCAGAATTTAAAATAAATTAGTAAAATATATAGAAATTAGCTATTAATTATTTCAATTGGCTCTTTAATCAACTAATTATCTGATTTAATCCATGATATTACTCATTGACTGTATTTTACTATTTTTGGTAGCCAAATCTGAAAATCGTTGCTCAAAGTACTTAATTAGGGATTCAATCGAAAATACAATATTATCCTATAATTATTGCATAAAATGATTACCAACTATTTTTGATTAATTAATTGAGTTATTTTAGTGATAACTTCTTTTCCCTCTTTGTCAATTGATTCATCTAAATAAAAACATTTTTAGATCATCAATAATAACATCATAATTATATTGGAATATGTATTAGTGACTTTTTATGTTTTTTTTAGATTGTTGACTAATTCAATAGATTGAGTGGATTCTGTGCTACTATGATGTTTTAGATAATCATGATTCTCTTTATTATACCTATTTGTATTTCCATTATATTGTGATTATTCTGTGATACTATACTATTTATAGGATTAGATCTTTTTCTTTAGAAGTCCATTGGTTTCATTCAATAATTATAATTAATTTTGTGTTTCATCTAATGTTTTAGTGATTTCTTAATTTAATTTAGTCAAATAAATGATTTATGATTATTATTTTTCATACTTAGATTGCAACTCTTAATATTGGATTTATTGTTTTTATAATTAATTTTATGACTATTCCAATGATTCAAGTAATTATGTAAATAGAGCATAGGAATCATTCTGATATAATTCATTTTATACTGTTTCATCATGATTGAATTGTGCATTTTTATCTTCTTCAGTATTCATAGTATTATTAGATTTTTTGGTCATATTCTCTCTACTTTGACTAAGATCATTTTCAGCACTAATTTCTTCGATAGATCTGAGGGGGATTAAAATAATAAATTTTACGATCTCATTTGATACAATTTAAGAAACTTTTTCTATAATGGAAATGATGCTGTATCAGGTGAACCAATTTGAATTGAAGAATTTACACTATTTTAATTTTGGGAAAATGGTAATCTGGTTGGATTGAAATTGTTATTTGAATTCAATCCAAATGAACATCTAACAGATGATAATTTATGATTTTCTTATTAAGGATGAGGTGAAAATTATAATAATTGTTGTACTTCATTTAACTTTGAATTTAATTTGATATATTTACTTTTTCATGATCTGATGACTTTTTAATTTGAATTGCACTATCAATTTCTGCATTATATCTTAGAGAATCGATTTATTAATCATCATCAAAATGATCATCCAATTCTGAAAAGTTTATTCTTTTTTTTGGGTAACTAGACATATTTGTTAATATTTAAATTTTGTAATTAATTAATAATTATTATTATATATATAAATCGTTTTTTGAGAAGGAATGAGCTTTAAATATTTATTACTCTTATAATTGATACTTTTATGTGTAGCAAATAATCAAGGAAAATCAGTTAAGTTATCAAAGAAACAAGCACATCATAAGCATCATAAATCATAAAAGTTTTTGGATAGTATAATGGTAATTTTATTATGATAATAAAAAAAGGACGTAAATGATGATTCAATAGAACTATTACTATAAAAACATGAAGTAAATTCATACAAAATCAAAAGAATTTCTATTTGGCTGAAATGACAGTTGGTACACCTGATTAAAAATTAACTGTTTTGATTGACACAGGAAGTCCAAATCTTCTACTTACTTCATCACTTTGTTAATAAAACAGTTGTATTCAACATGGTTCATACAATCCATCATTATCAACTACTTCATATTACATTGAAGCTATTAAATTAGCAAATGTATTTTGCTTATATGTACCTAGGGAGAAGTAGGCAATGAGATTGATATATAATTTGCATCAGGAAGTGTAGTTGGTGTATTTTTTGAGGATAGAGTTTGTCTAAATTAATATTGTGTAAATAATCAGTTTATTGTTGGGATAGTAGAATAAACGGAAGATGTAATAAATAAATTAAATTATAGATATTTAGTCAAATGAAATTTGATGGTATATTGGGTTTGGGACGAATAAAGGAAGCTGTTGTTAAAAATGCATCCTATATACATAATTTAGAATATGATGTAAGATATCATGTAACTCTATTTTAAAGAATGATACTCGAAATTTTTCACTATATTTGAGTAATAGTGATGATGATGATATGTCAAGTGAGTTAGTTTTAGGAGGTATTTCATAACATTTGATTGCTCCTGGTGAGGAATTCAAATTCTTTGATGTTACATCAGATAATCTTTGGACAATAAATATTAAAGCAGTTTTTTTGGGAGATGAGAGAATTGATGATTGTAATAATTGTTAAGGTTTAATTGATTCTGGTACATCATTTATTAGTTTCCCAGTTTATGCAATGGAGAAATTTTATTAGAAATTTGGAATGTAATAATCAATATAATTTAAATTTTAGTTATTAATTATGTAGTAATATTGATTCATTTCCAGATTTAACATTTGTTTTGGATAGAGGGATTAAATTTACATTAACAGGATCATAATATTTCAAAAGAAATACTCATGCATTATTCTCTAAAGATATATGTATTCCATATATTAAAAATAATCCAATTATTGGAGATGAACTAATTGTATTAGGATAGCCATTTCTTATTCATCATTATGTTTGGTTTGATGAAGATTAATCAAAAATTGGAATTGTTAAATCTAAATAACAATCTCATCAATGATGTTAATCATGATTTTATACATTATAAATTCATTATATATATTGATATTAATCATTATTATAATTATATATTAAATTATATCATTTATATATGTAATAAAATCCACTCGAATTAAAAATCAATACTTTCAATCTTACATCAAGTCCAGAAAAATTCATTTGTATAAGCACATAATGTTAAGAGAAGAGAGATTAATCATTTGGTTGTTATGAATAGATTATGGTTGTTATGAATAGATTAATTAAAAAACATAATTAAATAGATTAACTCCATTTTGATAAAATTATAGAAATTAAAACATTTTTATCTCAAATCTAATAGAAATAATAAAAGAAAATTGAATTATTAGAAATAGTAATTTAAATAAGGAGTATCCTCATTTATTTTATTCAATTTCTTATGATTTAGACTCTGAATCAGATTTAAAATAAATAATTGAAACAATTTAAGATTAAAAATCAGTATCAAAAAATTAAACAAATTAATAATGGCTTATTAGTGAAATACTTGAAAATCGTAGTGTTTAGGAATTTCAAAACTTTACTTTATTATATGAAAATTCATTTAGTAAACCTTTTACTAATTATTCATATGAATAAATTTTACTTAAAGTTTTTTAAGATAAGAAAGATTAGATTGTTTGTATTGGAGCTAAATTAAATTTAAATTTGAAATTGATTGGATGTGATTTAGCAAGCGAAGTATTTTCATTAACATAGAATGCTTATAGTGCTCGTAAAAACAAGAATGGTGAAATCTATTGGTATTGGTTTTCATCAAAATCTTTTGGATTTTCTCCTAATAGAAACATAGCTCTCAACAATATTGATGAAGAGGATCCTTTTTGTGAACTAAGATTTTCATATTGTACAACAAAAAATTTAGAGGATAGAAGAATTGGCTCATTGAAAGCTTATAAAAATACTAAAGAATATAATTTGGTTATATATATGTTGAAGGAAAATAATTGATATTAGTATATATATATATATATGTATAAATTTTGTTTATAATTAAATACATGTTAGCAATTCAATTTTTTAAATATTTATAATATATATTTTAATAATTTCTTTTATATGAATTAATTTGAATAAAGTGATAAAAGAAAGTAGTGTTCATTGGATTAAATGTTCAAGAAATATGAGGAAGCCACCTATGTATGTTTATCTAATAATTGCACTAGAGATATTAAAAGGGATTAGAGGAGAAAAAATAGAGAGCAAAGTTAGAATCAGATAAAGCGAGGGAAGCATAATTTATTTAAAAGCTTGAAGCTTAGAATAAAAAGATAGAATTTGATGAAAAATTATAAGAATCTTAAGAAAGAAAAAAGGATATAGAAAAACTTATGTTGGAGAAATAATAATAAAAAAATAAAAAAGATGAAGAAGTAAGGAGAAAGAAGAAGGAAAATGAAGATGAAAAACTATAAAAATTATTGAAGAAATAAGAAAAAAAAGATGTTCAAGTTAAGAAGGTGAAAAAAGATGTTTAAAAGATTAAAAGGAAAGATGAATTAAAAATATTATTAGATTAATCTATATCAGATGATGCATCATTAGATTTAGATGTAGAAAAAAAACGATAATGTAAATCATTATCAGATTCTTTATAAGCATTAGAGAGTGATCAAATAGTATATTTTAAATTATAAAAATAAAAAGAAGTTGAAATAAAAGAAAATAAGAAAAAGTAAAAATAAAAAAAAATTATGCCATCTAAAACATTTAGAGAATAATCTGTACCTACAATTAAGAAATCTATAATATTTCCTATTTTAATTCGTTCCAAATAAGATGATAATTCATATCTTTTACAATAAATTCTATAATAATAATAACCTTTATCACCCACATTTAAAAATGAAGAAAATTCAAGTACAAATGTTACTCCAAAAAAAGAAAAAGAAGAAGAACCATAATTTTTCAAACTTTGTTAAATTTGTAATAGTATAATAGAAAATGAAGATGACAATAAACATATATAATCAAAATCACATAAATAAACAAAATAATATTATAATCTAACAGCTACATAAAATGATATTTTAGTTGTAAAAGGATCTAAAGATGAGATCTCATAGAATAGATTCTAATCAATTAGAAAAAGATGTTAAAAAATTAAATAAAAAATATAATAAAAAAGTCTACAATTAGAAAATATGAATATTTATTGTTATAAAGAACCAGGTAATAGTTATAATAGATAAAGGATTTAGAAATTATCTAATGATCTAGATAAATTATTGAACTATTAAATTAAAGATTTATATCAAATTGAATAATAAATGAAAGAATTATTAAAATTAGTCAATTAAGAAACAGATTTGATTAATCTTAGATAAATGAAGTTTATTTAAATTGTTATTGAAGTTTTCAAAAAGATATCTTCTTGTCATAAAAATGAATATACTTAATATCTTAAAATTATTGGAGTGGTATAAATTATTTAATTATTATATAGGCAACAGAAATAGTATATCAATTTTGTAGTGTATACAATAATAGAACTTATATGTTGGCAAGTAATAAGTTATTACCTATTATTGATTTTATGTATAACTTTTTAGCATCAAAGCCAACTAAATTTATATATAGTTATCAATTTGTTGCTTAATGTTTTTAAATATTTAGTTTACTTATTAAGCATAAATTACCTACAGATCCACTTTCTGATTTAAATATTTAGGGAATATAAGAAGATACATTAGAATATATGTATTGTTGTGGATTATTTAATAAAATGAAATTAAGATTTCTATCATTTGAAAAAGATTACATAAATTCTGAAGGTAAAATCCCTGTTGCATTAGTTAAGAGTGTTGCATTTATAGAAGCTGCAACAAATTATCATGGATTTGAGTAATTTTAATAAAAATGATAGGACATAGAATAAATCATTATTTGATGAAGAGGGCAAAAGAATATCCAAAAGTTTTGAAGAACATCTAAAATTTGTACTTAAAGAAACAGAACTATTTGGATTAATTTAATTAATTAGTTAAATGGTTGTTGGCGAAGAGATTTGTTTTACAACAAATAAATTACTTCCATAAACAATTATTAGTTTTTTTATGGTAGGAATCAAGACTTTAAATAATATTGCAAGATTAAATATTATAGTATTGTAAGAAACTATGAATAAATAATCTAATAAATAAGAAGTTCATATGATAATCTAAAGACTTGTAACATATTGTAAATGCAATCTTGAGTAAAGTTAAGATTTAAAAGATTTATTAAATGAATTAATTCTTTTAATTGGGTATTATTGTGTATTAAATTAAAATAATCAAAATTCACTTGTAGGATCAATGAAAAAGATATCTGTATTACATAATTTATTGTAAATGCCTTCACAATTTTATGTTGATAAAATGTTAAAGAATATACTATTCCCTACTCTACTATGTTGTATGTTCAGAAACCCTAACAACATGAAAATTGTATTAGATGAAATGGACAAATCCTATTTTTTAGAAATTTTATAATATGATGTAAAATTAATATATAAATATAGTCTGAATAATTTTATGAAAACCACAATGGTCAATAATTGTAAAGATCACCATCAATGTCTAGTACAAATTCTTAGAATTCTGTATTTCCATACAGTTCAGCTATATACTTTAAATTAAGTTAACGCTTTCCTATGTGTTATTTTAAAGAAGCTTATAAAGAATTATTAGATTATAAGGATTGATTAAAATTTTAATTAAATTTAAAAGTTTTTATAATACTTCAAATATCTTTACCATTTATTTAATTAATTTCTAATTCTTCATTTTTACCAAAAAGAAAGTCATGCGATGCTCTAAAAACATCATAAGTATTTTAGATGTCAATTCCTAGAGAATTACATTAATTTCTTTCAGTCATAAATTAATATAAATCTAAAGAGTCATCCTCTTCTATTTCATGACCAAAGAATTTCTCAAATGATTCTTTAAAATGATTTTACATGTCTTTCTTTTCTATTGCTAAAAGTAATTTTGCAACTTATGATGGTCTTAATTCAGTTCTCAATTAATCAAGAGTTGAATCAAAGGATGCAAGTTCTTTTTAAATTAAGAATTTTGTATCCATAATTTAATTAACAGAACTAATTTATTAAATTTAAATATACTTAGATATATCTTGATAATGTTTGGCTAACTTTTATTACTTTTTTAAAAGTATTTACTTTTATTTATCTGCTAATTTCAATTAAGTTAATAAATTAAGATTCATATTTCTATAAATATATTATTACAATTTTACTATTCATTTTAACAGAAAATGTCATCTTATTTCTTAGCTATTTAAATGATATAATTGCAAAAAGGAGCTAAACAATTTTCATTTATTTATCTTGCGTAATGATCAATTAAAAATTATCTTTCTTAAGATGCTGAACCAAATTTTTTCTAAATAAAACAAATAATTTACATTTAAAGAATCTATAATCGAATCAACATTTGTTTCTGATGCATTATTTTACAATGATGTTTAAAGATTATTAAATAAAATGCATTTAGTTTAATCTTGTTCTTTTTTCTAAGAATATATTTGAATTACTTACTTGTGTTAATTTAATTTATAAATTTTATGCCAAACTATAAGTTTTATCATTAACATCTTTAAATAGATCCAATTATTCTGATAATTTAGTTACTTTATTTTCAAGTAATTCAAGATAAATTTTCTTTCTTTTTCTACTATTTCTAGCTGATTCTCTATTCTTTGCTAATTTATCTTCCTTTTCTGTTTAAGAGACATAATTGAATTATTATTGACTCTAAAAAGGTTTCATTAATAATTTTTTTTCTGACCTTTGTAATTAATCTAATTAAATACATTGCTTTCTCTTCAATTTTTTCTTATGTTGGAGATAATTTCATTAATGAACTAATTTTTTTGATATAAGTATTTTTTGTATTTTCTTTAATCTTTCTGTTCTGATTTGTAGAGGTTTAAATATTCTTCACATTCCCTTCAATCTCAAAATTTACATTTTGACTAGAAGATTATTAGAAACGAATTGGATCAAAATCATCTAATTGATTCATTTTTTATTAATATTATAGATTATTATATGCTGTAATAAATCCTAATGAAGTTAAATCATTTGATAATAAATTAAATTATTATAAATTTTATTTATTATATAATTATTCATTTTAAAACTCTTACTCTTAATTTATTCTGCTTTATCATTGTTTAATATTTATACACCATTTAATAAGATTTATAATTTAAAATCTAATTTAATCAATTTTATTAAAAATAATTCCAGAAAATAAGACAATATTGGATATTCAAAAGTACCAAAAATATATAATTTATGTTAATGTGAATAACTTAATTTTATTATACTCATTTTTATCTTGTAACTATTATAATTATAATATCTCACACTAATAAATTATTAATTCAAAAACTTGTGTAATTATTAATGTAAAATAATATATATAAAAAACCCCAATTATTTTATAATCAATTCCTATATTGTATTTAAATATTGAAAAATTATTTATTAATTTTCTATCATAACATGTTAAAAAGATTATATATTGAGAGTTTTGTATCTCATTAATAACCATTAATTTATAGATCCAAAAGAGTTCAACTGATAATTAAAAATATACAAAATTCAAATAAATTCCTTCCTATATTATTTATTTAATTACTATGCCTGAATTAATTTAAAGAATCATATTATATAAATAAATATATAATTACTTAAGTAAACTTTACAATATATGGAGATCTTGAAAAAATATTTTCAGATTTGCTGTTTAATAATTATGAATTTTATAAAATCTATTCTATATTTTTATATTAAAACATATAAGGTGAGTATTGAGTTTATGAGTATATTTAAATAATAAATATTAAAGGGATCAAGATTAAATGATTTCAAAATTATTTAAAATACAGAATATCTTTGCAATAATTTAAGAATCAATAAAAGACAATTTTAATTTTTTTCAATTTTCAATAAATTTATTCGTAATTCTAATAATTTTTATTAGTGAAATAATATTTCTCTATTTGATAATGAATCTATTTTAAATTAAATATTAAAATAACATAAAAAATAAGTAATAGCTTTTAAATTAAATTGAAAATAAACAGATTGATAAAAATGGAATTAATATCATTCTGTTTACTAGTTAATAGATTCATATTGTTTACTTAATCTTTGTTTAAAACCTGAAAAATTTAGGATTGGATTTCAAACTATAACAGAATATATAAGTACCCTTGTTAATCTTTAATTTATTGATTTTCAATTATTCCTTATACTAAATCTCTTTTGCAAACATCTATAAAAAAATTCATTACACTTTCTCTTGTATTGATATCATCATCATTATCATATACTTCTTGTAAAAGATTTTAATATTCTGGTTTGATTCCAAGTTGTCGATCTGTATATAAGGGAAATTTGAATTTAATGTTAGTATCAGTTTATGACTATAATTCTACATACTTTTAAGTTGGCTTTTTCTTTTATGAAACAGTTGATTGTTAATGAGATAATGAGTATTAATCCCATGTCATTTTTTATATTGGAATATTCTCTTTACCAAAATCAATTTTGAATATTGAACTATTTGAAGGTTCAGGTAAAGTATGTAGATAAATAGATGTATGCCGTCTTTCTGCTTTTAGAGATGATTGATTCATTTCTTTGAATAGTTTGGCGCACTATTAACTTAAATTTAAAATTATATTGAAAATCTACTTATATAATTTAATAGGATATTGAATAATTAGAAAAAGAGAATCATTAGATTTAAGCATTATAATTTAAATATAAGGGAATGAGATTTGTTTAAATTTAGTATATTAATAATTATGTGAATCTTAATTACATATAAGATTTTAGATTGTTTAATATTGTGTATAATCAATAAAAAATACTAATATAATGTGGATAAGTGAATTATAAGAATTATCTTTGTATGTAGGAGAGGATTTCAAAATGAAAAAATAAAAGAAAAATAATAATCCAATATAATCATTATTATATGTTGGAATATATTAGATCATATGCTAATTGTAGTGTTTTAAATTTATCACATCTATATTTTAATTGATAAATATAGATTTAGCTATATGAATAAAAATTTGATGATTTGAATGATGGAATTAAGAAATGAAATAATAAATCTTATTTTTATATGATGTATGTTATATATAATTTAGAGTATTGACATTCTGAAGTTGTTTTAGTTATTCTCAAGTTTGTTCAATAATTGTTTTTAATTTACATTATATAATTTATATATAATTGTATGACATCCTCTTCAAAGACTGATTAAATTTACCTGATGACACTTTTCAAAGAAATCAAAACTTCCCTCTTTAAGTAAGTGATTATTTAATGATAGAGTGTTTTGCTTGATTTTAAAAGAACAAGAATAAACATTTACTTAAACTGTGTTGTTGTCAACAATTTAGTTGCTCTAATTACTTTATATTCCTTTTGCTCTTAAAATTAAGTACATTTGGAAAAATAATTAGGTAACTGATGTAATCAATAAAATATTAAGGTATAGAAATGTTATATATTTCAGTTATTTTGAAATATTGTTGCATGTAAAAGATCAAGGTTTTTCAGTATTTTTATATTTGTTTTATTCATTTTCTGGATTGATTGTCTTAATTATGTTAGGATTAACTTTATTAGTGAATTAATAAAACAGGAAAAATAGTACAAATTGGATAGTGTTAGTTGTTAGAATAAGTATAAAATTAATGATTACAATCTTATTTTTTCCTATAAATTAAATCTTCTTTGGAGTATTTATTATTAACCTAATTTCATAGTTATTAGCATGTACAAACAATTCAAATGGTATAAGTGTATTAGTTTATTAAACTAATATAATATGTTGGTCAGATGAACATACAATTCATGCAGTGTTATCAATCTTTATTATATTATTATTCTAGATTCAAATAAATACATTTACCTTATTCTTATTTGAAGCCAAAAAATCAAATACAGATGTATTTGCATAAAGATCTGGTAGATAATTTTCATTATTTCATATATACATAACATTATCAACTATGGTTTATTAATTAGTAGAAACACCTGCCTATAGTATAATCATAATTTTGACAATGTTTGTATTGAGTCTACACTTTTTTTATCAAATAAAATATTCTGCACCATTCTATAATTAATATGTTTAGAAATTATGGAATGTGATAACTGCAATAAATTGTTGGACTACTTTAATGATCAATTTTTCCTTTTTCTTAGAAGGACCTTATTTTTAGAATTCTCTTCTAGGTTATGCCTTAGGAATACCAATACTAATAGGAATAATATTTAAATAATAAGATTAGGAAATAGATCTATTATTTTCTAATCTTAATTAAGCATAATAACCTAATGAATTGATATCCTTATGTGGATATCTTCTAACATTAAATGAGAAATCAATTAAGGATCAACATTCTTAATTATTATTGGATGCATTTTTAGAAATACATGAATAGACATGTCCAAGATTAGATTGTATAATGAAGAATAAATAGTTATTGAGATAAATTTAAAATAAACATTAAAATAGACAAATAGAAAATAAAATTATTATTAATGAATTAATAATTTAAATGCTTACATTTGGAATCAAGATGTAACCTTTAAATATAGATTTACGTCTTTATTATTCCTTTTTTTTAATTGATGAAATTAAATCTCCATAATTGGCATTTATTGAATTATCTTAAGCAGAAAATAATTCAATCCCAATAGATTAATAATTTATTATTTATAGATATAAGAAACTTATTGAAGATGTTTAAGTTGAAAATGATGTTACTAAATTAGATACTAATAATTTTATCAATAATTAAAATATCTAGATATCTTTAAATTAAAAATTAGAAGCCTAATGTATTTTGTAATTAGAATTTTTGGCTGCTTTGGAAGATGAAAAGCCAGATCTTGCTAAAATAGATAGTGTTGGATTTAAAATATTAAGATTAAAAAAATTTATTGATAAAGAATGGTAAAAGGTTTAATAATAGAATGTATATTCACCAACTTTATTCAAAATGATGAGTAAATACTTCTTCTTTGTTCTTAGTGATGAATATGAAGGTAATATGACATTGATGAAGTAAGATAAATTTATTAAACTTTAAATAAATGATCTTATTAATTTAGAATAGGCATCTATTGAATCATCTCCAATAATTATTTTAAACACTGAATAAAATAATTTTGGTATAATAAAAGATGTGAATATAGCATCTTGTAGTTTTTTAGGATTTTCAAAAAGTGATTTAATTGAAAGAAAATTATCAGTTATTCAACCATAAATGTATTGATTTTAATTAATTTTAGTTATATAAATTATCATGATTAATTGATTGATAATTATTTAAAACGTATTACTGATATTTAGAAATCAAAGGTTGAAAAAGTCATTTTCATAAAAAATAAATAGGGATATATTTAATAATGTTCATTATAAATAAAATAATTAATGACTTAAAATTAAGAGGTATTCTTAATAGGGAAAATAGGAATAGAATTAGTTTATAAGCCAATTTGTTATTTGATATGTAATACTGATGGAATAATAAAAGAAATTAATTGTGCTTGTATAAAACTTTTACGTTTAGATATTTAAATGATTAAAGCAAGTAATAAAAATATTAAAGATCTTTTTCCTGATATTATGAGTAGAATACCTGAAATATTAGGTAAAAAGAATTCAATCATTTCTTTTAACATAAATTCAAATTAATTAAATCCTCAAAGATCATCATCTATTAAATCTTCAGGAATGGATAGTACTCTATTAGATGATTGTGTTATGGATGAATCTCTTAAATTGTAATGTTAAATTTAAGAAATCTATATTGATCTACCAAATGCTGGATTAATTGGTTATGTTTTTAAGTTTGAGAAAATCACTCCACCATCAATACCAACTATACATAATACTATGGTAGATAATTTTTATAAATTTAATTTTAAATTTAATTCATAATTAGATACTTATTTTGGATCTTATTAAAATTATATGTAAACTTTACATAAAATCAGTTATGATACTAGCTCTGTAGTTTCATCTTAAGAAGATTAATAATTAAGATAAGTAAATAGAAAATAAACAAAAAAATCAACTAGTATAAGTAATGGAATTAAAACTGTTAGATTAATAAATGGTATGCTCATTGATGTTGAAGGACTTTCAGAAGAAGAGATCTCTGAAAGTGAATAAAATGAATTAGAAAATATTAAATAAGAAACTAAAGATTCAGATAGTGTAATATAATCAGATTATATCTTTTTAAAGACTAAATCTTCATTAATATCAATGATAAAGAGTTCTATTATACCATCATTTCTTAATTCTTTAAGGTATCTTATATCAATTTTAATTGTTGGTTTACTAACACTTGGTTATTTGCAATTTTTTTTTGATATAAACTATTAAGATAAAATAAAAAATGGATTGGATCTATTTTATTAAAGTAATTAAAGATTATCAAAAATTCTTATTGTACAATCTTATATATAAGAATTAAAGTTTATGAATTTAAAATATGAAAATTTGACATCAAATTATAATTTTGATGAATTAAAAGAAGCTAACATAAAGATCTTAAATGAGATTACTAATTTATAATCAAAATTAAGTTAAGCCAGTTTTGATTTAGCTCCTTAATATATCTCTTATTAATAAGAATATGAAGACTCAGCTATTGAAATGACATAATCAAATGTAGTTATCAATTATACTTTTAATGAAGCAATCGAATAAACTTTAGTCAAAGCTCTTTCATTATCACAATAAGATCTTTCATCGTACACAGATGATAATGTTGATCTCAATTATTTTGAAACTAATTCTTATAATTCAATAGTCTATCATAATTATGTTGCTTAATTCTATTATTATTACTACATGGTTACCGTATTAGAGGAGAAATCATAAAATGTGCAAATAATTCTCATTTTAGTTACTCTTATATTATTTATAATGTAATATATATTACACCTATTAATTTTAGTTATGTTGCATGTTCAATTTTGATATTGAAAATAAAAAATCTTAGAGATAGTATCCTAGTTCTATTATTATAGGTATAGGAGTAATAAATAATTACTTTGAAGAAAAACTATGAATACTTTTTATAACTAATTTAGAGTAAAGAAGATGAAGAAGTATAATTTAATATTTTAATGATTAGAATTTAGATTATGAAGAAGAATTGAGGAAGCCAATCTAATATCAAGAAGAAGGTGCTTAGGATTCTTTGAAGACAAATGATAATGATGAGGCTTAATTTCTAATTAAAAAGAAGAGGAAAAAGTTTGAAAATAGTCATACAATTTTAAGGAATATACTAGTATCCATAATATTTATTATTGCAATATTTTAGGCATACTTTATTTATCTTATAATTGACAATAATGTATAATTTAATAATTATGAAAGACTCTTGATTCAAGATATAATGCTATCTTACCAGTTTTAAATTTAACTTCAATTATAGAATCATATTTAAGATTTGGAGATAATTCTTTTAAATAGAAATATGTAGACAATGATTTTCTTATTAATTTTGGTAATTTCAACTCTTAAGATTATATACAAATTTTAAAGAACATGGTATCAGATATTCACAAATAGCATTCTGAAAACTCAAATGTATTAGATATTGGTTATGTTGGTATATTTGAGCAAATCTTTATTTTAAATCCTTGTAATTTGATTAAAGACATTGATTCAAGTGTTTCATTAAATGAATGCGAAAGTTTTAATGATGGAATAATAAATTAAGGATTATCTATGGCAACCATTAAATATATTAAATATTTGGAATAGGCACTTAAAAATCCAATGTATTTTACAAATATTAGGAAGACTTAATTAACTTATTTTAAAGATTCTTTCTAATACTTAGGAGATAAATTAATTGAATCTATATCTAATGATTTTTCAGTTAATTAATTGACTAAAGTATCCTTATTTACTGTATTTAATTTGTTAATGCTTTTTGTTTATTTTTTTATATGGATACCTTTGATAAGGAATTTAATTCAATCAATAATAAAAACTCGATTGCTATTTTCATTAATCCCAAATAATGATTTGCTTAAGTATTCAATTTTAAACTATGTAGAATAAAAGCTATCATACAATATTTATTATAAATAAGAAATCCTATGTGAATAGTTAAATGATTCTGATTTTGATATAAAATTAATATCTTAATACTAAGTTTTTATTATTGAATTAAAATAAAATAAATAAACTAAATATCATCTTTCATGTAATATTTATTTTGCTCAACTCCATCATTGAATTTCTCTTAATTTCTGAATATTTTTCATGAATTTCTTGATCCCTTTGACTATCTAATTTCAATTCCTTCATTCGTTTTGACTGAAGCACTTCAATTTATTCATCAAAAACAAAACATGTTGAATTATTAGCTGCAGTAAATAATCCTTCTGTTGGGGCAATATAACTTAAAGGATATATATATAGAGCCTTACTCATATTTATTATATACGTTATTTTTAGGATCACGTAACTCTCCAGAAAACAAGAAACCTCCATTAATAAATTCAGTTTAAGATAATGTAGTAAGTTTGATTAATCTTGATTTATTTCTAAGAAGTTCATTTAATCTCTTCAATTCCATTTAAGCAAGAGGACCAACTTAATTTTCATACCATTTTCTGATATATTCTATTAATAAAATCAAAATAATAAATACCTATTGAGTGTAGATATACCTTGAATTCAAAATCTTTATTTCTGATCATAATTTCTTTGATAACTTTTGTTGGTAAAGCATATAATAGAGATTCAACAGCTGCCTTTGCTGTACTCATATGATTACCATCAACAATGAGACTTTAATGAGTTATCAAAGATCCTAATCCTTTAGTTATGAGAATTCCATTATATTCATTAACAACATAGCCTCTCATTATAATATATACTTCATTGCATTCATCTCCTTTTGAATATATAACTTATCCCAATGAATATTTCCTTTCTACTGCTACCTTTTTGATAATATCTAGATCTGTCAAAGATATTTCCTAAAATATAGGGAATTGCATAGCAATAACATGGAAGGAGGGCAAACTCATATCATATGAATGACTTTCTAATTTGACAAGTTTCATGTTAATATCCTTTATTAAGATTTTATATTCCTTATCATCAATTAGACCTCTACGTTAAGTGGATGATAGATGCTCTATGGAATGAGTTAGGATTGAAAAGGAAGCTTTTTTGGTTTAAAGTACTCTCACAATTTCAGGGAAATTTCCATTTAAAGTACCAAAGTAAGCCTGTGCCTTTTCAATATCTTTTTTTAATTCTTCTTGGATAATAGAAATAGCTTCTTTATTCATAGGAAAATTGTTTGCTAATTTCAATGCTTCTTCTGCACAAATAATAAATGAAGATGTAACATCATACACAAGTCCTAAATGTCTGATTAAGTATTCCCTTGCAAAATATCCGATTAAAAACTTCTGTTTCACCTTGAAAAAGAAATTTACACTGCATAGATTCATAAAATTCTTATATAATTCATCCCAAATTTCAAGATTATCATTTAATTTATCTAATCCAACATCACTAGACTCTACCAACATTTTAACAGTTTATTCTTCACAAAGACCTTCTTCATATTTATGATAATATAATCCTTTAAGAATTCTATAAACTCTATATCTGACTTCTCCAAATATATCTTGATTTGGCAATCCATCATAGATCATTTCTTAAAATCCCTTCTTTTAAATTATATGTTTAATATCCTGTTCAACTTTATCAATTTTTTCTATAAAATCCTACTGTCCTATTAGATTACTAACAGTAGCCCAATCAGTCATGTTATAGAATTCATCAGTCTCCAATTCTTTGACTAAATCCTATTAAATAACAATCAACTCCTCCAAATATTTCTTATACACCTTCTTTTTAACAATAGGTTCATCAATCATTTTAACACATTTTACTAAAGTCTTACAAGTTGTTCCATTAATCATATTGGTAATTAAAGCCATAGCTGCAGCATAAAAGACAGCTAAATGTCTAAAACGAGCAGGTAGATCTTCATCACACCCAACCATTAATGAAAGTGTTAATCCCAATCCTCCTCTTAATCCTCCATAAACTAAAACAATTAATTCAGACTTTGATATTGGATAACCAAAACCTAAACATAATAATTAATAATACATTTAAGAAATGGATAGAATGTTAAAACCATTAAAAATCTAGCCAAAATCATTAAGAAATAGAATCCAATCATTTTATAATAGTCTGAACTCTCTATTAATTTTTCTTCCATTATTTCTATACCAACTATTATACCTACCAATAAGAAGACTAGTGTGTCACAACTATATTAGACAAATCCCCAAACTGCATGAACTGAATGTTCAACTGATGCCCTTATTCTTGTCTTTGCATTAGCACACCAGAATAAACCTAAACCTACTACAGCTAAAAGTCCACTTGTTTCAAAAAATTCAAATTCTGCCCAATAAAATGTAAAATATGTAAAGACAAATGTCAACCAAGTTACTTCGATATCATCACCTAATATTCTTTTTGTCCATAAAGCAACCAGCAACCCTAAAACTAAACCCATTATTGGTCCTAAGAATGATGTTCTAAGGAAAGTTAAGACGATATCACCTCCATTAACGGCTTCACCCTTTCCACTCGAAGCTTTTGATATATTGTTAAAAACATTAAATAACACCATTGCAACTCCATCATTAAGCAATGCTTCTCTAACCTATAACATCTAATTCATACCCTTCAATCAAATGGTTAAAAGCTGGATTTGCTCCTAATTCTTTCAAGAGTGCAACTACAGCCACAGGATCTGTAGCTGATAAAACTGATCCCAAAGTGAATGCCTCATACCAATTCATATCATTATCATCATATTGTAGTATTAGTTTAAAGCAAGCTCCCAATAAAATAGCTCCCTTAATATATTCTATATAATCATACCCATCCACATCCTGGACCTGCCAAAAGCAAAATATTTATAATTTAGTACTTAAAAGTATACCAATCACAATTAAATGCTGATTCAAAAAGTAGAACTGGAATAAAAATGAAGACAATGAGATGAGGATGCATTTTTGATAATATATATGCACTATTTCCTATTTTTCCTAAATATTCTTATGAAAGACCAATGGCCAAACCAAGAGCCAGTATCATAGGAGAGTATGGGATACTTATATTATGATTAAATTGTATACTTGGTCTTTTTATTTAATTCTCTCAGAATAAGTCCACATATTAGTCCTAAAACTAAAAAATGTATAAGTTGAGCAGATTCTTCCATCTGATGTTCATCTCTCCATAAAGAATCTCTTTGTATTGATTCATAATTTTCACCTTGACCACTCAAATCATCAGATGACATTTAATAAAAATATGATTTTTCGAAGGAATAATAGTTTGTTTTTATATTGCGTTAGACAATTTATTAAATATTAACAATTTTTAATAATAAAATATATATGTGCAACTTTTATATTCATAATTCTTATTATTAATATTATTATTGAACTTCTATTCTTGAGAACCGTTGATCTATAATTTCTTCATGATTCTCTAGATTGAATTATTCCAATCTATCCTGCTTTATCACATCAATTGCATCATCAAAAACCAAACAGATGAGTGTTTTTGTGACATTAAAATCATTTTCTCTAGGTGGTACATAACTAAATTACATTTTATTATTACCAATATTCATTGTATCGTTCTACTCCATCATTCTCATCTTGAATACAACTTTAAATTTCTCCTTTAATTATATAACCACCAAACATGAATTCAACATTTGAATGGACATCGAACTTTTTAAATTGTGCCCTTTGTCTAAGGAATGTTCCTAAACGTTTTTATTCCATTTAACCTAATGGGCCAGCTTTGGATTCATATAATTTAATAAGATATTCTAAATAATATAAAAATAATTTAACCTATTGAGTTAATATAAATTTTCTATTCAAAAGCTTCTGATTTCTACATCAAAGACTTAAGTACATTTAAATTTAAAGAATGTAATACAGTTTCAGATGATGCTTTAGCAGTAGTCATGCATTTACCATCTCCAATAAGATTGGCATAAGATAATAATGATCCTAATCCTTTTTTCATTTAATGAGATCCAACTTCATCAATAACATTTCCTTTTTAGACAATATATATATTTTGACAAGTCATACCTTTTTCATAAATAATTTCATCAGTTTGATATCTTTTCTCATAAGTGGATTTAATTATTGTATCTAATTCTTCTTTAGGAACACCTGTAAAAACAGGAAATTCCATAGCAAAAGAATGAAAAGTTGGAATTTACCAATCAAATACATGATTTTCAAGTTATACAAGACGAGCATCAATATTACTTTTTAATTGATTGAATTCTTTGTCATCTACAAGACCATTCTTCTAATTTTCTTCAAGATGATGTCTTTGATGCATTAGAACAGTATGTGAAGCTCTTTTTGTTTATATAGCTCTAATGACTTCAGGGAATGTATCATTTAAAGTAGCTAAATAGAGTTCAGCTTTATTAATTTCAGTTTTAATTTCATCCATAATCAATTTAACAGCACTCTTATTCATAGGCATATGTTCTTGTAAAGTAAGTACTTCATTAGCACATGATATGAATGTTGTGGTTACATCATATACAAATCCTAAATGTTTAGTAATGTATTATTAAGCATATCCACCTAAAAATGTCCATTCTTTCACTTTGAAGAAATACTTGATACTACTAAAACTAGTAAAGCTATTGAATAATTATTCCCAAATATTCAAAATAGATCCTGTATGATCAAGAGCAACATCACTTGATTCTACTAATAACCTAACAGAATCTTCATCACATTGTCCATGTTCAAATTATGAATAATATAATCCCTTAAGAATTCTAAGCACTCTGTATCTAACCTCTCCAAAAGTATCTGTATCAGTCAATCCTTCATAAGATATTCTACTCATATTTCCACCTTAAATTTATTTAATTTCATTCTCTAATTAAACTACTTCCTATAAAAACTATTGTGATCCTACAAGTGATTTAACTTGATTCCAATCAGCCATAGCAAAATGTTCATCCCCTTCTAATTCTTTTATTGTATCTTCTTAATTAACAATCATATCAGTTAAATAGCGTTTATATACTCTCTTTTTAATCACTGGATTTTCTATCATGTTTAAATAATTCACCAAAGCTTTACAAGTAGTTCCATTAACAAGATTAGTTAAAGCAGCCATTCCAGCAGTGAAAAACACAGATAAATGTCTAAATCTTGGTGGTAGATCTTGATCACATCCTACCATCAATGAAAGTGTTAAGCCTAAAGCTCCTCTTAGACCTCCATAAACAAATACTATCAGTTCTGGTTATGACATAGGATATCCATATTTCTTTAATAATGGCCAAAATGATATAACCATTAAGTATCTACATAATATCATAAAGAAATAAAACACAATCATTCTAAAATAATCAGATGTATAAATATATCTTTCTTCAACTACTTCTGTTCCAACTATCATACCTACTAATAGAAAAACTGTTGTATCACAAAAATATTAAACAAAACTCCAAACTGTATGAACTGCATGTTCACTCTCTGATCTTATTTTTGTTTTACCAAATGCACTCCAAAACAAACCCAAAGAAACAACAGCCAATAATCCACTAGTTTTAAAGAAACAAAACTCAGCCCAATAAAATGTCAGATAAGTGAATATAAATGTTAACCATCCAACTTCAACATCATCCCCTACTATTCTTCTTGCCCACAAAGCTCCAAAAAATCCAACTACAACTCCTAATACAGGACCAACAATTGAATTCCTAAAGAAATTTAGTAGAACTCCTCCAAAACTAACACCTCCACCTATTCCAGCAGCAGCTTTAGAAAGTTTATTGAAAAATATAAAAAACACCATAGCTACTCCATCATTTAATAAAGCTTCTCCTTCAATCAAATGATTAAATGCTGAACTTGCTCCTAATTCCTTTAATAGAGCAACAACAGCTACTGGATCTGTAGCAGATAACACAGATCCTAAAGTGAATGCTTAATACCAATTCATATCTTCATCGCTATAAAATAGGAATATTTTAAATACAATTCCTAAAAGAATTGCTCCCTAAGAATAATTATCTTAAAAATACCCAACCAACTCCAGGTCCGGCCAATAGTAGGATATTAACCATTTGATATTTGAATATATACCAATCACAATTAAATGCTGATTCGAAAAGGAGAACAGGAATAAAAACATAGACAATTAAATGTGGATGCATATGACTCAAGATACTAGCACTTTCTCCCAAATACCCAAGAGAGCTTTATAATAAGCCTATAAACAATCCACAAGCTAAGACCATAGGAGAATAAGGAAGTCTATTATTAAATTTTGATTCATTATTACTTAGTTTTCTTATTCAATTCTCTTAAGGCTAGACCCAATAAGATTCCAAGAGTAAGTAAATATACAACATTTGCTGATTCTTCCATCTTCTCTTCATCTCTATATAATGAATCTAAGATCTAAGAGCCTTCAGTTGATGTATCGGCTTCACTTTCATGACCCATGATTTAAATAAATAAATTATTCCTACAAATTGTTATAAAAAATGTGTAATCACTTTAATTATATTCACTTAATTTATAACAATTTTTTGATCTCTTCAGCTGAAAGTGTCTCTCTCTTTACTAATTCAGTAGCCAAGTCTTTAAGTTTAGATTCATTTAGTTTCAACAAATTTTTAACTCTATTATAAGATTCCTAAAGAATTATTAAGTAAAAGATACCTCCAAAATTTTTTTAACTTCCATATCAACCATATAATCGAATTAATCACTAGTTTTTACTCTATCACTTTAAATTGAAATCAAGGATATTTTATCATCCATTCCTAATTGTTTAACAAACATATAAGCAAGATCAGTAGCCTTGGCCAAATCATTACTACATCCACTTGTGATATCATCTTTTCCCAAAAATAAATCTTCAGCTGCTCTACCACCCATAGCTACATCAATTGATGCAATGATTCCTTTTCTAGTATAATTAAGTTGATCCTTCTCAGGAAGCATTGAAGTCTAAATCGAATAAAGATTAATAAATACAAATCCTAAAGCTCCACCTCTTGGAAGAATTGTAACTTTGTGAAGAGGCATGGCTCCTTCAGTCAATAAACTGGTTAAGGCATGTCCACCTTCATGATAAGCAGTCATCAACTTCTCTTTATCACTAACATGCATATTCTTTCTACCTACTCCCATAGCAATTCTGTCTATTGCAAATTCAAAGTCTTCAGTTGTTGCTATCTATCTATCATATTTAATTGCATTTAAAATTGCTACATTCACCATATTCTAAATATCAGCTCCACTAAATCCACTAGTCTATCTTGCCAAATTAGATGGCAATACTTTTTAAATATCGTATTTAATCTTTTATAAGTAATATGAAAATATCTATTCCCTACCTTTGACATCTGGTAATGGTACATGAATCATTTTATCAAATCTTCCTGGTCTCTTCAATGCTGGATCAAGTACCTTTAATTCTATACTATAATTATACCTATTCAAAATTGGTTGCCCCAATCACTATTACACTTTCACTTTATTTAAATCCATCCATTTCTGTCAAAATTTAGTTTATAGTATCTCTAGAATAACCTGGATCTTATGCTCTCCTTCTACCTCCAATACTATCTATTTCATCTATAAAGATTATTGCTGGAGCCTTTTGTCTTGCAGCTTTAAAAATTTCTCTAACACGTGAAGCTCCCACTCCAACAAACATTTCATCAAATTCTGATCCTGATTTATAAAAAAATGCACATCCTGCTTCTCCAGCCAAAGCTCTAGCTAATAATGTTTTACCTGTTCCTGGAGGACCTACAAGTAAAATTCCTTTTGGTAACTTTGCACCTGAATCTGTATATTTTTTAGGATGCTTTAAGAATTCCACTATTTCTTCTAATTCTTCTTTAAATTCATCTATTCCTAATACATCATTAAAGCGTGTAGGAATATTTCTTTCTTCTTAAATTGTTTAATTGCTTCTAAGAATGTTATAAAAACGATCCATTCTACCACTTCCTTGTTCAGGAACATCTTTTTAATTTTTTTCATTTTTAGATTTTGACTGACCAGGTTAGAAGAAATACATCATTTAATAAAGAATAGCTGCTGTTATCAATAATTAGATCATTCCAGGAAGCATTAATGATTTACGCTTGTCTCCATATTAATTAGACTTCAAATTTGTTACTGCAATACCATATTGTTCTTATAATTATTGATGTTATTTTTAAGTAGCATTTTCTCGAAAGTCATCTACTGTTAATATATTAATTATACCTGTTTATTTAAATATACGAAGTGCTTCATCATATAATTACATCCGATTCAATTGTCTAATATACTTGAATGCCTTCTCAGGATTTTGAGGATCTGAAGCAAATTCTTTTTGCAATAAACGCAAGTTTTAAATATTTTATTAATTCACTAAGAATGTAGCATCAGGTTAGATAAAGGGTTGGAAGTCAAACTTATGATCTGGAATATTGACAGCCTTTTTTATTAAATCATCCTTATTTAAACTAAATGGACTTTGTAAAAGTTTAAAAGAAGGCTCTAATATAGAAACATTACTGTCTTACTTCTGAAACTGAATAACGATTTGTACACAAATCCCCATAGAAACTACAATAAGATTTATAATAATTACAGGTCCTTTCATTGCAATAATAAGCACAAATAAATAATTATTAATCTATATCTAAAGTATTATAATCTAAACTTTCTTTTCTTTTATTTGATACTCTTCTAGAGTCTCAGTAATATCATTTATCGATTTTTTAATTTTTAATTCTATGAGGCTTTCAATTAAAAATAATGAATACTAATAATATTCAACTTCAAGATAAATATATATTTAATTATATTAACCTATAAATCAATCTCTATGAATTTATGTATTTATTTATTTACTTTGATATGCCATTTCATTTATTATAATTTTCCATTAATGGATCCCTTAAAGAAATTCTTTATCAAAAATTTGTCATTTAAATAAATAACTTAATCATTAGTTATCTTAATTATAAACTAATAACAAATTTTACATAATGATATTATTTTTTAATGACTGACAAAAAAGTAAATTGATTATCATCATGATATTAAATGATAATTACTTTTACTTAATTTAAGAATTCTTAAAATAATCATATTAAAATTTAATAATTAATAGTTATTCACTTAAGTGTTTAAAATACTGACATTTTTTCTTGTTTCTTTTTGAAAGAAAATTGGTCTAAAACACTTTATTTGTTTTTTGAAATCAATCCTTTTTTAACATTTAATTTATTTTGTTCCTCCTCATATTGTGCAATCAATCCAAGATAATATTAAGTGCTATTTTATAATTCCTAAGACAAGATTAATTGATTGTTTACATCTTTTGATTCTGATCCTGAGTTTCTCTTCCTCTACAATTCAATCATATAGAGACAAGTTTTGTATTTTTATTTCCTTTTATCATATATCAACTTAACTTCAGATGCCACTGTTGGAAATTCCTTTAGTAAATTTCTAAAATTTTCATAAGAACAAAAGAATCTAAATATTAATATTTTGTTACAAATTGGTAGGTTCTTTAGCTATAGCAAAATATTCTCTGTTGATATCTTCAAATGCTTCAATCTCACCAAAAAATGAAGCTTCTAATAATGTTATTAATGTATATTTATCATGAGTAACAAAATTCACTTTTCCTTTTTCTATGAAATAAATATCTGTTGGTGGATCATCCTCTCTATATATAATCTCTCCTGGATGAACTTCGAGAAAATTAAGATGTGGCAAAATTGTAGCTGTAAAATTATTATCTATTTTCAATAAGGATACACTATCTATTAAATATTTATAACAAATCATCAGTAATTCATTACGTAACTAGGATGGTAATTCTTAGATTAATTTTTTTGGATCTAATGATGTATATACATTCTTTAGATAATTATTTCTATAATATTTATGTACTTTGCATTTCAAAGCATATGGTAATTTAACTCGAACAGAAAAATCATTAAATAAATGCATTCTCCTCTCAAAATCTACCCATTTTTTATCTACATTCTCCAAAATTGAAGACAACTTTCCTAATGTATATGAAAAGAATCCAGTCCCAAATATCATCCAAATTATAGCAAATACCCTTTCTTCAATTGTTGTTGCCTTTATATCTCCATAACCAACAGTAGTCAAAGTTTATAAGCTCCATTCAAAAGAAGCAATATATTAGTTATATAGTGAAGAATCCTTCAAATTTGCTTAAGCAACCCATGTGTTGCCTTCAAAATTATTAAATTTGGCTACAAAATACCAAAAGCAAGCAATTAAGTGATTTATTAATAAGATTTTACCTAACAAGATTAAACCTTTGATTATTCCTTCATTTATTCCAAAATAGGATAAGATTCTGGCTGTTTAAGTTTTATTCTTTATATTTAAATTAGTCTTTGACATTTTTAATAATCTTGCTAATCGATACAATCTTGGCAACCTAATTAATCTTAATAATTTATTATATCTTAAGGCTGGAGCATCTGTGTTGTCGTCTAAAAAATATGTGATTGGTAAAACTGCTATAAAATCTATTGTAAACCATCCTGTTAAATACTATTTTGCTATCATCTAATAATCATCAATAATTCTTTATTCTTCATCAAAAAATGCACTAAAAAAATTTATTACAATATCTGCAAAAAATAATACATCAAATATTATATCAATCCAAAACCAAAACCCTTCATTACCTGAATCAATCTAGAATCAATATAATAATATTTACAAAACAAACTTTAAATGGAGTAATAACTGCTGTAGCTAGTAATAAAAAGATTAATAGCATATTCCAGAAAGTTTTAAAATTTTCATCTGGATAAAACATATAAGTTTTCTTCTCTTCTTAGTTTGATTTAAAAACTTCATCTTCTATCATATTCATATGATCATCTTATCTAATGGCCCCAAAAATTTTCACTCTATTCTAAAATGATTTCATTATCCCTATAAAATAGGTTGCTAAAAAGACTCTTCTCCAAACTGCTACTAACTTTTATTTTTTTTCATGTCTCAATTTTCTATAAAACGTAAAACTCCTAATAAAATCAACTTATGCAAAGAACACATTAAATACTGTAATTTATTGATCCATCATTTTAAAATATAATGTTTTTTAACACTTATAATATAAGAAAGATTTCACTAAATAAATTCAATGTTAGCTTAGAAACAAATAGATATTAATTCACGATTCACTCTAATAAAACCACAATGATTTTTTTTGACATATAAAAATTTTAGTTCATAAAAAAATATATTATGACCTTACTTATTTGTATGAAATTATCATTCTATTAATATGGTATTAAATTTTACAAGTTAATAAATATGTATATCTAAACCATACATATCTACTTATATAATCTATAAATTATATTCTAATATTGTTTGATTAAACTTTATATCATTATCAATTTGAATAAAATGATTATTTTTCTAATCAAAATGGAGATTTTATAAAATATTAAAATTTATATTTAATATTATTTGTAGATAGACAATTTATTTTAAACATACAATTATATATTATAATTTAATCATATACAAATAGAGTTAAATTTTAATTATATATTTGTATATATATCTAAAAGAATTTATATTTTTCATTTCAATTGATATTTGCTTAACAATAATCTTTAAATTATGAAATATTAAAATCTAAATAATTTGTATATTCATATTGAATTAAATCCAAGGAAAAATGTTTTTATTAATTATAATAATATTTTATAAATGGGAGCTAACAGCTCAAAATAAAATTTTGAAATATTAAATGAATACAATTTTCTCAATGTAGCTTAAGATGATGGATATGGAGAAATTCAATTATTTAGTAATAAGATAAAACGAACTGATTAAATGGCACTTATAAAATTTTATGATCAATCAGATATTGAAAAGAGGGCTAACATCATTCAATTGAGGTAAATAATTATATTATGTAGAAAATAATAAAATAATCAATACTTTACAAAAATATTGGATTATTAAGTACAAACAACTGAGGATTTATGCAGTAATATAAATCTTTTGCATGTTGGATTGGAATATTTAGAAAAAAGTTTATAAGATGACATCTTAAATCGAAGAGCTAATGATAGAACGTATTAAATTATAAAATATTCTTTATAGTTATAATGAAGGAGAACTTTGGTATTTGGCATAAACTATTCTTTCTGGATTGAAAGATCTTTAAATGAATAATCTTTAATATCATGACTTGCATCCAAATAATATTAGAATCAAACTAAATGGTGAAGTTAAACTATTGGAATTATGTTGTTTAGCTAATCAATAAAGTGCCTATCAAAAAGTCTTTACACAATTGAGGGAAGTTGAATATCTTTCCCCTGAGCAATTGTATGTATTAGAAAATGAACGTTAAAATGTAATTATCATTATCTAGAGTTTAAGGATAAATAAGAATATTCTATAGAAAAACAAAATGTATTTATACTTGGTGTTATTTTCTTGGTTTGCATAACTAATATGGATGTGAAAAAATACTATAATAATTTTACTTTTAATTCTGAATTAGCCAATTAAAAATTGAACAGTGCATTTGAAAAGTATAATTACTCTGATCCAATGAAACATTTATTAAAAGATTTATTACAACTCAACACATATCATAGACCTACATATCTTGAAATCTTAGATAAAATATCTCATGTAGATTCTAGCAGAATATCTCCTAATTTATATGCATTGAATATGCAAGATTAAGCTATTAAATCAACATTACATTTTAAGAGTTAAACTAATTTCTCATAAGAATAAATTATAGAAAGTTAACCTCAATCACTTTATGAGTAACATAACCTTATAAATGATTCCTTTAACAGATAAGTTACATCTAATTTCTAAGCAAATTTAGAATCTGCACCTATTTATTTATAAAACAATAATGATTTTGAAATTGCTACTTAATCAAAATATGAGTCTAATTCTTAACAAGTTCATTTAACTTCTTAAGCAGGTTTGGATAAAATTAGATAATTAAAAGAAAGATTCCAAGTAATAAAAGGAGAAGCTGTTTAATAATAATAAGCAGCCACTGTTCCTACTACTTTTACTCATTAAGATGAAAGTGATACATATAGAATATCAAATTAAAATTTTCAAAATCCATATCAACCAAATTTTTTAGACATGGACCCTGTCATATAAAGAGCTCTTTAAAAGAGTAGAGAAATTATGTCCAAATGCAATCCTTATTAAACTGCTGATCCTTATGTTCCAATTTTACCATAATCAAACTCTTCATTTTTTGCTTAACCTGGAATGCCATCCAATATTCAACCAATTTAGAATATATCATTAGGAAATTCTTAACTAAATTAATATTTTTAAACTTCGTAATAAAATCCTTAATTCCAATCGCAATTTAACTAATATAACTAAATCAATTAAGCATAAGCTCCAATATAATCATTATAATAATCACAATTTTAAAAATAACCAACATTTTCATAACCATTCTCTCCATACCTTTAATAGAATGAATAAATATCGCCTTTAAAATAACCAGCCATTTCCTAGTATATTTAATAATAAACCATAACACCTCCATCATTTAACTAATAATAATCTATGTAAATTATATATTTTAAACTAGGTACCAACCATATGTTAGGAATGATAGATTTTCATGATTTGGAAAAATATTACCTGAAAAAATAGATTATTTATTAGAATATATTAAATTTTTATCATATATATATATTTGAAACAATCTTACAGGATCAATAATTTCTAATTATTGTCTTGTATTTTTAAAGAATATTAAAATTATTCCCTCTTCTAAGACTATTTTCAGCGGTTTTATTTTCCTGTTGTTCTACTACTGCCTCTACGTATTTACCAAAATTATAATCCTTATTTTTAAGACTCTTATCCACTTCAGTAGATTCACTAGTATTGACTTCAGAGCTCCTTTCTGCCATACAAAATAAAGTCTTTGTATTTCTTCGAAACTCTTTCATCGCCAATTCTAAGTCATCTAAAATACATTCCTTAGAAACAATAGAGAATCCATTATTATCTTATATTTAGAGAAACTTTTAGAATTGACAAGTGAATTTTGCAGGCTCTACAATAATAACAAAAAAATATACATTAAACTTAAATCTTTTCATAAGCAACTTATTTTGGCTAAATTTCTTCTTAAATTGATGGTTTGTCTTGCAAATTATCTTTTTTTATTCGTGAAAGTACATCAGTTTAATTGCTCAAATACCTTCTGTGATCTTTTTTATTTTTTAAAAACTCTTACATCCTTTATTTTAGATAGACCCGGAAACTTAGTTTAATGGGATTGTGAGTGCTTTTGGGTCTTGGGGATTAGATGCTGGTTCTGTAATAATTGGTTGTGGAGTAGCTTTTTTTTCGGTTTTAGGTTAGAATTTAAGTTTTTCAATAAATTCTAAAATATGTTGAGGTGTTTTTGTCTAATCTTCAAGTATATTAGTAAAATTTTTGAAATGGCTGTGTACAATAAGTAAAGGATCAATAATTAAAGGAAGCATTTGTTTTAAAAAGTCAACAAAGGCTGCCCTTAAAAGCATTTATTCAGACATAAATAAAATTAATTACTTAACAAATCTCTTTTATTACTTAACTTTCATTATAAAAGAAAAAATAAAATACAATCAGTAATTTATTATATGAAAAATAATCCTTTAAGAATAACTAATGTTCATATATTCTGTTAAATTATTTTTTACTTTCAAATGAAACAACAAGTTCACTTATCATCATCTATTATTTATTATGCCATGATTATTTAGACTGTATTTAATAAAATTTAAATTGAAACATGAAATAAAAATAAATTTGCAAGAATAATATCAATGTTAATAAAATAATATCTAAAATTTACAAGCTTTTTTTTCTTCTAGCATTTTTAGATAATTAATAATAATAATAAATAGGTAATAAAATAAAAGGATAGATAGTAATAATTTAATATTATTTATATATAAATAATGAAAATGACTATAAAATAGGAATATTAATAATAAAATTGAATAATAAATTAATATAAATATATATATGATATCATTTTTTCTTAATTTCTTTTTTTTCAACAGATTTAATAACTCCAACTGCAACAGTTTATTTCATATCTCTTACAGCAAATCTTCCAAGAGGTGGATATTCAGAAAAGATTTCAACACAAATTGGTTTAGTTGGTATTAATTTAACAATTGCAGAATCTCCTGATTTAATAAATTTAGGTTCTTCTTCAATTACTTTTCCTGTTCTTTTATCAATTTTAGATATTATTTAATCAAATTTACATGCAACATGTGCTGTATGACAATCTAAAACAGGACAATATCCATTTTAAATTTGACCAGGATGATTAATTATAATCACTTAAGCATTAAATGAATTACATTCTTTTGCTGGATCATTCTTTATATCAGAAGCTACATATCCTCTTTTCAAATCTTTAACTGATATACCTTTTACATTAAAACCTACATTATCTCCTGGTATTGCTTAGGGATGATCTTAATGATGCATTTCTATTGATTTGACTTCAGATGTTATTCCAGATGGAGCAAATTAGATTATCATACCTTTTGCCAATACTCCAGTTTCTACTCTTCCTACTGGAACAGTTCCAATACCACCTATTTTATATACATCTTATAATGGAAGTCTAAGTGGTTTATCTGTTTGTCTCTTTGGAGGTGTTACTGCATCTAATGCTTCAATAAGAGTTGGTCCATTATACCATTATAAATTAATTGATTTCTCTAACATATTATCTCCATTCCATCCAGAAATAGGAATAAATGGAACATTATCTGTATTGTATCCTACTTTCTTTAAATAAATTGTCATCTCCTTTACTATTTCTTCATATCTTCCTTTAGAATAATTTACTGATCTCTCATCCATCTTATTTATTGCACATATCAATTATCTAACTCCTAATGTATAGGCTAATAAAATATGTTCTTTAGTTTAACCATTTTGAGAAATACCAGCTTCAAATTCACCTGCTGGAGATGCAATCATTAATAATGCTATATCTGCTTATGTTGTTCCTGTTATCATATTCTTTATAAAATCTCTATGTCCTGGGGCATCAATTACTGTATAATTATATTTATTTGTTTCAAATTTCCATAATGAAATATCTATTGTAATTCCTCTTTCTCTTTCATCTTTAAGNAGATAATTAATAATAATAATAAATAGGTAATAAAATAAAAGGATAGATAGTAATAATTTAATATTATTTATATATAAATAATGAAAATGACTATAAAATAGGAATATTAATAATAAAATTGAATAATAAATTAATATAAATATATATATGATATCATTTTTTCTTAATTTCTTTTTTTTCAACAGATTTAATAACTCCAACTGCAACAGTTTATTTCATATCTCTTACAGCAAATCTTCCAAGAGGTGGATATTCAGAAAAGATTTCAACACAAATTGGTTTAGTTGGTATTAATTTAACAATTGCAGAATCTCCTGATTTAATAAATTTAGGTTCTTCTTCAATTACTTTTCCTGTTCTTTTATCAATTTTAGATATTATTTAATCAAATTTACATGCAACATGTGCTGTATGACAATCTAAAACAGGACAATATCCATTTTAAATTTGACCAGGATGATTAATTATAATCACTTAAGCATTAAATGAATTACATTCTTTTGCTGGATCATTCTTTATATCAGAAGCTACATATCCTCTTTTCAAATCTTTAACTGATATACCTTTTACATTAAAACCTACATTATCTCCTGGTATTGCTTAGGGATGATCTTAATGATGCATTTCTATTGATTTGACTTCAGATGTTATTCCAGATGGAGCAAATTAGATTATCATACCTTTTGCCAATACTCCAGTTTCTACTCTTCCTACTGGAACAGTTCCAATACCACCTATTTTATATACATCTTATAATGGAAGTCTAAGTGGTTTATCTGTTTGTCTCTTTGGAGGTGTTACTGCATCTAATGCTTCAATAAGAGTTGGTCCATTATACCATTATAAATTAATTGATTTCTCTAACATATTATCTCCATTCCATCCAGAAATAGGAATAAATGGAACATTATCTGTATTGTATCCTACTTTCTTTAAATAAATTGTCATCTCCTTTACTATTTCTTCATATCTTCCTTTAGAATAATTTACTGATCTCTCATCCATCTTATTTATTGCACATATCAATTATCTAACTCCTAATGTATAGGCTAATAAAATATGTTCTTTAGTTTAACCATTTTGAGAAATACCAGCTTCAAATTCACCTGCTGGAGATGCAATCATTAATAATGCTATATCTGCTTATGTTGTTCCTGTTATCATATTCTTTATAAAATCTCTATGTCCTGGGGCATCAATTACTGTATAATTATATTTATTTGTTTCAAATTTCCATAATGAAATATCTATTGTAATTCCTCTTTCTCTTTCATCTTTAAGATTATCCAATACCCAAGCATATTTAAATGATCCTTTTCCAATTTTAGTTGCATCATCTTCAAATTTCTTTATAGTTCTTTCATCTATTCCACCTAACTTATAAATCAGATGTCCTGTTGTTGTTGATTTTCCTGAATCAACATGTCCAATAACTACTAAATTTACATGAACTTTATCTTTTGGCATTTGTTTTTATTAATGACTTTACCTAAAAAAAGTTAATCACTTAAAAATCTATAGAAAAATTTTAATGACTATATTAATTAATTTTATAAACTATTTAAACTATATTTATTAAATAATCAACTATTATTAAATTTTTCTATTTTCATATTATTTTCTTTTAAACAATATAAATTTATTACTTTAAATCTTTCAAAATACAAATGTTAGATTTATATTTATTATATATTTTCTAAAAAATACATTTTAGATAAATAATTTAAATGGCTTATAAATTTTTTTGATGAATCAATATTAAATATAAATCTAACATTTGTATTTTGAAAGATTTAAAGTAATAAATTTATATTGTTTAAAAGAAAATAATATGAAAATAGAAAAATTTAATAATAGTTGATTATTTAATAAATATAGTTTAAATAGTTTATAAAATTAATTAATATAGTCATTAAAATTTTTCTATAGATTTTTAAGTGATTAACTTTTTTTAGGTAAAGTCATTAATAAAAACAAATGCCAAAAGATAAAGTTCATGTAAATTTAGTAGTTATTGGACATGTTGATTCAGGAAAATCAACAACAACAGGACATCTGATTTATAAGTTAGGTGGAATAGATGAAAGAACTATAAAGAAATTTGAAGATGATGCAACTAAAATTGGAAAAGGATCATTTAAATATGCTTGGGTATTGGATAATCTTAAAGATGAAAGAGAAAGAGGAATTACAATAGATATTTCATTATGGAAATTTGAAACAAATAAATATAATTATACAGTAATTGATGCCCCAGGACATAGAGATTTTATAAAGAATATGATAACAGGAACAACATAAGCAGATATAGCATTATTAATGATTGCATCTCCAGCAGGTGAATTTGAAGCTGGTATTTCTCAAAATGGTTAAACTAAAGAACATATTTTATTAGCCTATACATTAGGAGTTAGATAATTGATATGTGCAATAAATAAGATGGATGAGAGATCAGTAAATTATTCTAAAGGAAGATATGAAGAAATAGTAAAGGAGATGACAATTTATTTAAAGAAAGTAGGATACAATACAGATAATGTTCCATTTATTCCTATTTCTGGATGGAATGGAGATAATATGTTAGAGAAATCAATTAATTTATAATGGTATAATGGACCAACTCTTATTGAAGCATTAGATGCAGTAACACCTCCAAAGAGACAAACAGATAAACCACTTAGACTTCCATTATAAGATGTATATAAAATAGGTGGTATTGGAACTGTTCCAGTAGGAAGAGTAGAAACTGGAGTATTGGCAAAAGGTATGATAATCTAATTTGCTCCATCTGGAATAACATCTGAAGTCAAATCAATAGAAATGCATCATTAAGATCATCCCTAAGCAATACCAGGAGATAATGTAGGTTTTAATGTAAAAGGTATATCAGTTAAAGATTTGAAAAGAGGATATGTAGCTTCTGATATAAAGAATGATCCAGCAAAAGAATGTAATTCATTTAATGCTTAAGTGATTATAATTAATCATCCTGGTCAAATTTAAAATGGATATTGTCCTGTTTTAGATTGTCATACAGCACATGTTGCATGTAAATTTGATTAAATAATATCTAAAATTGATAAAAGAACAGGAAAAGTAATTGAAGAAGAACCTAAATTTATTAAATCAGGAGATTCTGCAATTGTTAAATTAATACCAACTAAACCAATTTGTGTTGAAATCTTTTCTGAATATCCACCTCTTGGAAGATTTGCTGTAAGAGATATGAAATAAACTGTTGCAGTTGGAGTTATTAAATCTGTTGAAAAAAAAGAAATTAAGAAAAAATGATATCATATATATATTTATATTAATTTATTATTCAATTTTATTATTAATATTCCTATTTTATAGTCATTTTCATTATTTATATATAAATAATATTAAATTATTACTATCTATCCTTTTATTTTATTACCTATTTATTATTATTATTAATTATCTAAAAATGCTAGAAGAAAAAAAAGCTTGTAAATTTTAGATATTATTTTATTAACATTGATATTATTCTTGCAAATTTATTTTTATTTCATGTTTCAATTTAAATTTTATTAAATACAGTCTAAATAATCATGGCATAATAAATAATAGATGATGATAAGTGAACTTGTTGTTTCATTTGAAAGTAAAAAATAATTTAACAGAATATATGAACATTAGTTATTCTTAAAGGATTATTTTTCATATAATAAATTACTGATTGTATTTTATTTTTTCTTTTATAATGAAAGTTAAGTAATAAAAGAGATTTGTTAAGTAATTAATTTTATTTATGTCTGAATAAATGCTTTTAAGGGCAGCCTTTGTTGACTTTTTAAAACAAATGCTTCCTTTAATTATTGATCCTTTACTTATTGTACACAGCCATTTCAAAAATTTTACTAATATACTTGAAGATTAGACAAAAACACCTCAACATATTTTAGAATTTATTGAAAAACTTAAATTCTAACCTAAAACCGAAAAAAAAGCTACTCCACAACCAATTATTACAGAACCAGCATCTAATCCCCAAGACCCAAAAGCACTCACAATCCCATTAAACTAAGTTTCCGGGTCTATCTAAAATAAAGGATGTAAGAGTTTTTAAAAAATAAAAAAGATCACAGAAGGTATTTGAGCAATTAAACTGATGTACTTTCACGAATAAAAAAAGATAATTTGCAAGACAAACCATCAATTTAAGAAGAAATTTAGCCAAAATAAGTTGCTTATGAAAAGATTTAAGTTTAATGTATATTTTTTTGTTATTATTGTAGAGCCTGCAAAATTCACTTGTCAATTCTAAAAGTTTCTCTAAATATAAGATAATAATGGATTCTCTATTGTTTCTAAGGAATGTATTTTAGATGACTTAGAATTGGCGATGAAAGAGTTTCGAAGAAATACAAAGACTTTATTTTGTATGGCAGAAAGGAGCTCTGAAGTCAATACTAGTGAATCTACTGAAGTGGATAAGAGTCTTAAAAATAAGGATTATAATTTTGGTAAATACGTAGAGGCAGTAGTAGAACAACAGGAAAATAAAACCGCTGAAAATAGTCTTAGAAGAGGGAATAATTTTAATATTCTTTAAAAATACAAGACAATAATTAGAAATTNAAAATTATTTTTAGTACAATCCATCTTTGCGAGCACAAGCTAACTTAGAAGCTTTTAATTTTATAATATATAGAATTAAAATCTTAAAATTAATTCGTATTATTTTTTTAAGCAGTTATTTTTATGATGGATAATCTCTAAGTTTAAATTTAGTTTAACTCATGGTATGTTATCAGAGTAATATATTAGAATTCAGAAAAAAGCGAAAATTATTAAAAATCAGAAAAAATTTTCTTTCTAATTATTTCTTTTGAAGATTTAGTAAAATTTTCTTTTTTTATTATGAATGGATTTGAGTTTTAGCTAAAACTAAGTGAATTATTATGACCATAATATTGGCAATTTAATCCTAATTCTATTATACCATTATCTGTTGAGGAAGCCTGCCTTAAGACCTCACTAAGAATATAAAAAGTCTTATAAAATTTTGCTCTGCAAAATCACTTCTCTTTCTAGGAATTCCTTCTGGCACGATATAAATATTGGATTTACACATAATTCACTTAGAAAAAAGTAAATAACATCAAGACCTCTACATATACAGTGGACAAAAACAACACGATGTTCATTTTATATATTAGTAGTTAAAGGCTGTTACTCTTCTACTAGTAGAAGAATTAGATTATCTGACTTGAAAAGAAGTTGAATTAAATTAAAAAAACCCTAATTATAATTTAGTAGTGATAAATAAATTTAATCTATAGAAAAAAGTTAAAACAAGAAATTTAATGGGAACTTGTCAAACTTCTAGACAAAGAAGATAAAGCAAGATAATGAAGATTAGAGAAAGATTTTCATCTCAGAAATTAGATTGCACTTGCTAACGATTGTCTCTATATTTAGAATTGGTTGGAGATACTCACACTTTAGGTGGATACTTACAAGATCGAATTTAAACTTTATTTGAAATAAAGCAAAAACTATATATAGTTACATGTTAATAATGTAAATTGTAATTACTGCATGAAGCATCTGAAATTATAGAATACTTATACAAAGATAAACACTTTAGTTAAGCTTTTCCTATTTTAAGGGAGAGTCTACTTGAAATCACATAAGTGACATTTGTTACAGAGTGATTTTTGAAATAATTGTTTCAAAATAAATATTTTTTTGTCATTCAATAATATTTATTCATAAAAAAATACTTCAAAGCTCTAATTCTTCAGAGACTAAATATTAATAAATTCCTTAAAATAATTGCCTAAAATCCTCATTTGTTTGGAACAGTTATAATAGCTTTTAACTTATTTTAAGTTATTTCTTTAATATTATAAATAATTTACCATCAAAAATAAAAGTCCACTATCATTGGCTGATATCAAAATGCAAAGCATATATACTCTAGTGAACATTATTGTACTATTAGCTTCTTTAGTTTTATTGTCAACCTTTGTAGTAAGATGATTACTTTCCTCTTAGAGAGTGTTACGTGCATGTACTTCAATCATCATTTCATTATAAAAGTTGACACAATTTTTACGTTCCCAAATGATTGCAGTAAAATAAATTAATGCTTCATGTCGATAGGGCATCCAATGTATAAATGGAACATATGAATGTGTTTTGACAATTTTTTAAACTTCAAAAGATTTTGTGTTATTTAGAAGATAACTGAAAATCCCTTTAATAAACCCTGCATTTATTAGTTACTCTTACAATCCATGACTCTAACATTTACCAATAGCCTCAAATAAAGAAGTTCTAACCATAGATTCATCTACTTAATTTTTTATAATAAGAGTTTCTTCTAAAGATGGGCCTACAACTCTCTCAAAAATTATCCATTATTTAAAAGTTAGGTTTGTGTACCAAGTTCCAATATTTAAAAATGTTAATAATTACAAATATTAGTTTATATTAGAATCTATAATAGCAGTTAAACATTTTAATAAATTTAGTGCACATTAAATCAATTTATTAGAAGAGTAAGGTCTTAATTCTAATTTGACTGCATATTCTAATTAAAGTTAAGATTATGAATTAGGAGGTTCTTGCAATCTTTTACTAACATTTTTTATTTGTGATTAATTGGTTTGTGATTTTACCATTTATGTTTATGATAATTGATTATTGACAGTAATTTATGACTATTATAATGATTAGTTTTGAATAGCAATACTAACTTATTAAGAATGTTTAATAGATTATAATTGTGATTAGAATTATGATTAAGATTATGATTATTACTATTATTAAGTTAAGATCACAGATTTATCAGTTGGTAATTTAAAAGTAACATTTTTATTTATTTTAGACTCTTAAATGTGTTATTTTTATTATAAAGATTCAACAAATTTTTAGTTTTTTTCTTATTCTTCTTACTTTAATCTATTAATTTCTTCTATTCTCATTCGTCTTTCTTCATTTACTCTATCCCATTCTATATGGAATTCATAAATAAAATCAACAGTATCTCTTAACCATATTATAGAATTCTTAGTACTTTACATGTCTTCTATATCAAAAATTAAAAGTGGTGAAATGAGAGTAATGTACATTATAAAATCTGCAAGAGATTATAATAAATCACAACATTCTTAATGTAATTGACCAAAAGTTAATAAATCATTAAAGATACTCATAATCATTTAAAATGCATTGCTTATAAATCTTCTCTCTTCTTGATTACTTAATAATTTATCTTTACTTGTATATACAACATAAGCTTATATTTATTTAAGTGCTTGTTTAATCTATCCAAATATAGGTGGTATTTATTTTTTTGTTAAACTTCTTCCATTCATTAAAATAGATACTTAATCTCTAATCTCTTAAGTAATGACTGATTTTTATTCCTGCCATTAATTACTAAGAGATTTAGACATTTTAACAAATTTATCAGATGATGATTTTTCAGGAACTAACAAATTATGTGTTTATAACATAATTCTAACTTTGCTAGAATGTATTAAATCAATAGTATTAGGTAATGCCATAGTTATAATTTCATCATATAGTTTTAAACTAAGTTAAAGATTATTTGATTTTTTATGTTCTGCTTATAAAGCCATAGGTCTAAACATTTCAACAAGTAATTGTTAAGTAGATCCACCTAATGCATATTTTCCAACTTTTGGCCATTATAATAAATTTGAAATTATTTTATATACCAAATCAGGATCAGTCTTAATATCAACAAAGAGACCTTAATAAATTGTAGGCAATGCAAAGATTGATTCAGCAACGTATAAATTTAATTATTAAATTTTATTTGATTCAGATTAGTTTTATTCAGTTGGTTGGAATGATAAAAATCGTTCATTAGATAATTTATTTTTGTTGGTTAGAATATGACTAATAATAGAAAGATTTCTAAGTAAATGAACAGCATTATTTTATTAATATTATTAGACTAAACCTTAATTAGAATGTTCAATTCTCAAACTTGTAGGAACTTCATTACGGAATGCAATAGTAATATGGGCAAACATTTATAGAACAACAGTTCTAAATTCTTGATCAGTAACTAATTAAATTAAAAGATTAGAAATTCTACTATCGACTAACACCTATAATTTACTAATTTTATTTGATTTGATTAGAGAAGACACATAATTAAGTGCAATCTTAACAGAAGATTTACTAAAAGATCCATTTAAATAATTGGCAATTTAAAGATGTGAATCTGAAACTGACATAACTTCACTATAATATTCAGATGAACGAGCAATTGTATTATACTTAACAGGAGCCACATTGACAGCAAATTTATTCATATCAAATGCTGATACCTATTTTTCAGTGCATAATTGAATATAATTTCTAATAGCAACCATGTTACCACTACCTACTCCACTTTCGCTTATCATATCTTTATAAATTGGAGCAACTATTTTATAAATACTAGGAGTCCAATAAGAATAAAAGTGATTCTTATCTTTAAATTAATGATCTAATTCATCATCTCTAGTTGAAAAGAATCCTGTCTCTGGAGCCATAAACATTTTATCACTTATTAATCTATATGGTTCTCCTAGTGTAAATTTTACTAAAGTGGTTATAATAGCTTCAACATGCTAACTAGCTGGAGATTCCTATGATTATAAATGTTACTAAAGTTCAATAAATATTTATGAAAATTATTGAACTAATTAAGGCAAATCATATTTATAATTAAGATGTAAAACTATGAAATTTAAGATGTCTAAAACTCTACTATGGAATAGATAGCTTATTAGATCAAGTTTCTATTCATCCATGATGCTGAATAAGATTGTTTAATTGAACAATTTAATTATTTATACAATTGATTCAATTTCAACAGGCTTATTCTTTACTATTGCTAATGCAATTTATCTAGAAGGTTAATAAATTTGATTTTCAAAAATAATTCTAGGGTTTTTATAGTTAATAATTGGTCTTGCAATCTACCTTGCATTTTGTAAATCAACATTCAAGATATTACACTTTTAGATTGATTATAATTAAGGTCTATTATGTGGTTCATATTATAAACAAGAACACATTAAATCAATCAATTCTGAAATTTAATTAAGCATAGATTCATCAGTATGAACATTCTTAAATAAATGCTTTATATATGCACCTAATGATTTTTGATCTAATTATAAAAGAATTTATTAGGTAATTGATTAATTTTTCATATCTATAATATCAGCTAATTCCTTTCTTAAATTCTAAAATACTTCTTTTTACAATAAATCTCCTTATTCATAATCAGAAGGTTCAGTTAATTAAAGATATTTATCTCCTTAATAACAACCAGAATTACTAATAATCTATGGTTTGTGTCCAAACAATAATTCAAATATAATGACACCAAAAGACCATGTATCAGCCATATTGGTAATTTCTTAAATTGATTTACTATAGAATTCAGGAGCCAATGCAAGATCTTTATATTCTTATTATAGAACACTTTCAACCAAGAGTTTAATATCTATTCCAGATTGGAATTTATTAATATTGACTGATTAAATACCTGTCAATTCACTTAAATGAACTTCATCATTAAAAATATATAATATTTCAGTTCTCATTAATGGAAATGCATAACCATAATTTTAAATATCACACATAAGAGATAAGATCTAACCTAACCATAATTTAGCCACATAAATCATTTATCCACTTAAAACTAATTGAGGTATTTTTAATAATCCTCCTGTTTATTAACATATAGTATTTAAGTTAGTACCTTCAAATTGAACAAATGCATGTACTTCAGTTCCCATATTATTCTTTTTTTCACAGACTCCATAAAGTTTAGATGTCTAATTTAGAATAGATTAAAATCTTAAGACTTCCATTATATGTTATCTCAACATTACTCCATCATAACATACTGTTTATAAAATGGGAACTGTCCATACACTTACAATAACAGGGGCATTATTGGCAGCTATTCTGCCTAACATATAATACATTTGTTTTCCTTCTATTTATGGAATATGAATAGGTAAAAATTAGGTTTCTGGAATAGGTGTAAGGAATACACTAGTTAATGATAATTACATCTGAGACATTTTTGTTCTTTCAGATCGAATAGTTAGATGTGGTTAAATATATTAAGCTTGAAATTATTGATTCAACAAATTGAATACTCCAGCTTAAATTAATTGGATATCATTTAAAATATAATGCATTATTTATTAGATTTTTAAATATATGTTATTAACATTAATTTGTAAGGATATTTACATTAATCCACTATCATCTTATTATTTGATAGTTTCAATATTTTAATTAAATAATTCTCTTATTTTTTTAATCCCATTCAAAACTAATTCAAATCCATTAAATCTATAGAATATATTTTTCAATAATTATTTATCAATTAAATCATGATCAACAAAATTTTATTTTTAAGTACCCAGAATTCTTAAAATTAAATTTTTTTATATCATTCCTTATTATGTAAATAAATTAGCCAATCTCTAAAATTCATTATCATTAAATGGATGTCTTTCTCCTTCTAAAGAAATCAATCTATAAAATTCATTTACTGTCATTTAATCATTATAATTTAAATCTCCAAATTCAAGAGCAAAGAACTTTTACAATAATTTATTATAAACATTGACCTATTGTGCTTCATCTTTAATTATCTAATAGC